TAATTAAAAAAAAAAAAACTAAGAATGCGATTAGAAATGTGCCATAGATTCCTAATTAACTTTAATTTAATTTAATTTAATTAGGTGCACATCACATGAAAGCAATAGTGTTGGTTGTTTTCAAAGTGGTCCAAAATATTCCCACCATTGATAATTAGCTTAATTATTAAGGGGTTAATTTGTTTAATCAGAATCCAATATATTACTATTTCATTAAGATAAGCATCGCAATTGAGCTTAATTGTCACACAATGTCTAATTAAAGTTACTTTAAATAAATAAATATTATTGTATTTTTCTCTTTTTTGCTGCAAAGTCGTCTACACATCTTAATTAATTAATTAATTATTTATACCTAATAAAGCTGCTGTACTCCTGACTGAGCGAGGAGTGCGTGCTGCTATGGCTTGTACTTCAAGTCCCGGACCAATAGCAAATAACACCAAAAACTTTCTCAAATCATATATTGACCCCACAATTTTACTAATTGCATCCACGTCTACTCATCTCTGCATATAATATAATATAATAATATGCACTGTTTCTAGTAAAAAAAAATTGTATTTTATGTATATTTTTCTTATTTATTTTTTACTATTCTATCCTCTAAACTTATGTTTATTTGATCGAATATAAGTTTTAAAAAATTAGTTAAAAAAAAAAACTATAGTAAAAAAATATACAAAAAGTGAGAATTTATTTACTAAGAAAAAAAATAAAAATATTTTAATAATTAAAAAATGAATATAAATATAAATGATATATATAGAGAGTATTATTCAATATTTTAATTTAATTATAAAAACATGAAATACAACAATTATTCGGCGTAGAAATGAAATTTTGTTATAAATAAATTAATTAGACATGAAAATTTTACATGCTTTAGTTAAAGACTATTTTTATTTGGTATTGTAATACTATTCAATTTTTTAAAAAAAATTATTACATCAAACAATTATTATTTTCGAAATTTTCAAGTATTTATGTATGAACGGAGCCATAATTTTTTAAAGAAATATTACGGTCAATCCACAAAGTTTTAAATAAAATAAATAATTAAATTTTAAGCATAATAACTTATCGAAATGAATATTTAACTTAATATTGTATAGTTCAAAATAAAAATAAAAATATTGTAACAAGATAGTATATATTTACAACAATTGTATATAATATTTAAAATTGACTCAATAAATTAATCACAATAAAGACGTCATTAATGTTGTCCGTTGACAACCTGAAATGTAATAATCATGCATGCACTAATTTAATCTAATTAAATTAAATCTAATTTGGTGATAACTAATTATAATAACGAAGAGATATATATAATAAATGGTTTTATCCTTTCATAAAAATAAAAAATAAAAAGTAAATAAACAAACAAAAAATTGTCATTGTTTGTATATATCACTGAGGACAAACCAGGTCAATAATTTTTTGTCCTTATTTAACTACTTATTCTAGCATGTAATGATTATATAGATATATATTAATTGTTACTCCCTCCTTTCCACGTAGCATGTATACGTTGCCGTTTCTATCCGTCTCACATACCATGATACTTTTCTTTTTGGAAAATGATTACACACTTTAATCTCATTTTAAACTTTTAAATTTATTTTTTTAAAAATTTTAATTAAACTAATTAATTATCTTAATATTAATTTATAATTATTTATATTATCGAGTAATTATTTTTACTAATATATTCTTAATTATCTACTAATTACATCTCTCTTAAAATACCGTGTCTACAGTGTAATAGATATGGTATGTGAGACGGAGAGAGTATAATAGACAATAATCATTCGACCATGCATGAATCATACACAATTTAATTATTTTAAATTTTTTTAGTGCAATTAATTAGGCAAACGACAAATCAGCTATAGTAATTTGATCATTTATAATAGCTAATGATGATTTTTATTTATTTATTTATTAAGATAATAAGAAAAGCAATTATTGGCGAGTTATTTTTTTTTTCTTAACATTATTAAGTGTGTTGTGTACTTTAATTTAATTAATTTATTTACAACTACATATATATATATATATAGGGGTGTGTGTGTGTTTCTATTTTCAAGGACATAATTTTAAGCAATATATTATTTAGTAGATAAATTATAACTAATCGATTGCTATGTGTGTGGATTTAAATTAAAAAGATAATTATTTAATTAGTTGACTCAATATTCATTTAATTAAATTTGTCTTACTGCGGCCTTAAATCCTCCGTACGAAATCGAACTATCTAATTATATTAATTATTATTATTATTATTTTAAGTTGAGCATGTTTGCTAGTTAATAATCATTATTATTATTATTATACATATGCAAATATTTGAAACTAAATTTAATTAATCCCTCTCTATTCTCGATACATTGAAAAATATATAAAAATATATAATGGATGAAAAGAAAAGTGATGTAGACAGTGTATGGTTGAGTGGATATAATTGGAAAAAAAAAAAAAAAAGAATGCTGGCCAATCATTTGTGAAACAGTACATAGATATATAAATCAGAGTTGCAGCATTGATATATGGAGAAACTATAATATATATATATATATATAGATTATGCATGACATGAAAATTAAATAAAATTAAGAATTGGGCAAATGGAAGGTGACAAATGAATTAATATTTGATGAGGAGATACTTGACTTCAATTCACTGCCAACCCTCACTCTACCATTTATTATTATTATTATTATTATTATTATTATTATTATTATTATTATTATTATTATTATTATTATTATCCAATGAGAAGGAAATTGATTTAATTGATGTAAAATTTTCCAACAATGGTAATTAATGTTTTTTGCTCCATGCATGGCTAACTTAAATGAGGGTTTGGTAGGGTATAGTAGTTGTGTTCATATTTTGTGTATAGATAATTATTATATATAATATTTTAAGAAGAAATAATGTATTTCTATAGAAAACTATAATGATTGTATAATTACACTGTTACAGTACAGAAATTCATTTATTTATTTTTCTGTGGGCAATTTTGTTTTGTCCAACGGCAAGTATTTCTTATTTGACTAAATATACTTGTCATTCCGTAAATATAGATACAAATGGCAATTTTTACTCACGGTTTAGTATAAAAATGTATTAATTAAAAATTAAAATTACATTGAATGCAATATACTACTTTGTTTTTCACCAATGCATCCACCATATATATTATTCGATGGGATCTATAAAATATTATTGTTGATCTGGAAAATTTTGTTTTTTTGAAAAAAAAGACAGAATAAACTAATTAAAAAGTAATATTAGTCAAGAAGGGGTTGGTTGCTTCAGGCCTAAGATGTGCAAAATATTGCATGTGCCCTGTGTCTGCCCGCTCTTTTACCAATACAACAACAACAACAACATTAACAAGCCACATTATTAAATTAATTAATTAACTTTATAAAAGTAAAATAAATAAATATATATATATATATATGTGTGTGCAATGTCCAAAAAGGTAATAATCACTTGCAAATATATGTAGCAATTCTGATTTCTGCCTAGCTATATATAGCTAGCCGTGACAAAGCCCCACCGTACCAATTCTGATTCCGCCGCCGTGGTGGCGGGCCACGTACGGTAGCATGTATGTCAGTCAGATTGATAGATTAATTAATGGGGACGGCGGCGCGTGCAATATTGCAGATCAGTTCCGGCGACGGGGACGTTTACTAGTTGTTGAATAATTGAGAAAGAAACAAGTTAAGGATCAATGGCGTACATGGACCCATTGGACTATTTCCAAGAGTTGTTACCAAATTAAAATTAAATTATAAATTAGATGGAACTACTTATACGACGTCGTCCTTAGGATTATTATTATTAAATTATAATTTTCCATTTGAATATTGACCACCGTTTTGTATTGAAAGCATAATTGAGAATTACGGAATCACGCCATATATCAAATGTGTTGTATGGTTTGGGGTTGGGGTTGTAAATGAGATTCCTAAATTTTACCTAAAATGGAGATGCATTTTGATTGATGATTTTATTTTTGTTTCAAAAAAAGAATAAAAATAAAAAAGATAGGTAGGGGGACAGGGTCTGAGGTATGGTGGGGCCATGTCCATAGTTTTGAGTGGGGTTGGGGGTGGGGGAGGGGGCATTCCAATTTCCCATGATAGCTAGCATAACCCACATGTGCTTGCTTACTTCCTTCTCTCTCTTGCAATTGCATGCGCCCATACGACGCCGTTTTGGCCAGCTGGGTCTCCTCAACGTGCTCGCCAATTCTCTCCACTCCATCCCGCCCCTCATCATCACCACCATCATGCCTCATATCATCTGCGTGCAAATTTACGCTTAATTCTTTTATTTTATTTTATTTTTCATAAAAAAAAACATTTAAAATTTTGTAAATTTACGAATCACTAAAAAAATCACATCATAACAAAATACCTTCTCTAATTAACCACATGTAATATGGCAAGCGATTGAGTATAAATAGACAACATAATAGTACAATATATAAATCAATACCATATGATATTACAATTATACTATATAAGAGTTTGAGTGTATTTAGGTTTAGTTATTTAATATAATTTTTTATTAAAAAAATTAATTTTAAATATGATTATATATATTTTTTTTATTGATAATATAAAATAAAAAAATTCAACGAACCACCTATAATTACATATATATCTGTAATAATAATAATAAGATAGTTTTTTTGATGAATTAATGCATAGGACTACTGCACGCACGCACGACTACCTAATTTGTATTATTATATATATACATTGATGTTATAGAAATAATTACTGCAAGAAACCGTAGGTAATTGTAGATAAAAATAAATAAAAAGCCTAAAAAGTAAAATGTTCGGGTCGGATCCGGCTGGGTAGAGAGAGAAGAGGGTTTGGGTGGGGCCCATACCCACCGCCCCACGCTGTCGTCTTCTCACATTAAACCCAACCCTCGATCTGATCTCTTTCTCCTTTCTTTCTTAGCTCTTCTTTCAAATTCCTCTCTCTCTCTCTCTCTCTCTCTCTCTTCGATTTCAATTTAAGAAAACCTAGCTAGCTTAGCTTGCTCTCTCCTCTGAATTTGATCCTCCCTCTGGACCTCCTTCCAGATTCTTCTTCTTCTTCTTCCTCATCTGCCTGCAGTCCGTCGTCAATCAACAATTGGCGCAGGCAACAGATTAATCAATCAGGCAGCTGAAGTGATCGGAGAAGGAATTGATAAAAATGGATCAGCTCACCCACGGCCGTCCTTTGCCACCGCCGTTTCACGCCAGCGACCTCCAGCTCCACCACCACCACCAGTTCCACCAGCTTAATCCGGCGGACGACGGCCAGAGTGCAGGCACCGCCACCAACCCCAACCGGGGAGCCCCCCTCAAGCGAGATCTCGACACCACTTTCGGCCTCCCGACCACCCCCACCTCCGACGGCGGCAAAGAGCTCGTCCCGGGGGACCAATCGGAGGTCACGAGGAGGCCACGTGGCCGCCCCGCCGGCTCCAAGAACAAGCCGAAGCCGCCCATCATCATCACCCGCGACAGCCCCAACGCCCTCAGATCTCACGTGATGGAAGTCGCCAATGACTGCGACATTCAGGAGAGCGTTTCGACCTTCGCCACTCGCCGCCAGAGAGGCGTCTGCATCCTCAGCGGAAACGGCGCCGTTTCAAATGTTACCCTCAAGCAGCCCTCCGCCCCCGGCGCCGTCGTCTCCCTGCACGGAAGATTCGAAATTTTGTCTCTATCGGGTTCTTTCCTCCCACCGCCGGCTCCTCCGGCGGCGTCGTCGCTGACCATATACTTGGCCGGCGGGCAAGGGCAGGTCATGGGGGGAACCGTCGTGGGCCCGCTAATGGCCTCCGGGCCGGTCGTCCTCATGACGGCGTCGTTTGGTAATGCAGCTTATGAACGGCTGCCGCTGGAGGATGAGGAAGCGGCGGTGACAGGAAGCGGGCCGCTAGGATCGCCGGGAATAGGCAGCGGCGGCGGCGGCGGCGGCGGGGGACAACAAGGTCAGCAACTTATGAGTGATCCAAACGCCGGACTATTTCATGGGATAAATCAAAATATGATGAATCCAGGATTACCAGGTGAGGCAGCGTATTGGGGGAGTACAGGTCGGCCTCCATTTTGATGAAACAACCTAAGCTGAGATTGATTATGGGGACTCGTGAAGCCATTAATTTTCTTCTGATGACATGATGATGATGATGATATTTTCAGTTGAATTCTCCTCCTTGACGTGATCCATCCATTTCTTCATGTAAGAGTAGCAGTGCTCGGTTTTTTTCCTTTTTTTTTTTTAATTAAAATAATTAGTAGTTTGTGGAGTTCTTGCTTTCTATTTAGGCTTGCTCGTGAATTCTGATTGAAAAATTTAAGGGTTTGTACAAATTGACCATCTTCTTGGATTCGTCTATGGTGATTTAATCTTAATCTAATTATATATATATAGAGAGAGAGAGAGAGGGTGATCGAGTTTGCTGTTCAACTTGGCATTCAAATGATCGATATCTATAGGCACACACAATAATCTTAATTAGCACAGCTTAATGGAAATCTTAACAATAAGTCATTAGTCCTTAGTCCATATATATATATATATATATATATACACGTCTTCTTCTTCTTCTTCTTCTTCTTCTTCTTCTTCTTCAGGTATAAATAAAGAATTAATTTGAGTAGTGTGCAGTGTAATTGATTTATGGTGTAAGTACAGTATAGTATGTAGTAGCGGTTGCTTGTCTGACAATCATATGTGTATATATGCATCACTTGCTGCTGAAGAAAGAATTGAGCCTTTAGGTGACTTTCTGTTCATTTGTATTTTAGGTTTCCTTATTCCTGTATGTATATATATATATATGTGTGTGTATTTTGCTACTGCACCATATATCCCAACCTTATCTACCTCCCTCTCTCTCTCTCCCTCTCTCTCTCTCTCTCTCTCTCTCTCTCTCTCTCTCTCTCTCTCTCTCTCTCTCTCTCTCTCTCTCTCTCTCGTGTCATAAAATGTTAGATATATATATACATAAGTTTTTTTAGAGAATATATATGTGTTATATATAATATACTCTCTATATGCATGTATATATGAATATGTGTGTATGATAATCTGGCACAGAATATTAACTAATATCCATTTTTACAGTAGTATATATGATTTGTATCTTTTTGCTGCTGCTGTTGTTGTTTGTACACTCAACTTCAAACTTTTCCCATTTCCTTCAATTTCCTTCTTTATCTTTCATTTTTATATATATAGATATATAATTTAACCTTTATTGTTACTGTACTAAAGTTAAAGATTCAACAAGCAAACATTTCTGTCTGATACTGAATGGGTGGGTGGGTGCATACGTAAGACAGTGAAAGAAACCACCATAGATATATAGCTGTATATATAAAAATAGGTTTTTGGTACTGGAAATTAAGGTTTGTTGTGCATGGAAAATGGGGTTTTGCATTGATGAGTGAGAGGGGAGGCAGAGAGGTATGGGCATAACATAGAGCCTCGATTTCTTGATTTTGACTGCAGCAGACAGGCGACACCATGAATTTCGAGGACTGTGTCACACGTGCACTGCCTCTCTCTCTCTCTCTCTCTCTCCCTCTCTCTCTATCATATCATATATATATATGTATATACCCTTTTCTCTCTCTCTAGCTACTTCTGCAGTACTCTCCAAATCTACCCACACCTTAACATACAGCATATATATGTATGTATAGGTAACCGTACAGTTGTGTGTGTTTATGGGCGGATGAAGTTGAGAGTTAGAGTTAGAGTTAGAGTGAGAGTGAGAGTGAAGGGGGATGAGTGAGAGAGGACCCACAAAGGAGGGAGCTGGGGGCTGAGGCGAGGGTTTATGTCCAGATTCATGATCAGATAGAATCGGTTCAATGAACTAATTAATTTGACATATATATATATATATATATTTTTATGTACTACTATCTTACAACCTAACATCAGTCTCTCACTCTTCTTTCTAATCCTACGCATGCTCTCTCTCTCTCTATATATATATATACATATATGTATATATGGATATGTGTTCTTTTCTTCTTACTTTCTGGGCATATATAGTTTGAAGCCCTATCTTATATGACATGTAATATGATTGCAATCTATTTATCTTCATCTTAAATTAATTAATTGATACTTTATCTCAAATGTATAGGTATGTGTTGGTAAGGAGTTTTGCATTTTATATATCTTTGTACATTATCTTGATCTTGTCTTCTTCTTATTCTTCCACAATGCATGGTCTTCTTAATGATTAAACATACCCTATATTAATTAATAGTGATATTTTGAATGTAAAATTAATATTTAAATATGATATAAATTACAAAACAAACATCTAATTTTAATTTTTTTAGACAATTTTTTAAAAAGAATAATAAAAATTAAATAAAATCGCTCAAAGGAATATAGTTTATAATAATTAATTGTTACACGTTGCTTACAATTTTCTTTTTTTTAATCATTTTACTGCTTTAATTTGTAATAGAACTTTTTGACACACACACTCATGTAGATAGATAACAACAAAGGAACTTGTTTTAATCCCACGACAAATTAGTATTGTTTTGATGAATTTTACACAGGAAAAATTCATAGAACCTGGGAAATTAAGGTGGGCCTAAATGTTCCTAGATAAAATATGTATGTGATGTGCAATTTAGTAAAGTTCCTATCTTCATTTATTTTGCCATAGAAATTTCTTACAATACATCATGAAGTGCCTTAAAATAACAGTCTTGTGTTAGAATTCTGTGCACCCAGAAAGCTGATTGTATTCTTAGGAAATAAGGGTTGAAGTATTTAAAACTTAACATGTACACTATGACAATTGACATCAAATGTATACACTCAACAAAAAGTAGACAGACATATATATATATATATATGTACCTAACAAGATTCAAAAAAGACATGAGAAAGGCAAAACCTAATCTGCAACAGATTCAGAATCTATTCGGAGTTGTATATTTTCGTCCAAGATTAGGGATTCAAATAATCTTTTATCTGATCCCTTATCTTCAACCAGTTTTTAATATTTGGACTAATATCATTTGCTGGGCTTTGTTAATTTTCATTTGGGATGTTTTATTTCATTCCCATATGTCTTCTAAATACCTTAATTGATCTATCCACCATCTCTACAAAATGAACTAATTAATGGTAGTGATCTGGTGAGGTTGAGTAATTGAGGGTTTTGCTTTTGAGGTTACAAGTGAATTTGGCAAGTGCCTTAACTAATTAAGCCATAATTAATTTGGGTACAAAGGTTGAAATTTGAAACATTTGAGGGATTACGTTAACACTTACCTCAAAAATATATATATAATCAATCAACAATGGCAGCTGCAGATTAGCTTATAGCATTGGTTTGGAGGTCATTGTGTTTGTCTGTGAATTTTAGTTTTTTTATTTAAATTTTTTAATATTAAAAAATTAAATTTGAATAATTATCTGATATTTTTTTCGTTCGGCACGGAATTTAAAGATTATTGATATTATATTGGTAGTGAGTAAAAAGTATGGATCTTGTGAGTGTATTAGTGTAAAAAGTAGTGGCAATTGTGTGTAAAAAGTAGTAGCAATTGTGTAGTAATAATAAAAAAGTAAAGGTAATTTTATAGTGATATGATTATTTATAAAAATGATACTATTGTTTTAGGACGGACAAAAATGGTAAACAAGCCTATTGTATTGGAACATAGAGGAAGTATAATATATCAAATATTTAATATGATATTTTGAATGTAAAAAAAGCAATCCAATAAAACCGACATTAAAAATTCCAGACAAATAAATTGCTTCACCAAATATTCACATCGTGGCGAGTCTTTATATACAAAACAAGAATTTGGGCAGGAGAATATAACTTAAAATCTAAGAAAGCATCATATATAACCTTTATATATACTACAGCACTCCAAACAAAGATGCTGCTGCTGCTTCTTACAAAATTTCATGTACATATCTATTCTGAACTAGTCGACTCAGAATCCTCCTGGGCATCCTCGTCGTCGCTGTGTTCACCATCAGACAACCTGTGGCTGTCAACTGCCTCAGCATCGGAGGCTTCGATGTTATCTTTATCACTGCAGTCTTCGGTGTCTGAGTTTGAGGCTGTCGCAGTGGCTGTGTCCCTCTTGTCCCAACTCCGGTTATCACTTCCAACAGCACAGCTGAACTGCTCCTTCAGCTCGGGAGCTACAATGCCTATCATCTCACTCAACGCTTCGCGCTCTCGTTTACGCCTAGCAGCAGCTTCTGAATTGGTTGATGATGGGACGTGCTGGCTCTCTGCAACCACACTGCCAGAATCATGGGCAGGTACAGTCTCACCATTGTTCTCGCCATGGACTGAGGGAGCCGTGCTGCAAGCCCAGCTACCGGCAACTTCTGAAGCCAGAAGATCGCAAGTTTTGATAGTTTTTCCATCTTCTGTGTCTTCCATTGCATCCTGAGCCTCGGGGGCGCGATTTGATTGTGAATTATGCGCTGTGTCGGGATAAAGTGGTTGAGCATCTTCCGGAGCTTTTTCCGGGGCGACAGAGTTATCATCAGCTTCCATTGTATCATCATCTCCGAACTGATGCAGTCCAAAGTTGTTGGTGTTGAGACGTACTGGGCTGGTGCTGTCGACCTGCATTTCATCCATAGCCGGAGTATCAAATTTGTTCAAATCTATAGTATTGTCGATCTTTACCCCAAGGCCTTGAGTCTCCAACACTTGTTCGGTTTCACCATCTCCTTCCAAATTCTGGGATGACACCACATCCGCGAGCAGTGACAGATGAGAATGTGATGTGGCTTCGAGTCGGGCGCCAACAACCTCTGTATCAGGCACTTGCTCGGTCCCAACAGTTTCCCCAGCCAAAATGGGTGCTGTGCCGACACCATTGACATCGGAGCCAAAGCCACCATTAAATTCTACCTCTTGTGTATCATCATTATTGTCTTGGCTTTTGGAGTTGCAGTCATGCTTCTCTGTTGCACTTGCTGCGTCGCTCGATGACTGGTTCATGTTTTGGCTGCCAGATCCGGCCTTGGCAATGCTCTTGCTTTGATGATCCTTTTCCTCACCTCTAACTGCTGACCTGTTTTGATTGTAATCAGCATTCAGATCGATGTCTATTGAGGTATTCTCATAATTCTCTTCATCCTCGAGGGTCTTTTGCATCGACTTGAGTTGTTCCTGCTGTTTGGCGAACAAAACTGATATCTCCTCTGTCGTGGAATAGAATGCGCGGAGCTGAGTTTCACTGCATCAAGATCACTGATATTTTACTGACCACCGATTCATCTAATTAAAATATGATATCCCATCTAATTCTCAGAATAAGTGGCATCCATCATATATATCTGCCCTTACCGAAGCATAATTCTTTCCCTAGCACCTTTTAGCCTGCGCCTTTCGAAATCAAGATCTCGCATTGCAGCACTGATCTCGAGCTCAAGAGCAGATACCTTTGCCCATGCTTCTTCCCTTGCAGCCTGCTACAGCAGAAATAGAAATCTCAGTTTTCAATGTAAAAACTATGCAAAGTACCATTGTCTCATTTCCAAATAAGAAGATAATATAGGGTCATCCAGGGTGAGACGAGAGTTTTGCAGAGCACTATACATACAGCATTCCTACCTTTTCATTCTCAAGTTCTTTCTCCAGCATTTTCCGTTCGTGCTCAAGTTCTTCAACCCTCTGAAAATACAAGGAATCAATGACCAGCACATCTCAAAACTAATGACAGTTGACCGCAAGTAGGGCAAGTATAAAAGACAAACTTAAAATTACTTTTCTACTACAGGTAGAAGCTTGCTGCTCCTGGTGTATTTGACCCTCCAGTAAACGGACTTTGTATTCGGAATTGACCAACTTTTGTCTTGTATCCTCCTGCCATAAAAAGAACAGGGAAACATAAAGACCATGACCAGACCACACATACCAAGAAAACAAGGATAAAGCATCATACCAATTTGGACCTCAAAACTTCGACCAGCGAACACCTTTCCTTTTCTACTTCCTACAAAACAAGTCATATTAAGTGCCTGAATATAAAAAGGATTGATGATAGACCAAAGTCATCTCATTTACCTGAAGTTTATGTATCATTTCTTGCAATTCATTCTCACGTCTTAAAGCACTATCGGAGAGCTGTTTTATTTCCTCTGCAGCCTCAGCTTGAACCCGGTGTATAGCCATTTTCATGTCTGCAGAAGCCTTGTCACGCTCTTCTCTCCTTTGATCACGCTCTTCATCTAATAAAACCTTCAGTTCAGATATAGAGGCCTTCTGGCTGATCAAGGAAAAATGCATTAATATATTTACACATCTCCAAAAAAATATGAAATCATCAAACCGGACTTATGCATACAACCCTTTACGTGCAAGCAATGCAAATTTAAATAACAACCTCAAATGACCACTCCCACTAAAAAAAAGGACAAATCAAGTCAGTTGAAATTAAGAGTTCAGCCTCAAAATGCACAGCGCTTAATTTTACCTATAGAAGGGAGTAGAGCCCAAATAATAGCAAATATTACAGTAAATCCCATCCCTCAAGAAAGAAAGAAAAAAATCCAATGCCAATATACAGAAAAGCTGATTTTGAAGAGTGCACTGCCTTAAGGGATTTGATAGAGGCAAAAATTAGTTGGTACCTATTAATTATTTCATTTGCTTCATGACATGATTGCGTTGATGCACTAAGTCTTTCTGTAAGGTCCTCGATCCCATGTTTTTGCTCAGCCAATACTCTATTGAGCTCCGATAGTTCCTTTTCTTTAGCCTCCAAAGACTGTTTCAGCTCAATGAGTTGATCATGATAAGATTTTGAAACTGATTCTTTTAACTCTCTCATTTCCTGCGGATAAAGACATCATTAATCCTCACAATAATAAGCATGTATAAATATTACAAGCTTCAGGTGTGACAGCCAACATTGGAAAGGATATTATTAACATAACCATATTCTTGATTAGAGATACTCATTAACACTTTCACTTTACAAAAATACAATGGTTATAAAAAGATCCACAAAAGCAAGCTTGTTGTTTATAATAGATGAACTACCACTTGAATTAGGTTAAATAACAAGTTAACAACTAAAATATATTATTTGTATTTTTATTCAGTCTTATTTGTTCAAGTACACTTTCTTTTCGTGCATTAATGCACTGGCAGTTCTTTGTTCTAAATCCCTTAACTCGGAATTTTGTTTAAAAAAAAAACATCGTAGTGATTTTTTCTAATATGGCAGCCCCTCTAATACCATGATTGAAATAAAAACAGCACCCTAGTATTAACTGCGTTATTACAAACCTAATTATATAGCAGGTCCAATACAATAAATTAGCCTATACAAGGAAGATGAAAATTCTGTATGCATCGCTCCCTCTCAAATGGGAGGGTGTGATGCCCTTAATTTATCCCTAGATGCGTAACAAACAGCTGTCTGGTAAGCATCAAGTGGCTACTAAACAGTAGGTCACCATTAAATCACAAGCATTTTGAACTTTGAAAAAGCCCCTTTTCATAACTATGGATCACATACAGGGTAAAAATAATGAATTTATCACATAGGAGATGCAAATGACGAACAAAAGGTAAAGCACACTTAAGAAATCATTGACATTAGAGATCTTAAGGTGTAACCATGGTAAGACAAGTTCCATGATATAGAAAAAGTGACAAGAAAGAGGACTGATGTATGACAAAAGCAATACATACAATTGCATGTTTCTCGATTGCAGCACGACTATCACTGCGCAAGGATTCAACAGTCGCAACCTGATTTTCCAGAGATTTTCTCAGTTCCTATATAAACAAAATGCGTGATGAAGAAGTTATCAAAAGATGTAAACTAAAAAGGAATCTCTAAGTAGACGATCCCAATATGTTGCAGAACTGACAGAATATTTGGTATTTACAGTATTGAGACAACCCATAAATACCTTGTTTGATCGTTGAAGGCTCCTGAAATCATCCAGAGAAATTGGACCTTCAGAAGCTCCGATGCCAATTCCTTTCAACCTCTTGCTTTCAGTGCCACCTTGTTCTGCAAGAAATGGAAAAAATTGTACACAAAAAGGTCAAATAAATCTTAACCAAAGCAAAACTTAATACACTATTCATGCACTATTTAACGAGTGCAACTAGAACTTTTTCTCAGAATTATCTAACCATCTTGAAATGTCATAAAACTTCACATATACTGAACCATTTTCCCTTCTTTAGACACAGTTTCATTTCAATGATTTTAACCCTGTATTATGAATTCAAACCTAGTATATGCAATTGCATAATCCAACCATTTATGATGTAATAGTTAACTAGGGTATAAAAAATGCAACACGTATGCAGATGCAGCAGATTTTAGTGTTTTTATCATGTAAACTTGCCATCAGGTGTATAACTGTATATCATTTTTACTTTCAAAAGATGAAAAGGAAGAGAGAGAAAGAACAATTAACCTGATTTCCTCTTTAGAGATCCATCATCAGGTATACAAGAGGACTTTTGAACTTCACGATAGACAAATGCATATGCAAGAGCTGCAAACATGGACAAGAAGACAGGTTATAACACAAGTTTGATAACTGTCATTTCCTGCAAAAGTTGCTTGCATAGTTGTACACACAATAAGCAACAAATGAACACCATAAATTGAAAATAGGAACAGCATATGACACCAATATGTCTTAATAAAATAATAATTTGTCAAAATTATTTAAACATTTGTGTTGCTTCAGTGCAATGCACTAAAAAATCGATACATCTACATAAAACAGGACATACAGTGTACGGAAGGCTAAGCTACATGAAAAAAATAAAATTTACTAAAAATAAAAATAAGAAATCAGGCACTAATTCTACCATGGTGTGGAGCATATGGTAGTGAGATAATGTCTCCATGGTTCAGCTTTTCCTCAGAGCCACTCTTGGTCAACTTTTTCCAGTTCAAAAATGACCCGTTTGTGCTGCCAAAAGAAAACCACCAACACTCCTTATATATCAAAGTCCATCACTTCACACTGAAACTCATAAACAGCTAACCTAGTATCCTTCAAAAACACAGAAAAATTGTCTGATAAAGGTTCTGCATCTTCAGTAGTAACTTTCGTCCGAAAAATTTTACAATGGCTACCACTAACTGCAGTTTCCAAAATCTGGAACCGAGAATCATCTACCAGCCGACCGATGCAGTGTTCATCTTTAGTCAAAAGCAAATGCATGCCCTGGAAATCCAATTCATAAATAAGCAAGCTTCTAATAACATGCAACATTAAATAAGTGCTTCCAGAATATCAAAGGATAATGCCTTGAAGATACTAGAATCAAACAAGCTGAACAGAGTAAACACTTTAACATTGTTCAAATCAAACAAACTAAACAAGGTAAACTAACCTATGAATTGGAGTATAGGATAACTTTTTCAATAATTTGGAAGTAAGAACTAAAACAAAAAGAGAAGTCACCCTCACCCTCAAAAAGACTAAAGGAAAAATACAACATTGATGGTTATAATTATCATTCGACAAAAAGATGCAAGAATGTAAAAATTAGTCAACAAGACATGACTGTTTAATAAATGCTCAATATTAACGCAGAAATCCAGTATTCTAAACAAATCATGGCCCACCAATTGATAGTGTAAGATACATAGACCAACTCTAAACCTTGAAGAATAGTATGATATATTTCTGAAAGACCCAGCATGATCTCAATTCTTTCACAAGGAAAACAGTTAAAAACGCCTTTTTGGCATCAAATTTTGAATTAAATGAATTCAGAATATTTGGAAGCTTATTTATCTACCAGAAGTGCATAAAAATGAAAGGATTTCAATGCCTATCAAAATCATCTACATCGAAGTTGTATTTGAAAAAAAAAAAAAAAAAAAAAAATTGAGAATCTCAAATTTAATTTGATGCAATGTTAACCTTACCGACCAATTGCAGCCCCTCCTAAGAAAAAATAAAAAATAAAAATATTTCACAAGTAACATTTCTCCAGAATTTCCATTAAAACGATGAGCGAAGCACATTATGAGAAGAGCACAAAATAAAAGCAATGGGAATTCTTGAAAAGAAAATGCTATTAATAAACTTGGGGGGGGGGGGGGGGGCGCGGCGGAAGCATTTCGCAGTGATAAACCTGGTTGCGCTTGCGTGCTTTATCCGATATAGCAGTGAGCACGCCCCAAACAAGGGGATCAGCAAACGAAATCGGCTGAGCCACCATTTTCGCGGCAACCGAGGATATGAACTTCGCTGCACCCTGCGGATTCTTTGTCGACATAGAGCTACAGTCGTCGCCCCCATTTTGGGACCCAGCGCCGGCGTTGCTAAGAGACTTTCTATCAGAAATCAAGCCGGAACTGCGGTTGGCAACCTTCGGACACTGCTCATTATCTTCTTCCTTCTCCATTCGCGCGGGATTCGTGTGAACAGGGTTCTGAAATGGCGGGGATTTCGAACCCTAGATTTAGCGAGTAGCGTGTGGAAGAAGCTGTACTCCTTGTTAATTCGTTTTACTTACAGATAAACTTTTTTAACTGAGTAATAAATTCCTTACTACGGTAATAGCAGATTCATAGGTTTAGGTCTTGGCCCATGTTAAGAGACCTGAACCGCAATTTGTGGGCCGCTGTCCGTTATAAGTGGGCCTTATGATGGGCTCGTTATAGGGGCCTTATTTATGTGGCCTTTTGTAAATGGACAATGTGTTGTTGATCTGTTCTCTGGGCCTACAATTATGGGCCGTAGTGTATGAGCCCTGGACTATTGTTATTGGGCCATTTTACTGGACTATATTTTTGGGCTTATCTGCTAACCATAATTGGGCCTATAAATGGGCTAGACATTTATAATTGGGCTTGTGTCTCATTTATAGCAATTTGGCGATTACCAGAACCAGAAGATTCATTCATTGCACAGCTTACTTCGTACACAGCTACGCTCCTACCAAATTGTGGCGGTTTATACCATGCCCTTTTGAAATACTAGAATTCTCCCTCCGTCGTTCTGCTCTAAACCCTAAATTCGGTTCAGACAACGGCGTTTTCCGGGCAATGTTTGGCGGAGGTGACCAGCGGCGAATGTCCGTGGACGGCGAATCGCCGAAGCCGGTTTGATTTTTTCCGCCCAGTCTGTTTGATTTAATTTTTCGCTCGTTTTGCCTCATGCTTTGGTGTTTTGGGGTTCGTTTAAGCTGCGTTCGCATGTGTCTTCGAGGATATGCGTGCCGTTAATTTTGTATTGAAGGCCTTAGACATAGAGCGAGACTGCAATTTGGGTAGAATTGGAAATGTATATGATGAACGTGCAATTATGATCTGTTGACAAATTATCTTGCTTTGATTCTTTGCAGCTGTGTGCTTTTGGGAATGCATTTTCATTCAATTTCTTGAAATAAGTTCAATAATTTATTTAAAAGGATTTAGGTACTAATTTTAGGGTGCTGCATGTCTATAAATTTGATAGCTTCTCTAAGATCCAGTGGAAAATATGTTTGTATGTTTCTAAACTAAAATTTTCAGTTGTTAATTTTACATCTTGCACGCCTCCATATGTGAGGCTTGTTTAAGTGTGATTAACATGGTGTTTGTCTTTTTTTACTTTAATTTGTGTATCCAATCAAGCTGACTGAAATATGGGTTATTGATGTTTAATGGATCCAAAAGTCCTATAATTAAGCTGCCAATTTTACTTTGGAATATTATCTAATTGGTTTTTGCCATAAACACGGTCTCTTTAGTTTATTAAGACTATGGAAATTGATTTGCAACGAAAATGCCTCTGACACTGTTTCATTATCTATAGCTGAAAGAAACTGTTAGACACCCACACATGCAGGTTCCTAATAAGCGTGGGCTTTTGAGAGTTCTACATTTCCTCAAGGTTGAACAGTGTTTATTTTTTGTTATGCCAGTTGCCAATCAACTATGCAAGGCCATTGGTCATTGCTGACCCCTCAGCAGGACAAAGCTCTCCTTTTTCAAGGGAGAACGTGGACCCTGAATCAATTGCAATCCACTCTAAGGTTTTTCATTACATGGCTTAGCCTCTTTTTAAGATGTATCACCCATTTTCTTGGCTCCTTTAGGATATGATTCTTCTTGTTGGAGCTGATACATTTACAGGCTTCATCTGTGAAAAATAATGACATGGGTTGGTGTAAATGTTGCAGAAACTTGAGGATGGTTTGAAGGAACTGGGTGCAAAAATTAAGCATCATGAGCAAAATGTCAAATTTCTGAAGTTTCAGATAAGCAAACTGGACGATGATATACTTGATAAACGAGGTTTCTGTATTTCCAATTTCTGCTGTCTTTTCAGCAATCTTGAAATTAAGATTCAAAAGAGTCTTCATCCTAGCCTTGTTGCTTGTTACTTGCACAATACATTATTTCCTTGTTTCATGGATCTCCTTCATATGTTTGGGATTTATCGGATTCTGAGCTGCAGAAATGTGAATGAATCATTCTTTGTTCCTATCATGGTCACATGGTGAGAAATTAATATTCATATGGCTATCCACCTGCTTTTGTCCTTTCAGCTTCTATTGGGAACTATTACACAAGTTTTTCTAAAGTGGAAAATGAAGACTCCTCATGTTTGCAGAATGAGGAAGAGACAGCTCAATCTATTCTCAAGTATGAGAAATCTGTTGCTGCCATTTTCTATAGCCTGAAAACTAAGCCTGAAGGTCAGGCTTCTAATCATCCATGGATGAAAGATGTGGTTGGTGTTGTTGCCATGCTTGGAAAGGTTAATGATGCTAACCTTAGCAGGTTAGCCTAATGCTTCTACTTTTTTCCTTTTAAACTTGACAAAATTATTACTGTCATAATATCCATGGGCATACCCTTTGCTGCCATGTATTGGGACTCCTAGATTTGCTCAAAAAATGTTTGCTATATGCAACCAATGTTTACTTTCTTCCAAGGATATAACTGCCTACATGGTGTCAGAGATCATCAAGTATATTAAATATTCTATTCTGCAAGTGATTCACTAGTTTGTGAATAATAAATTGAAGCTAAGGTGCAGAAAAGGAAAAGTAATCTAGTAACTATGGCTAAGTGTTTTGCTGTTCACTTGTGTGCTAGGCTTCTTTCAGATTATCTGGGCCTAGAGACCATGCTAGCAGTGGTCTGCAAGACTCACAAAGGTGTCAAAGCCCTAGAAGCTTATGACAAAGATGGTTCCATTAACAAAGGTTTAGGAATTCATGCTTCTGCAGCATCTATGGGCAAGTCTTTGGATGAACGATTTCTTCTTATTTGTCTTGAAAATTTAAGGTGTGTGTTCCTATGTATGAGTTCATTGTTTTTGGTTTTGATCAAGTGGCTTCTAATAATGACTTCCCTTCCATTGAAATTTTATTGTGGGTGTTGTAGACCATATGCAGGTCAGTTAATAGATGGAGATCCTCAACAACGGCTCGATCTATTAAAGCCAAAAACTATAGATGGAGAATCTCCTTTGGGGTTCCTTGGTTTTGCTGTAAATATGATCTCTATTGATCCCAGTGACTTGTATTGCTTGAACAAAACTGGACAGTGTCTACGAGAGACACTATTCTATAACCTCTTCTCAAATTTGCAAGTGTACAAAACAAGGGAAGACATGCTAAAGGCTCACCCCCTTATAACACATGGAGCTATATCTTTAGATGGAGGGGTGATCAGAAGTCCTGGGGTATTCTCCTTGGGTCATCATCGGTAAGCAGTTTGGCATCACATATTGTCAGTTGTTTTAGATGACTGGCAATCTCAATATGTCAATTAGACATCTTATTGTGTTGAGCAAAAGCATGATTTGAAATTCCTATTATTTTCATAAAACATCTGATGTTAACTTTGTTTTCTCTCACTTAGGCATATCTTATTTTGAAGTGAATATTATTATTGTTTCAGGGGAGATGTGAACGTAAAGTTTCCGTTTGACTCCAAAAAGGCTTGCCTTCCTGGGAACTATTATGAGGTTGACAATCAATGTAAAGAAATGAAATGGAAGAAGGACCGAGCAGCGGAAGATTTACAGAGAGAGCAAGAACTATTAGATCATACAAGGTTCAAGTTTGAGGCAGTAAGGCAAGAATATGTCCTGTTTCTTGCCGAAAGCTCAGCACAGTTTGCCAAGGTTATACCTTAGTCCCCTGCTTGGTCTATTTGGTGTTACTGATTATAGTTTTCTTTTCTGGTCAAGCTTCTATAGAAATTTTTGTGGCTAGAGATTATATAGTTTTGTACATTTCGTGATGTTGCTGCTTGCAAAAGGCAGTTTTCTATTTTAACAACTTGCTGCAGCTTCTTGATCCCCACAGCCTTTTGCAAAGGGAATGCAAGGCCTATGCGACCTTTTCTAAGGAAATTTTAAATTTCCGCGGCACCCCTTTTTAGTCGTCTTAACATGTTTCTACAACCTAAAGATGGTTTATGAGTTTATAATGCCTAACTTTGGACATTAGGATGTAGTCTTTGTTTCTCAATTTATGAAGCACATTCACTAGTTTCTTTTCCTATTTAACTGTCTATTCTATTGTGTGTCGTATCAGCTCCAGATGCCAGGGCGAGGTTCAACCCCAAGATGATCGTGGAAACAAATCAGTAGAGTTGGAAATATATGCATCCTTGGCTCGGCGTGTATATGGATGTATTGTTTTGACAATCTGTGAAGGTATTTGTAGATGTGTTAGCTGAGAAAAAATTGCCAGCACCGATTAGCTTTTCGAGGCGGTGTTGTGATTCAATGGATTGCTTGCAATTGTATTGCTGGTAAGTAAAACTGTAGCACAGTTATGACATTGTAGTTTGGCTGTCTTTGCTGGATTATGGGCCCTGCCCTTTCTGCTACCAAATTAATAAAATTCAATACACAAATGCAACCGGATGGATTAAGGCCTAACATGAAAATACACTTTCCTAATATATCAACATGAGAACGACAGTTATTGTGCTAATATACAAAATTTAACACAGTAGAAAGACAAGACAGACAGTAAAATAAAGACAAAACATAAATTGACAGTACACAACATAGTAATATATTGTTTAATTATGCCAACATGAGTTATTTCAGAGGAAGACTATCACAGAGCAAACATTGTGAGTTAAGGACAAAATTGGTGACAAGTTTCAGGCAAATTCTTCAGAATCGGCTGGAAAAGGCAACCAATAATGAAAGTTGACTTCATTTTTTCAATCTGAGATGATAGAAAGTTATACTCTCTGTCGGGTACCTCCCAACATGCCCAAGTGTCTGCTTGTCTCATGAATTACATCAATCTTACTTTTAGAGCAACTAGCCAGCAAGCGGGTTAGCATGTATTGTTACACGATTGATCCTGATCTCCATAAGAGGCCGGTCCCCTGGTCCTGTTTGTGCCTGGGAAAATGCAAGCAATGTCGATTAGAATCTAGTGTAATTAGGGAATATAACAGCTTAATCATCAACAATTTTGTAAATATAATAGGTACATTTGTGCTACAGAGACATATGGAGAAATCGAGAAAAACTATGGGCCAATTGAATCATAGAATTTCTTAGCTAACGACAGAATGGGGTCGAATCCATGAGGCATTACCTTCTCCATTATATCAAGAACTTCAAAGCCATGAATCACTTTGCCAAAGATGGTGTAGAGCCCATTAAGATGAGGTTGCTTTGCGTAAGTAATGAAAAACTGGCTTCCATTAGTATTAGGACCACTATTCGCCATGGACATTATACCTCTAGCATTGTGCTGGAAAAAAATCAAATTTTGAAATGAATAATCAAAATGTATACAGTACATACAAATCATTCAGCTGTGTGTTAATGAATATGATGCCAAAGTACTAAGATAAATTATCAATTTCAATATTTGGCTACAGAATCAGCTAGGAAAAATAAACATGTAGCTGCAGGTTTTTAGATCAATAAAATGTAGTTACAATATACTACGGCATTCCTGGTTTATTATGAACCATATACAAACATATACATATATCTTATTAAAGTGGATGTTGCAAGACACAATATCCTCTTTGTAGCCAATTTTGGTGGCTCTATTCGCTCTTTCTTAACGGGGAAGAATGCATATCAATACAATGTAGGCACAATCAATGAAGATATTCCTGGTCTATTCACCCTTTTTAGATCAATACAATGTAGTTACAATCAATGAAGATATTCCTGGTCTATTATGAACCATATACAAACACATATATATCTTATTAAACTAGGTGTTGCAAATTCACTCTTTCTTAATGGGGAAGAGAGAAGGTGGATGTATATAAGCTGAATTACAGTCATTTGAGCTACCATCCAAGTAGCAGAATTTAAATATGATGCCATAAAGTTTTTAAAATGAAAGAAAGATATGAAATAAAAGATCAAACTACCTTAAGTGACTCTCGTATCTCATCATTGAACTTCTTACCCCATATACTCGTTCCACCCTTGCCTGAGTTAGTTGGATCACCGCCTTGTATCATGAATCCCTTAATATTTCGATGAAATAAGGTTCCATCATAATAACCACTTGCACATAGTGCCAGGAAGTTCTGCAAAACAATTGTAGCAGTTCAAAGTCTAGCACTGACTATGTAATGTAAATAAGCTTATTTTCCAAGAACATCATCCAAATTGGCATTGCAATTCGCAAATTGCTAGGACTAGCAATAAAAGTAAGAACACGCATTTAGAATGATAATGCACACGAAAGTAATAGTAAAACGAAATAAACAGCGTTCCCCTCCTCGGTTAGCAAATGGCGAACCGAGAGAGCTTTCCTTGAATTAACGCACTAACTGCCAGAAATTTAAATAGAACAGAACGGAAGAATTCCTCCCCCAAAATAAAATTTTTTAACAAACATAAGCCATGACATAAGCACGAGCACGCACTTCAGCGGTCTTGGGAACTTCATCGCAGAAGATTTCGCACTTGATGTCTCCCAAATTTGTGTGCAACGTCACAGACTGTAAAATTCATCATCACAACAGTAACTTCACAAACTCTAGCAAATTAATACAGATAACTTAAACTGCTTAATTAAGCTCCACACCGGAGGCAACATCGAAAATTATACTCACCATTGAGTGTGTAGCTACAGATATGTCGGGAACTCAAAGAGCTCTGCAGAGATCGTGGTTGCCCTTGCGGTGAAAAGATAATCGATTCCTCGAGATTTTTTACAATTTCCTCTTCTGCAATTTCCTCTTCTGCAATTTCAAGCAAATGAATTTTTTATAGACGCGAATGTGAAAAAAGATTCGAGCTTGAGCGAGAGGGAAGCGTAATTACATTTTACTACATAAACTCTCTTTAATATCTTTTTCATCCCCTTATATGGCGAAACTTTCCATATGCTCCGTATATTTTAAGTAATTACACTTTTCACCGCATAATTTATTTAAATTACCTATTCGGTAAACTAGTTTGGTAGTGTCCAATATTTGTTCTTCCATTTCAATTTTCCAGTCAAAAGTCGTATTCATAATTTGAATATTCTCCTATAATACAGTGTATATAGCAAATAGTTTAATATTTTTGTATGCCCAATACAATAGTCTTATTTTTATAAATAACTATATCACCATAAAATTATACTTATTTTTTTATTACACAATTGTCACTACTTTTTACATTAATACACTTACAAGGCAAAAACTACCAATATAATATCAATATTTTTTAAATCTCGTGACCAATCCAATTAAAATTATATTTATGGGACGAAGGGAGTATTTCAACTTTATTTTCATTAAATAATGACATTATATTAATATATGTTTATAGTAGCAAGTTGGTATTAATATTCTATAAAATAATGTAGTATTACATTAAAATACTACCATAATAATTTAATCGAATATGCTACTTCATTTTAATATTTTTGCTTGTGTTATTTAATAATTTTCATTCTTATTTTTTATATGTAACGTAATTTTATAAATTCTATTTAAAACAAAATTTACAATAAGTATAATATATTTTAAATAAAAAATAATAATAATTTTGAGACTCTATAAAAAAATTTGAATTATTTTGTTTGAATTGAAAAGTCATTATTTGACAATGTGTTAGCTAGCAATTTCATATATTTAGTTCACTTGATTATATGTACATGTGCCTATTTGCCATAAGATGATTCAGCTTCGTGATCTTGTTTGATATTTGTCTGATGATTGTATTAATATTTTGTATGTTACCATGTTTTTTTTGTATTTTTTTTGATATATTTTATTATTATATATAGTATTATAGAGATTAAATAACTATTATATTTCGTATATATGAAAGAAATATTGAGCGTGACTATTTTATAAAAATTACTATTGAGTAAATAAATATACAAACTAAAAACAAAGACTGCCTCCGTTGTTTTATTAATAAATTGTGCACTTGTATCGTAAATATTTTATTTTATCTTTAAAACTTTAGATGAAAATAATGGTTAAATATGTAAAGCCGTAGACACAGGTAAACAAAACTGTCTTAATCCTCCCCTCCAAAATATAATCTCACCTCAAAGGAAATTTTTAGTGGAATCCATTACAACGGATAATCTGGTGGTGTAGGAAATGAACTTATAACCTTGAGGTCGTCTTAGAGGTTTATCTGTCAGTTCGTCTATTGTAATTTGTTTTATCGAACAACATATCTGCTCAGTACATTTTTTATAAAATATATATATATATATAATAGTAGGTGGGATGGAGTAACTATAATATATATATATATACACATTAATACTATATATAATATATAGTATATTTTATTAATAGACAAAAAGTCAAAAAAAAAGTTAAAAAAGATTATTTTTTTATTTCATCAACATTTCAAGATTGTAATGGTGTATATTGTAGGAATAAGCTTGTAGTATAAATTGAAAACTACAGTTTTCATGTTTGTCGGAGGGGCTTTCTTCTTATTAGCTTGATCAGCTAGTCGGTAAAGTAATAATTTACCAAGGCGATGATCAACAGTGGTGGTTCGAGAGGATGATCAGTCAATGTATTATATGTTATTTTACTTTATTTTATTTTATTTTAATTACATTGATACCAATTTTTTTTTTTTTTCTTAATATATTGTGTAGAAATTAAAAAAATAATAAATTGAAAAATATTTTTTAAAACAATAATAATTGGTCCCTCCATATACCTGTTGTGTCTGCATAGCCTTTCGTTTTACCTTTATCCGATAAGGAAACTGTTCTGATCAGAGCTGCTAGGTTCCATTCCATGGCCGCCGTGCGTAAATCCATCACCGTCCTGGAAACCTGTCTCGTCTCACCGCCGGCACACGGCCCCACGGCGGCGGAGCAAATTCTGCACCTCACATATTTGGACCTGCCATGGCTGCACTTCCACCCCACCCAGCGTCTCCTATTCTACCAATTCCCATCTTCCACAGCACATTTCCAGGAAAACATCGTTCCAGGTTTCACAAAATCTCTCGCCCTGGCGCTCAAACATTTCTATCCTCTCGCCGGGAATTTGATCTATCCAGAAAACTCAGACCGGATTCCTTATATCCGGTATGCTCCCGGCGACTCGGTTCCGGTCACCGTCGCGGAGTATAATGGTCAGAGTTCGGATTTCGATTACCTGACGGAGAATTATCCCCGAGATGCCGATGAATTCCACGCTTTCTTCACTGATTTGTCGCCTCCGAGGACTGAACCTGAATCTGGATTCCTGGCATGTCCTCTGTTCACTGCGCAAATCACTCTGTTTCGTGATGCTGGAATTTGCCTCGGATTTAATAATAGTCACACTGCCGGCGATGCTAGCTCGATCGTCGGATTTTTGAAGGCGTGGAGCTTGATTGCTAGGGTTGGGAACGATGGCGTGTTCTTCTCGGAGGATCGTCATCCGCTTCTCCCTGTGTATGATAGATCTCTGGTTAGTGATCCTTCTGGCCGTCTGTTGAACATTTTATGGAATCAAATGAAGGATTTCAGGATCGAAGTCCTGCCGGAGAATTTTCCGACGAACAGAGTGCGAGCTACGTTTATTTTGAGAAGAGAGGATATTCAGAAGCTCAGAAGTATGGTTCAATCGAACAAACCTAATTTGATCCACCTCTCATCTTTCACAATCACCACCGCGTACGTCTGGAGTTGCTTTGCCAAATCCGCCGCGGAGGCAGGGGAGGCGGTCGGAGACGACGAAGTGGAGTACTTCGGCTTCGCCGTCGACGCGCGGCTAAGGACGAAACCGCCTATTCCGGCGGCCTATTTCGGCAACTGCGTCGGCCTCGTCGTGACAGAATCGACGCACTCGGAGTTGAAAGGAGAGCAAGGGTTTCTGATCGCGGTGGAGCTGATCGGAGAGTTAATCCAGAAGAAGGTGAACAAGGAGGATGAGTTGTTGAAGGACGCGGAGGAGTGGTTAGCGAGATTCGGCGGGATCATCGGAAAACGCGCGCTTGGGGTCGCCGGCTCGCCGAGATTCGACCTCTACGACGCCGACTTTGGGTGGGGAAAACCGAAGAAGTATGAAGCGGTGGCCATCGACGGCGAGAGATCGATGTCACTCTGCAAATCCAGAGAATTCGACGGCGGCTTGGAGATCGGCTTATCAATGTCCAAGACGAATATGGAGGCTTTCGCCGCCGTATTCCCTTCCCTATTGAATTAATTATTATTATTTAATATAATATAAAAAAAATAGTAGTAAATAGTACTTATATATATATGTATCATTGTTTTCCGGCATTGCAGCGCCGCCGGGGATGCGGCGGAGCAGATTCTTCCATGGCAGTTCTTCAATCCAAATCCACCTGAAACGTCCTGGAAATTAACCAGTGTATAGAATTTCAGGGAATCTCTTTTCGGCCGGCGTTACCTTCATCGTGCCGGGAAACTTATTCAGGCATGCCTGAATTGCCGTCCCGGAGACCATGGGTTAATTTTTCGCCGCCGTGGGACGTCTGGAAGATGCATTCTTTGCCGGAGAAAAAAATTGACTCGTTTGCGGAGGTCTTCTACGCCGGAAAATGAGTGCAGATAAGAAAATGCATCCCCGCCGATAGGATTTGCTGCTTTTTTCTATTTATGGGTGATTTTCTTGTACGTGTGTGTATTTTTTTTTTAAAAATAATAGATATTTAAATATTTAAAAATTATATTTTAATAAAATATATACCATAGGAATGTTAGTTTAAAATATAAAATTTTATATAATATTAATAAAAAAATATTTCTTATTAGTATATATTAATTTTATAAAAAAAATGAAAAAATTATAAGTATAAAAGAAAATTGTTTGTTAAAAAGAAATATAAATAAAGAGAATTTGAGGGTGTGTTTGTCCGGGAATTGAATTTTAAATATACTATTTATTTTATTTTTTTCTCAAAAAAATATCAAATCAAATACTTATTTTTTATTTTTTATATTATATTAAAAATTAATTTTATATTCAAAACATCACATCATATAACTATTGAAATTCAAAATATTTCCTATTCAAATCTTAATTCAAAATTTAAACCCCAAAAAAATACACCGTGAATGATCATGTGTAAGAGATTTAGGGTGTGTTATTGGTTTGAGAAAAAGTTTGGGGTAATTTTAATACTCCGTTCAAGTAAAAAGTATACATTTATTTTTATTGCAGAGTTTAAGAAATAATAATATTTTAATTACAGTGGACATGTGGATAGGTAAAAATAGTGTAATGATATTTTTGTTTTACTTTTTTAGGTATAAAAGTAATAAAGTGACGTAAAATAGAGATATTTGTGGAAAAAATAAGATATTTAATGAAATTGTTACTTTTTCAACGTCCCAAGATAAGAATATTTATACTTTTTAGCCGGATAGAGAAAATATTAAAATAACATTTGACTTGATATTTTGTGACAAAAAAAACATTTTATTCGTTTTAATTCAAAGTAACGGATTGAGTTATTGTAAGATATTAAAAAAATAATAATATTTTATTGTCTCCGTTCTAATTGAAAATATTTTTTCTATATTCAAAAATATTATTTATTTTTTATTATAGACAAAATAATTACATATACTATTAAAATATCATCTACTAAATTTATATAAATTACAAATATATCATTCTAAATACAATTAATTTATAAAAAATATAAATAATAAAAATATTAAAATTATTAACATATGATTATTTTATTACAATAAAAAATAAATATTTTTAAATACAACTGATAAAAATAATAAAATAATATATTTTTGTTGGGACGAAAAAGAGTATTAAAAAATACCAAAGATAAGTATAAATAATTTTTTTTTTTTTAATTAGTGTTTTTTCTATATTTTACCAGACACCAAATATCCAACCAACCAACAAATAATTATTGCTGATAGTAGCTGCCAACTTTCCCACAAACTCCCTTGTCTCTTTGTTAGCAGCGATTCCAGAAGGATCTATTATCTATACGACTGCACATTTGGGCCTGATGGGCCATAACATCGAAATCTTATGGGCTCAAAGGCCCAATTCATTTTTTAGCATAGCAATGGATCAATAAATGTAAACCAGAGACCAACACAACTTACAAACAGGAGGGGGGCAAAGTGAAAATTTAGGTTGAAAAGTATGGGCAAAAGTGGAATTTAGTGAAGGTGGCAGGACTCTACTGAATTGGTGCCAAAATAAAGCTGACATGACAAAACACTTAAAGCCACTGCTGCTGAATCATCTTCAACAATTTTTGTTTTCTTCTCTTTCTCTCTTACACACACAACGCCAGTAAGAATGGCAGCATGCGCGTAATGAGTGATGAAATTTTAACTTTTAATTTAAATTTTTTTTTTTGTTCTCAAATTTTAGGCGGTTTGATTTTGGCTTTTTCTTGATTTCTGTTGAGTTCACGTACATCATCATACATCATTCATCTCTGTAATCTGTATCTCACCAGCCTTTATTTATCACATTATTAATTATGCATACAACTACAAGAAAAGAAAAGAAATACATACTCCATTTCTGTATCTCTCTTTCTTTCTCTATATAATCAAAGAAACAAAGAATCAGAATTGCTTTACACCTGTTTCGACAGTGGGGGGTTTTCAGACAGGCTGCTGCAGGTCAGACTCTCAGAGCATTACTGTTTGAATTGACCACCATCTCCTTCTCCTCTATTCACTTCATCTTCTTCTTCTCTGCCTTTTTTTTTCTCTCTCGGAATTGAAGAAAATACCCACCCCCACCCCACCTCGCCCCACCCACCCCGCCCATCAAATGTTAAATTAATTGCCAATGCATTCCCAACCACTCAACCCCACCACTGCACTTGCACCTCTTCCTCCTCCAGGTTCCTCTCTGCTCTGCAACTGCATCTGCTTCTGCAACACACACCCAAATACTATTTAATAAACAAATCAATGCACCGTGTCTTGTTTTAATGTTGTTTTGATTGATATAAGGGTTTTTCTTTTATGTGTTATTTGGGAAGATTGCGCTGCTGCTGCTGCTGCTACTGCGCCGGAGATCAATCTTGATCTGGGGATTGGGAGGAGTGGACATGGAGATAACGATAACAATGACGATAATGTGAAGAGGGATGGTAGAAGATCATTTGGAGAAGCTAAGAAGAAGGAGCCCAGTTTCAGTGCCTTGCAGTTTCATCAGTTCTTCAACCAAATCCTTGTTTACAATTGGATAGCTCGTGGTTTGCCTGCTCTGCCCTTTGCCCTCTTTTTCCCCACCTGTAAGCCCTCTCTCTCTCTATATATACAGATGATGATATATGCTCATGGGATTCTTATGAGTTTTTGCTTTCTGGGCACTTTTTCGTGTTTTAGTTTTGATAAAAATGGCTTTTTTGAGCAAAAGATTCAATTTTTTTCATCCTTCTTTTGTGAAATACTCTCTTTATTTGTATAGCAATCAACAAAGGTTCTTCTTTTTCGAGACTATCATCATTTGTGTTCTTGATTGAATTAATGTTTTCATAGATATATGTCGATCAATATATTGAATGATATTGTGTACTTGTGATTTTTTGGTGTTGATTTGGATTGGGTCAATAGGTTTTATGAATCCTCAGAACTGTGATCAACCTGCGAAGATGGATTTTGAGCCGGGAAGGTGCCGGAGGACCGACGGCCGGAAGTGGCGGTGCGGCCGGAGTGTAGTCCCCGGCCAGAAGTACTGTGAGCGTCACGTGCACCGCGGCCGTCAAGGTTCAAGAAAGCATGTGGAACCTACTCCTACCCCTACCCCTACTACTCAACGTGTTGCCAAATCCAATCACAATAACTGCCCGCCCAATGATTCTCCGATGCCGCCGCCGCCACCGGAGATTGCTCCGGCCACAATCACCATCGATAATAAATGCGATGTTAGCAACAAGCGCGACAGCAATCCAGATGCAGCCGTGCAATGCAGAACCAATGGCATTCCAGTAATCGATGAGAAAAGGCACGACGATACAATTCTGAGTTTGGAAATTAAGACGACGAACAATGACAATGGCAGTGGCAATCGTGCTTTGAAGAGTTCTGTGAATTTGGGAAACAATGGATCTGATGATTATACTGATGGCGAGAAGTCCGGATTAGGGAATGTAAATCCTGCCAAGAGTAGCCGAAGAAAGCAAAGCGTGGCTAGAAACAGCTACCATGGATTCGTCGCCCCTGTATTTGGGTTGTCCCCCAAGAGTGTTCTTCAGCCCGGCGCAGGTTTGCTAACTAAACGCCGAATGAATTATGTTATAAAGTTTTGTTGTGTACTGAGTTTGATCTTCATAGTTGTAGGAAAAGTTGGTCTTAATTTGGACAGCAAGGTTGCGGAAACTGAACAGCTGCAGCGATGCCGGAGGACGGATGGCAAGAAATGGCAATGCCGTCGAGACACAATTCCGGGCCAGAAGTATTGCGAATCACACATGCATAGAGGGGCCAAAAGGATCATGTTGAATCCGGAGTCTGCTCGAGGCGTTTCTGGAAGCAATGCACGGCGTCATACCGGAGATCACATCAATTTGAACACAACGCCGGCGAGCCCTCAGTGTACAACTGCCAATAACTCTGCGAGCTCCAGCGACGCCACTACCGTCACCGACGAACATGTTAGCTTCTGTCTTAAACAGCAAAAGGGGTAATTGATTATTACATGTAATTTAGAAGTCACATTGAGTTGTGGAGGTTGGCCTAAATATGAGAATCAGCAACTATAGCTTAAATGTAACTTTTGTGTGGGCAGATGTGGTTAATATGACTTGCAATATCCTGTTGTCAATAACTGTACTATTGTCTATTAGATGCACCAGTTCTTACATGGGATGAAATCCTAAATCAAGACTTGAGAAATTTAGCAATTAAAGATACAATACCTAGTAAATGTCACAAGAATTTAGTTAGAAAAGGGATTTGTATTATGCAATTTGGAGCAGCTGCCCATGGGGTCAGCATTCTGAACTATCCAAGGATGTTCCATGATCTTTTGTAAAGACAACCTTTTGGAGGAATCCTTCACAAGAAGCTGCACAAAGGGACAGGCAATTATGTGTCTAAGAAATAATTTATTTATTTTTTCCCAACAACATTCCAGAATGGTAAAATCTAGTATAATGTGTAACCTGGCTAATGAGATTTTTAGCTTCTGTAGAAACAGCAGGTTTGGAAGGAAAACTCAAGTCAACCTTCATAATTCTGTATGGCAAAATGCAGAACATTATTAGATTGTGATTCAATAATGTGGTACATGAAGTATAAGAGTTGATGACAATGTAACATTACTTCTTACCTTCTAAATGTGTCTCTTTGGCTTTCAGCCTCAAATGGAGGAACACCATACAAAAACTCATAGCACAGTACACCCAATGTCCAATTATCCACTGAGTAGTCATGTTCTTTGTTCTCCACCATTTCTGGAGCTAGATAGTCCAAAGTTCCACACATAGTGCGTCTTTTGCTTTCAGATTGTACAGACCAACCAAAGTCTGCAATTTTAAGCCGACCCTATATGTAAAGAATAAATTGTAACTGCTCTTTTCAAGAGCTTGGACAGCAAATTTCTTTTGTTTTCATCACATAACTCGTCACCCTTAATATTTATGGCTCAGTTACATGTATTATTCACATAGTTCATGACAGATGAACAATGAAATTTCACCTAACAAGCCAATAATTGCCCCCTGAGGAAATTTTAGCAATAACTGTGGCAGCTACTATTATCATTTATAATAGTCTTGTTAGCTGTTCAATTAAGAACCTCAGCTAGGTTGGATTCATAGTAATTGCAGCAGATAAATGAGTGATAAAATTCGAGGATTGAAATTTTTGCTCCGAAATGTAAATCTATATAAACAGGTCTTTTCAATGGACTGAGGCTCAATAAGAATTCACACAGATGAAGAACTGACAAACTACCTCATGATCCAGTAACAAATTTTCTGGCTTGATGTCTCTATGAATCACATGCTTCCCGTGACAATACGCCAGAGCCTGCGCGAGGCTTGCTATGTACTAATTTTCAAGACAAAGAATTCACCATTCAAAATTAGTCAGTTCATAAATCAAATACGAAATGCAACTCAAGAAATTTTTAACAGATGCAGTAGCAAACAGCGTTAGAACGCGTTGAGACAAGGACTGCAGAAGCATAAACAAACACAGGGAAAAGCGGGAGTTACTGTGGCGGCTTGTCTTTCGGAGAAACGATGAGATTTGCTGAGTTCTTTGTAGAGCTCACCACCATGTGCGTACTCCAAAATTAAGAAAATCCGCGTAGCGTCGTGAAACCACCCGAACAGCCTCAGAACATTGGGGTGCCGGAGGTCTGTTTGGATCTCCATTTCTCTCCGCAACTGGTGGTGCAATCTGTACTTCTCGATTTGCTGCTTGAATATCACCTTCAACGCCACTACATACTTACTCTACCAAAACACAAGAAAAAACAAAAGATTCAGACTTTCCAGCGCAAAACACAGCTCGAAACGATATGAGGAAGCATGCCTTAATCTCGCGGGCGAGGTACACTCGCCCGAATTTCCCCTTCCCAAGCGGCTTCCCGATCTCGAAATCATCAATCGACCACTGCTTCGTGGAGATCCTCGGAGCCGGTTCGGGAGGCCGTGGTGGGTGAGCAGACATGAATTTCCTGTGATTTTGCGAATTAGGTCTAATTCGGAATCGGAATTTAGAATTTTGGGGGAAACCGACTCAGCCATATTTCAAAATTCAAACAATCTATATTTAACGTTCAAACCAGAAACCGGGCCTCCGATCCATCAAACCCGGATCCGGACCCGGACCCGAAAAGTGATTGGATCTTCATTCCTAGTGGCTAGTTCTTCTTCTCAGCTTAGAAAGCTGCCTACTGTTAGATAAGAACAATGTCGCCATGGCCCATCCACCTCAAGAGAAACTTGGCATCGTCACCGCCATCGCCATCCTCATCATCAAAGCAGAGGGAAACAGCACAACCACTCCAATATGAATAATGAATGAATCAATCATTTATGGAATCATAATCAGAGAAGATATGATTTTGGCATATATAATGACAGGTAACTTTATTAAGTGTCTCTGTTAACTAACCTTGTCTGTTCTTCATTCTTAATTAAAGTTTCTTTTCTTTCATCCCCCTTTCAAGATTCATACCAATCTGTGAGCTGAGCTGCAGCTTGATTGGCAGAAGATGCAGAAGGCTTGGTTGTATGAAGAGCATGGCCCCAAGGAAGTCCTCAAGCTTGAAGACATTCCAATCCCTTCTCCTAAGGCTAATCAGCTGCTAATCCGAGTCCATGCTGCGGCGTTGAATCCATTCGACGTCAAGCTTCGATGGAATCTGGTGGCCTGTCTGGATCTTCCAGTGAGTACTCTATTAGTAATGAATGTTAAGATATATGTACAGGTCTGATCATGATAACCGTTTCTGACAGGTTGTTCCGGGCTGCGACATGGCTGGAGTGGTGGTGGCGAAGGGGGGCGAGGTTTTGAAATTCGATGTAGGCGATGAAGTCTATGGAAGCATCCATGATTTCAGTGCACAAGATGGTCTCAAATGGCTCGGAACCTTGGCTGAGTTCATTGTCGTGGAGGAAGATTTGGTGGCGACGAAGCCAAGAAACCTGTCGTTCGAGGAAGCGGCTAGTTTGCCCCTGGCAATTCAGACAGCTATTGAAGGATTCAGGGTTGCAGATTTCAGACAAGGGCAGTCAGTCTTTGTGGTCGGAGGGGCTGGCGGCGTTGGAACGTTGGTGGTTCAGCTAGCCAAGCATGTCTACAAAGCTTCTAAGGTCGCGGCCACAACGAGCACGAAGAAGGTGGAGTTTGTGAAGAGTTTGGGAGCAGACTACGTCGTGGATTACACGAAAATAAGATACGAGGAAGTTGTGGAGAAATACGATCTCGTGTATGACACCATTGGTAACAACACTGAACTATAACCGTGTGCTCGGTTTTTTATATATCCATCTGCTGCTTTCGACGCTTTCTTTCAGGTGACTCGAGGGAGTCGTGTGTGGTGGCTAAGGAGAGTGCCCCGGTGATCGACATTACATGGCCGCCGTCAAATGCAAGAGCCAGACACTCAGGGCTGACTGTTTCAGGGGAAATCTTGGAGAAGATTAGGCCATGTTTGGAGAATGGGAAAGTGAAGGCAGTGATTGATCCCAAAGGGCCATTTCCAGTGTGGGATGTTATAAGGGCTTTTGGGTATTTGGAAACAGGGAGAGCCAGGGGAAAGATTGTCATATCCAGTTTTCCATTTTCATGGAAAAACAGCAGTGTTGGTGGATTTTGCAACACTGTAGAGGATGGTGGCTGTCCAAACAAGAAGTAATGTCTGAAAAATTCAAATTTGAGACATAAATTATACTCCCAATCTGTATTTGATCACAGAACTTGAAAGTTCATGGAATTTACACAAAAGCTTCTACTAAACAATCCTTTCCTTGTGTACATGGTGTATGTTATTACTAGCAGCTTTCTGAATGAACATGACAAAGTCTTTTTATACATAGAATGGTGCATCTATCTATATATATATATGGATATATAGTGTTGTAGCAGAAGCCGTGGCAACCCCTTTCGTGGAAAAACAAAATCACTCGAAGGTGCGAGGGTTTCTCCACGAACAGGCCGTCGTTTCATAGTTAGTGTCTGAAAGAATTTGAGGGAAGAGTATGAGATTGGAGAGGATAACCATGAGAAAGTCTGCAGTGTCGACTCTGCCGGAAGTCTTGCTAGAAGGGAACTTGGATGCATCATCTTTGAATTCTCACTCCCAGCCCAGTTTGTGCATGTTGTGATCTACGATTTTTAAGCTCAGCTGCATGGAGCAGAGATGAATGAAGTGAAGAACACAACGATGAATACAAGTTTCAGGAATGGATCATGATAGAAACCATGTAAGAAAAGATAATTTGCAGTAACAGTAACAGACAAGAAAACTCAACAGGCAAAAAGATAATCCATTTATTTGTATTTGTTGTTGACAAATATGTGCAAATTCAACTTACAGAAGGGTCTGTGAATATGATCAACTGCTTATTTGCCGTCGACACCAAAAGATTTGTGTTATCCTTATCCAAGGCAATAGTGGTAATATCTTGTCCCTCTGCAAGTTCCAACTTATGAATGACCTGTATGAAGATCCCAAAGTCAGATATGCATATCAAGAAGATGATGAGTTCAGCCTTTTGTGCAGAGTACCTTTAGGTTATGAAGATCGAAGAACCAAATGGAAGGTAGGGGCAAACCCTGTACAACATTCATTAGTTCATGGTCATGCCCAGAGTCTAACTTCACATGCTGGATTTGGTCCAAACCGGCATTGTTTTCTGAGGAAGGATTCAATCCAACCAAAGCATTCCGACCATTAAGAGAAACCTCCATGCAACTAACGCTCGATGAAGGTGGGAGTTGCATCTTAGAAATTAGAATTCCATTAAGAGTGAAGGTGCTGAGAGTGCAGAAATACTTGTTCCAGGCAATCACAAGTCCACTGGATGAGAGGCACAAGAAATGAGCTTCGACGCCACCAAGTCTTCTGACCAACCGTCCTCGTCTTATCGTATGAAGTAGGACATCTGAAGAATCTGAACAAGAAGCAACCATTCCAAGGTCCGAACTGACAGCACAGCACGTTATTTCCCGTAGATGACCACGGAGAATGTGAATGGGTCCCTCGATTCGACACCTTTTGCTCTTGTTACCTGGTGCATCACTGCCAGCAGATGAAGGCGTCCCTGAGCTACTGGCAGCCGTTGATTGATGTATTCTCCAGAGTAAAACTATTGCATCCCTTGATCCGGTCACAAGATAGCTGCTATCAGAAGATAGAGACAGGCATGTCACAGGAGCACAATGCCCTCTGGCTATTTCCAATGTTTTGGCCCCATCAGCTGAAACCAGCCTTACACTGTTATCTACATGCCCTCCTGAATAAGAAGTAAACAATTTGAAGTTAATAACTGCGTACTGCAGAGCCACAATATAAACGATAATGAACAAAAGAAGTGAAAAAACAATACGATGGATCAGTAATAACCCGCAATTAATGTGATATCAATCAAGGCGCGATTTAAAATACGGGACACAAAAAAAAAACTGTAAATACTTTGTGCAGAATCACTAATAATATGTATATAGTAATTAGGATAAGAACATCTTCAAATCACTTCAATCTGGAAATCAGACTGAAACTCAATCATTAGAACCAAGCCAAAGATATCTGAATAGGCAGGTGTTTAACGGGGAAATTTAGAAAACTTATGTAGATAGTCAAATGCATCAAAGTACCAATAAATAAAAACTTGAAATAGCTGGTCCATTTATTTAGCTAGAATGGATATCTGCAACAGATTTCCTATCATTAATACTAAATCTCAAGTCCAAGCAGGCTCAGAAAGATGCATGCAATGCAAGACTATGTTCCACAAATCACAAGCTTCATTAGTATTACATGAAGCACAAGCATAAAACCTCACCGGTAATAATATCTTTGTCACAAGTGATTGAAACTATTCTCGTGCTTCGAATTCCAGAACTGGTAAACGCTGACACTCGCGGGAAATTCCACTCTTCTGATTCAGAGGGAGCTGGTCCTTTGAACATTCGCATAAAATTTCCACCAGCAGCGCCTGCATCTGGTTTTCCATGATTAAATAGGAAAGGCAGACCCTGGCCATCAGGCGTGTTTGGTTGCCACTTATGTCTAGCCACATGAGCTGCCGGTGCATTTATGTCGACAATGATAAGAGAATCAGTGGACGCATGAATGGCAGCAGCAGGCAGATTGCAGTGTTCAGGGAAGGGAACCATATATGGCTTGAGCTCTGTGGGATTTCGGAAAATTGTCTAGATCCAAGAATATAATCAGAGCCACAGTACTTGTTTGGAACATCTAAAATGATTAATTGTGCAAACAAGTTGAGAAACAGTTGGAATACAAGTTGATTTCAATGCTGTTATAAAACTTAGACGAAGGAAAACTTTTTTATTCAAAATTTATACTAAGCTGGACTACATTTCACCAATTAGAAATTGAAAGTACTTTTGACCTGAAGTAAATTTGAATAATAATTAGCATCTAAAACATTTCCATAAACTAAAACCAAAACAAAATGCCATGTCCATTGTCTAAATTTATATTTTTCAGTATTTACGCTAGAACAAATTAAAGTGCAAAACTTTAAAGGCTACTCAACCATTTGTGATGTAAATGACATGGAACTTGAAATGGCCTGACCAGAAAACTGTGTTTCCCCAAATAACTCAGTTAATGACTGGAACTGTTTTGCGAAATTTGGGCTTGATCTCAGGGATTCGATTTGGGACGAAACAAAGGCAAGTCAGATCCGACGACCATGTTAGAAATGCAAATGGAGCAGTGATCTAAATGACATTTCGAGCTAAATTCAAACTCTAGAGAAGTTGCAGAAGTCAAGATTGTAACTTAATTGCTACCTGCATGTGAAGCACTTCAGTTAGTGACTTCCGTTCCATGTGAGGTACAGTTAGAAGCTGTGATGGGGTTTGGCCAAAGTAAGCAATCTGATCTTGGGTAGCACGTTGTTGAACCTTCAAAATATTTAGAAAAGTATTAGAATAGTAACCCACAGTGCAAGAATATTCAATGGAAGGGTACTTGGGGAAAAAAAGAACTTTAGAAAACAAACTCACAGGATCTGATATTTTATCGATATCTACAGCTCCTTCATACGTGGTATGGAAGAAAACATTACTTGCCAATACAGCTTCCTTTCCACGTTGCTTGTAACTAAATATGCAAAAATTGCAGGAATAAGCTTCTGATAATTCAGCACATATGTTTCACCTTTATTCAAACTCTATAGTACTTGACAAAGAGAGGGTGGAAAAAGGTGCAAATAGAAAGCATAATTAAAAACTGAGCCACAAAAACCAATCAAAGAAATGAAAATTCATAATACCCAAATATGAGATCAATCCATTCATGCAAATGTTTGGAGACGTGCTCACTCTCAAGTGCCATCTGATGCTTATGTACAAAGTCAACTGGGCTTTCAGCCCAAGGAGGAAGCCGAACTGAGTCTGGTACAAGGAATAAAATAACGATAAAATTCAAAATATTGCCTTATTTACATCCCAAGAAACCACTCTACTACATATGGAATGTAAGTTACAAATGCATACCAAGCTTTTCACCAAGTTGAGTTGTACCAAAGTCAATTGAGTTCTCGTTGGTCAAAACCTCTGGAAGATAAAATAGCTCAGGAACCTGACAGTAATAAAGCAAAGGATGAAGAACATCACATCGGAAGAATAGTGCAAGTGCACTTGCAGATAGACTTGCAGCCGAGGATTTGAAAAAAGCAATATAAGAAATGCTTAATACAGTTGGAACAATATTACAAAAAAGATGAGGAAACATTTCTGAAACTGCAGAAACTTATATTAGAATAGAATATCATAAAGAAAAATTAAGAACAAGTCGTTGAGACTGTTTTTTTTTTTCATACCAGTTCTTTTACGTCACTCATGTCTTCAAGAACTCCATTCCAAGTTGCATTAATGTCAGAGAACATTCTGTCAGCATGATCAAATTTTCCACCCTGAAGTTGAATAGAAAGGGTGGTAAAAGGTTCTACTCTTGTGAGGTAATACAAAACCTGCAGCACCAGAGTAGAAATCAGCCTACTATACAACTCAGAGCCGTCAAGTCACCATGCGAAATTGAGTTGACAGATTAAAAATCAAGAGGGAGGCATGGATGGAAATAAGTAATTTCACTTGTTATCCCTGAGCAGGCAATATAATAGTACCTGGAGATCAAACCACATTCCATTAGTTTTTAGCTTGTGAAAGCCCTATTCAGATCCACCAATACGTGGATTCACTGTACTCTTAACTTCTCAGTTATTCCTGACACACAGTGCGGCAACAGTAGACATAACCAGAAATAGAAATCCATGGGCATCCCCCTTGGATCATTACCTTTTACCAGTGACTGAATCACACATTCACTCGCCGACTGATCACTATTTCATATGATATTTTTTCATTGTGAATACTGCAGTCCACTCCTTGAAAAGTTTAAACTATATCGCTTGATATGTACTTATTTTAATACAACCCTTCACAGGTGAAAACTAATTTCTTATGTGAACTCATAGTTCCGAAGTTATATTCTATGAAAATCTAGTTTTAATCAATAATATAAACTCATAGAAAGTGCTGATCTATTTATGATCACACCTCACAAAGTACATAAAAATATGACACTAATATTGGTCTAGGAGTTATCCTCCAGGCTGGTGGCTTTGGCACTAGCAAGAATGGTAAAAAACATATTGTTACACCAAACTTCAAGAACAGGTATTTACTTCATGTTCACACCACAGGTATAGCACTAAAAGTTTCTTTAAAAAGGAAGAATTGTAGGTTCTATTATGCATATAGGCTATACTCTCAATTTTGACCATAATGTTGTTTTGGAAAAAAACAGTTCTAACTTTAATGACAATGAAATATTTTCAAATTAAGTCCTTCTGTAACATTGAAAGTTTAACGGATATGGACGAAACTTGGCTACTTACACAATTAAAACTATGATTTTCCTGCAATAAAACTGTCATGAACATAAAAAGAGAATATATGTGGAGAAAGAACTTACAGTCCCAGCTGTTGAATAATGTGATCCATAGTGGAATTTGGGGATGACTGGATCTTGAAAGGTGGAATATCTTTCTTGGATTTTCAGTAGTCTCTCAGGATTGAGGCCACCAATTGGCTGTCAAGTGTTACATTAGATGAAAAATGATAACAAGCATAATCTTTGCTATAATTCCAGATCATCCCACCTTTGAGAGATCTCGAAAGGAAGAAGGATTTGAAAGGTCCAAATTCTGTGAGCTGTAATCAGAAAGAATCCATGGGAACACCGGATACTGTACACAGACACAAATGAGCATTAAAAACGTCAACAATCTTCTGTCTGAGATTCTATAATGTATCACGATCAGAACTTCTATACCTGTGTAATATCATTGTAACTACGTCCAGCCAATGTATTAAGCTGCATCAAATACTCAAAATTGCTGATCTGTAAAATATTCCCTAATCAGTAACCTATTACATATACCAATTCAATTGAAAAAAGAAACATTAAACCATTAGGATAGTTAGCAGGTTGGTTTTCACAAACATACCTCCCACCTAGCCCAACGTTCCATAAGCTGAGTTCTTTTCAGAAGCTGTTCAGGTTTCTTTAACACAGAATATGAGCATAAGGTTCAATATATTACTTGCTACATGAAATCAAATCACACACAATAACAATCATAGTGTGCACTACTCCTTGGTTTACAGGTTAAGTCTGATTCATTGCAAGAAAATGTGGAAACTGTGTGCTTCACATTATTGATCATCACTAACTTCTCATCTAATGTAACAGTCTGAGACGGTAAAAATTCCACACCTGAGTTGCTAAGTAGATATTGTTCAAATGAGGAGGGCGGGCCTGAACAATGGCTCGATATGCATTTTTCCGTCCCTCAATGCTCTGCAATAGATGATAAATTTAAATCTTAAATCAAAATGGAAAATAGCATGTGAAGGCTTAACAAAGCCATTAAGTGCAAACCCTGCAAATTATAATTTTTTTTTTTAAAAGCATACCCCAAAGTCAAAAAAGAAATTTGAACGGTCAACCATGAACAGCTCCAATGCACTTCTTCTCAAAAGATATCTGCACAAATATGCATCTAATAATTCAAATTTTTTGAAAGAGGGGTTTATGAGAAACACCCTAACCAATAGAAAATCAGGCCAACAGTGTTATGAATTGGAAATATTATGTACAGTGAGGGATATGTCAAATATATATCCAATGCTGATACTATGTATTCCGTAGACAACGCGAGTAGGCACCAGGGATTTATAGACTTAAGACAAGTTAAATTTTAGTTAACAGGCACTTTAAAGGTTGTGAATCACATAGGATACAGAACTTACCAACTAGTATCACTAATTTGAAGTGTTATATCCCATTAAGGATCACCTATTTTTGTATATTACTCATAGATAAGCATTACAGCATGAAATGTTTGCAAGAAGTAGTCCTTTCAAGCAAGGAAGCAACTAGACTTTGGCATGTGATTGCAGCTATACACTAGTGAGCTTCAGCATCTAAATAAATTTGTATATATGAGTCAACGAATACATGTAAATTTAAAGAAAATGCAAGATGAAATATGTATGAGAAAAAGAAAGGGAAATAAGATCATACCATAAGGAAATATAAAGAAAAAAGTAATAAAAAAAAGAAAAAGAGCATGAGCACAACCATTGTTACAAATGGCCAACAAACAACAAAAAATTGCAGATGTTAGAATAGTGGGGAAAGGGAAAAAGGATACAATGCATTTTGAAAAGTGAATAAAATATATGAATGATCACCTTCTGCTGTATACTTGGTGAACTGATGAAATCAACCAGGTCTGGTCCTTTTCTCGCACATCACTATTATTTATGCCCTCTACATTTTCCGTGCCATTATTATCCATAGGGTCAATAATAAAGTTGATTCTTTTAGTAGTTACCTGACAAAGAAATAATTTGATGCATTTACAAACAGGGTCAAGTAGTGCGCATCACAAATCTATAACAAGCATACAGCCAGAAGGGAATGGTGAGTTGGAAAAGAAGAAAACATTTGTAGTGGTTCTCGTTTTTTTGCAGGAAAGTTCCCATATTGTGAAATATATGTATTTCTCAATTAAGTGGTTAATTTAGCACTTTTATCAGTTTTGAGTCTTCTGACCAAAGGAAATAAAACCAATGACTGTGAAGGTATATTATCCAAAGCACTCGAGTAAACAAAACTTACTTGAAACGTGCCCTTCTGAACCTTCAAAAGACGAACCATTGATGATGAAAGCTCAAAAATAATTCTTTCATCATCTTCACTAGGAACATAACCAGGTGCAACAACATCTGGAGCTGGTGCTGATTCAGGGTCCCTAGTTACTGGGGTATCTGTGGACTCCGATGACATCAATGGCTGCTCACTGGGATTAGATGATATGGACTGAACTTCATTGGGATTTTCAACATTTGAGTTAACATCCATGTCCGGTTCATCCTCAAAATCTACCTTGGTTGAGATGGCTTCTGCTGCTACAATAGATGCTTTAGATGGACTAATAGCCTTATGATTATCAACCTCCTCTTTGATATGTTCTTCATAATATGCAGCAGCACCAAGATGATCAGAGCCTTCATAGTTCCTACGTAAAATCCTCCTCATCCTTGAAGAACTTTCCACAAAATCTAGCTTCCAGAACACCTAAACCCACCAAGTTCCATATTGCAGTGATTTGTCTAAAAAATCTTCAAATGAAACAGATAGAGTTCAAGGCAGAAAAATACTCGTTTAGGATTGCATAAAGCATGACTAGAAGGCCCAAGAAGACATTTCATCTCTATCAAGCAGTGGATAAGCTTGCGCCATGCATGTTTTCCAGTGTACAATCGATGCTGGGATATTGTATCTGCTTGTGACCTCCTGTCAACCTAAAGTAACAGATTATGGTTCTGGGTTCACAAGTTCTCATGTGAGCTATCAAAACAATAATACATTACCTCGGATCGCTTCATGTTCCTGGCCAATGCTAAACTTCCAACAAGGACAGCAATATACTTGTATGAAAGGGCATTGAAGTCCTTGCCATATACAGATTTTGAATCCACTGATTGCAGGCATTCGGTCCAGGCAGTTCCCATTGCTTCAGAAACATTCCATCTCTTTACACGTTCATTATCACTTTTACTCCGACGCTGAGCAGATGTGGCCATAGCTACAGCACTGAGCCCTCTTCCCGAGCCAATTTTGGCATTACGCTCAAGGTCTCTTGCAGCAGCCAATGCAGCTGCTTTTGCAGATGCTTTATCCTTTGGAATATTTGGGGATTTACTAGGAACCTCTACAGGTTTATGAAAGCTAGAAAATGTTTGAAATTTAGTTGTTTTCCGCTCCATCACCAATGATGTGTCACGCCGAAGCTGAGAGGTAGTCTGAGGAGTAGTAGTTTCTCCACCACCAGCACCAGCCGCCATCATTGCTAATGCCATAGCAGCAGGAGGTGAAGCAAAAGAAGCAGACCAGCTAGGAGATGTCATAGAAAGAGCAGCCTAAACATATTGACAAAAGCCTCAAACATAAGATCATAGGAGTGCATTAGCATCATTCAGAGTCAATGATATGATCAAAAGAGAACATTTCGTCAATGTGGTCAAACTAAATATGATTCTTGTTGCACAAGCAAAAACACGTCTATCCTCACCATGGCAATTAATCGTTTGTATAGGAGAACAATTTTGTTGTCCTATATAGAAGTGAAAAATGTTCTGGAACCAGGACAATTTTGTTGTCCTATATATTGCATGTAGTAATGTTTATAAAGATGAAAGAGCATTTTTGATTTCATAAAACAAAGCACGAGAACGGAAAAAAGACAGTTGGCTCTTCCCTTTTTCAATCCATAGTAGTCAAATTAATATTATAAAGCAAAAATCTGATTAAATGAGTTTTCACATATTTTACATGAATAACTTGTGGAGAGACTTCCAAATTCTCAACTGAAAAGTCTCATTCGGTGATTTGTTTGTTTGAATCATTAAGGGCATTTAACATTCTTCCCCATCTTAATACACAGAAAAAAGAAATAATCAATAACCAGAGACCACGTGACAATATACATAAAAGAATTGGATAGCTACCTCAACAGGCAATGCATCTGTAGCCAAGGCACGGTCATCAACAACAAGAGGATTTGTACCATCTGCAGTAGCAAGTTCATGAATCCCTGCCAAAAGAGGACGCCACCTTCTTAGAAGCGCAACAAATGGAGGTAAAATGATCTCCAGATATTTTTTTCGGAGAGGACTTCGATCACTTCCAATTGCATGCCACACCTGCAACACAAACAAAATACAAGGATAAGAGCATGGATGAATAGAACAAGCACCACCATTGATAATCATATATATTAAGAAGCATCTAATAATACCAACTTTCTGAAATGGTGCAAGAACATAGAAACACAAATAACGTAGCAACAGTTCAGGACAGACCTCAGAATATAGGACACATGATGAAACCAAAACTCGCTGCCTCTTCTTCTCAGAAATCGGCATGTTCAGTAAAGGAGATAAAACACTGTGATAATTAACCGTGATGAGCCCCATGCCAGAATACATAACAACAAACATTTTCCCAGAAAAGAGAAATGTTAGAATGCTTGCAACCATAAGATAGAATGAATTGGTATCTCCACCAATAGACATGAAACTCCTCTTATTACCCTATATATCAAGAAAGGCAAAATAGCTTCCAAGATTTATTATTTTTAGCAATTGAATTACTAAATAAAGCCACTACAGTGCTATTCAGTTCAGAACTCTCTTTATGCGGTCCTCCATTTCCCATACGATGAGAACATGAGACTGATTGGATTATGTATTAAGACAAACTTTGTTGTCAGTAGAAATATTAGCAACACCCAGTCACAAAAAGTATGATAATCAGTGAATAGAATGATAAAAAAATTAATAAAATAAATTCAATATCATGGCACAGATTCAAGCGATCCACATGCCACCAGAAAAACGTACCCATGCAGTTCATAACAATTAACATAGATGGTACCTCCAAAGCAATGCAGATCGTGGTTTTTTGGTTGGAATTCTGGTACTTGTATCAAAAGGCATGGTACTGCTAGCTTGTTGATTGAAACCCTCCAATCGATGTTCAGTACCTAGATGTGTCATCGGCATATTGTCTTCACCATAATCATCCTCTCTTAAAGAAACAAGCACCATTCGAAGCATGCAAAGGAATGGTTGGTCACTATCCAATAACTGGTAAAGAGCTGACATGGATCCCATCCCAGTACTAGAGCCCACACCAATTCCAAGACTTCCACCAAGTCCAGACTCATCCAACAGCAAAGCATAAAGCATTGAAACTGACTTCCTAAGTAATGGAAGTTCAATCCAATTTCCATCAGCATCCTTCTCCAACACAAATTTCCAAGATTCCCATCCACTGCCACCACCACCAAATTCGGATGTATTTGAAGGAAGTCCGACACCATACCACAACCGACTTCTGTACTTCCATCCCTCAGCCAAGTCTTTAACACAACTTCCATATGATGCAAAAGCACAAGAAACTGATTCATAGGGCTCTGCAGCTGCAGCAGCAGTCAGTCGCTCCATTGCAGCTGCTGAAATTTGCCCGTTAGCATCAGCCATTGAAGCAAGAACCTAATAAAATAAAATAAAAACAAACATTATAGATTGATGACTGAATATGGGATAAAAGAGGAAACTTCAATTAACATTAAAATAATAAAAATAATAATAAATCTCTTCAACCAGACAAGGTATTGTTCGGGATTGTTTTCATGGCCATAGGCAGGTAGGTTTGCAATGATACAAGATACAATCACACATTTTTTCATTTTTTTTCAAAAGAGAGAAGAGGATGCTCAAGATTGAGAATGACCTGCACATGTGGTTGGCTTCAAAGGGGGAATATGCATAATAAGTATGTTAGCAGAATTACGAATGAAAAAATACAGCATACATTAAGAGAGAGCCCTCCAGTGTCACTTGATGATGAATTACGAGATGATGTAGTTTCTCCACGTACTGTACTTGAAGATCGATCCCTAATAGGTAAAAAATTTGAAAATGGGGAAGGAGATGCGGTTGGAAAACGTGAAGCACAACAAAGCTTGCTTTGTAGTCGAAAATGGTCCTCAACAAGCATTAGAATCACAATTGCATTCTCAACCAAAGCCATTGAAAGCTGAGCAGCATTGTCTGCTTCTATCTTTGCATCCTTTGGTGGCAACCCCTCAGCTGCTACACCAGCCGCAGCTGCAGCAATAACTTGAATCTGAAGAAATGAAAAAGCTAGGATCCTTACATTAGAGTAGTAATAGAAGATTTAATAATGCTTAATTATAAAAAAAAATAGAAATAATGGTGCCACAAGGACATGAGAAAAACATTGCAGATTAAAAGGCAGCTTTGATTGAAAGTGACACAAAATTGAGTTGATCAAAGCATTATGAATTGCTTGTTTGATTTAACAGGTAATCACAATAATATCAGCCGCTACTAGTAACATTGAGACTGATTCCAGATATCTCAGTGGCTTCAGGCTTCCAAGAAAGGTGGTGGATTCATGACTATAGAAAAGAAAAGATATATGAAGGGTCTAAACATGAATGAGTGATAGCAATTACAGGTTTGGGAAAGTATGTTTGAACTTGAGCCTTTTGTTCTTGTAACTTGGAGTATTATAGCAGCAAGAACCATTCGAAAAATTGACCATGGCTACAGGCAGATGGAATATTTTGTTATTATCAACTATAATTGGATACATACATGCTCCCTGAGAACCTAGGCATCCATTAGTGGAGTGAATGACACGCAGTGTTAACGTTTCAAGGGCAGAAAAACCACTCCAACATAGAGAAGGACTATCATATTCTCAAAATAACTATGTTCTTATTCACAAATCGTCACAAGAAACAATAGTGTGTTTGTCTGTGAGTTTGGGTTTTTGGGTTTGGATTTTTGAATAGTAAAAAGTTGAATTTGAATAGTTGTTTGGTCTGATATAAATATATGTTGATGTGATGTTTTGAATGTAAAATAAGTTTGTAGTATAGTATAAAAAAGAAAAATAATTGTTCGATTTGATATATTTGGAAGGAAGAAAAGAATCTGAATAGTAAAAATATGTGGTAAAACCCACAAAAGAACACAACCCAGTGTTATACTTCCATTACAATGTGAATGACCATTTAACCCAGTATATTAGTTTTAATTATATATATATATATATATATATTGTTCTTCAATTCTTTACATAGTCATACAGCCATATCATTGTAATCATGTACCATCTGGTCAACACTAGAAGAATTGAAACCCAACTGTAACTGAACTACTTGGAATATATGCAATAGCCAAGATATAAATATCACCTGAGTCTTCAATTCTCTAGTAGCAAAGTCCAGCAAATCACCCAAAAGTCTTCTTTTGAAAATAGGCAATGCTTCTTCTCGTCTGTGAAACACAGAGTTTATCTAAATTACTGGAGTTCTCTCAGAAGATTCTTCGTTTCAATCTGTTGTTATTATATCATTAGACTCACTGTTTTAATATGTGCTTATATGTATATAACACACACACACATATAGCCAAGTTTAACCTTAATGGAGCTATTTCCACAGAAAATCCTTGAGCTAGAGGCTGTTCATGGATCACCAAGAATTGGAAACTCTACTATGAACTGCCTTTTGCTTATGCTAAAGGTTTAAAGCCATATAAGCAATACCTGATCCGCAGATCTCCAGTGCTAGAACCACCCACCATAGATAGCCATTCTGCACAATGAATTGTAGCTTCAATATCCTGTTACAGGAATGACCAAATAAATGACTGAAACTTAGAGAGGCAGTAAAAGTTTAAAAGGAACAACAGGTTAATCAAATATATAAGCAAAATGTTACAGACAGCTTCCCTTTTAAGGAAAAAGTGGTTTATTGATTCATCAGAGGTGGAATGTTTTAATTCGTACTATCTAGCACATTGTTTCTACAGTCAGCTTCTAGTACATTGTTTTCACCATTTGTAATTTGAACAAGTTTTCAGATTCTCATTCATGCTAGTTTGTTTCCTTCAGCCTGTTGCTAGATAAAAACAACATGCAGGAGTTGGTCCTGTATAAAATTTTAAGATCACAAAGTTTAGAACATCATGGTATAAGCCTGAACAATAAGCCGTTATACAATTTACTTCAACTGACCACGTTCCTCCAAGTTATGATAAAATGAAAATATAACTTTTCAGTGCTGCTCTGAGCTTCATTAGCAAGGATTGTCCTAACCATAAAGTTTTCGCACTAGTGAAAAGCAAATGAAAGCAGGAGGTCAAACTTAAATCATTTATCTTGTTTCTATTCTAACCCAAGTAAACAATTCTCAACATCTAGCACTATACGAATACAGAAGACTAGATCTACACACAAGGACAAAATCCAGCCACATGTAAAACATTGATTGAAAAATCATAATCTCCAGATTAAAGCTGAAGTCTTCTTGAAATTTTTGAGCACTAAGTTTTCCACATTCTTATAACTCCATTATCAATTTATATGTAAAACAATGAATGCAAAGGGCATGATGGAAGCACCTAATCAAACAACAGAAGGGTAAACTCACTCCAATTCTCTTCCAAAACCATCGAAATTTCTTTCCCTATTCATGGGAGTTCTTGATTTCACCACCAAAGATGAACAATATAACTGACAGTTACAGTCATGTAATTTACTCCCACCATATGGATAATATTCAATTTACTTTTTTTCATGAAACCTAGCATTGCTACTGCTTCAACCTCATCGTTTTAATATGTCAATCAGTAATATGGCAAAGATCTTAACCTGCCAACCATCCTTTTGGCGCATTGAATGCTCCAATATAATGATCAGGAAATTGTGGATAAAGTCTTCTACATCTCGCAAGCCTGACAGATTTGTCTTTTTACTTCCATACCTCTGAAAAACAGAGAGAAATGTGTAAAGTGGAAGAAATAGGAAAAAAGGCCCTAATAATTATTATTATTAGCAGGCATATAACCTCATAGTTAGAAATAAGAATCTCCAAAATCCATTCAGGCCATTCGTCCATACTTGTAAGACTGTTTCTATTTTCGGGATTGCTACAAGCCAAAATCAGAAGATCCTGAAATCAAATAGAAATTAAAGGCACAAAAAACTATAAGTGGGTGCTAACAGGAAGGCATTTAAGACATTATAATGACAGTTCCCCACAAAAGGATAAAGAAGCAGCATAATTCCTTGAACAGCAAAAATATAAACTATCTGTACATGGTCAAAGAGAGATGATGAGGAGATATAGGTGGCTCATCAGAATACACATTAGGTGTAATGTTCAAAATAATAAATAACATACATATATGTAGCATAAAAGTTCCTAAAAACTCTCAACATCGGACCATCATGAGCACCACAATGAGTGCCAAGACAGAAGAAAACAAATAACGCATACACAGAAAAAAGAATGTTTCCCAGCCCAACATTTGGAAAAGCCTTGCAAGTACAAATTGTACTCTTTAATACTGAAATACTAAGATCATCGCAATCTTAATGATGGTTTCAAATTTTCTGTGCTAACATATATAGTCAACGTCACACTCCGGGTCATTCCCACAACCACCACAATGAAAGAGAAAAAACTCAGATAAATAAGAGAGAGGATGAAACAAAAGAACCAGAAGAGAAGAAAGTGGCATGGAATTTTATACAAATAAAGCTATTTCAATAGTTGGAATAGCAAAATCCTAATCCTAATCAGTTGCAGGGCGAAACTTAAAACCTGTAGGGCTCGACTTTGCAATGGCATTGGTGCATATGGAAGAGAACGGAGAAGAATCAATAAGATCTGAAAGTGCTCAAAGTGATGGCCTGAATCGTGGAAGTTTAGTCCATCATCTGCTGAAGACTTGTTTAACTGAAACAATAAGGCTAACATTCAGATAGTTAATATAAGCAACAGTACAGACTCTGGGAATATTATCTTAGTCAATCAAGCAGCGTACACAACTTTCTCAATACTGGATCATTACAGAACTCACATTTAATAAATCCTCTTCAATCGAGAGGAGAGTGAGTTTCATATCGCCAAACAAATTTAGGATAAAGAAAAACCCTATTACGATTTCTCTTTAGTTGTGAGCAGGAAATCACACTGAACAACAAGAATCTCATAAAACATTTAATGACAAATGGAAAACAATATGATTTTACAGCATATAATTAAAACGATGTTGAAGATGTGACATTTTTAAGGAGGCTGACTTCTAGAGCTGATGAAAGAATGAATAGCCCAGCATGGCGATGACATATATAAGCCAAAAAAGTTTTAAAAAATTAACAAGAAAGAGAGACAAGGCAAAGAGGGAAAGCAGCATCTAGAAGGCACAAAGAGAGTAAAGTAGAACAACAAACCGAGGCAGCCAATAGGGCTGTGTAAGCACAGCGAGTCATTAGCCGATGAGGTGCAGCTTGGAAAGCCTTTTGTATGCCAAAGAAGAGGAGAGAAACCTTATCATCAAACATGGTACCTCCTCCTTCAAGCAAACCCAAAAGGTTGCTTGTCACATCCTGAGGAGCAGGAGGAACAAATTTCAAATGTCCAGACATCACTAAAGCACTCACTAGATTAATTATTCCAACAATCACACCATCAGTGCTTTCAACATTATATGTGTTATTCCTTGCATTGTCAGCACTTATTGAACAACTTATACCACCAAAATTTCTAGGGGAGTTATCTTCAGAGATAGAGGGCATCCTTTCCATTTTAGATGCTATATGACCAGTGGAGTTTTCACGCTTGGAAACATTTTCATGTGACAAATGTTTTCTCTCCTCAGATCCTCCATCAACATGGCCTGTTTTAGCAGAAGCTCTTTCAGCAGCATCTACATCGGGTTTGGCACTAGATAGTTTCTCGTCATTATAAGTTAACAACTCTGGGATATTGTGGTCTCCTGCTTTTGCTTCACGTTGTAACAGAACAAGAAGTGTCCCTATGCCACCAGACGAGATAAATGCCTCAGAAAAAGTTTGTGCTCTGGCAGTTTTTGGCTGGACCACCAACCTGTAAATAAGGTGTAGAACCCTGGCAACCTGGATGGATAGAATGGCACTATTAATTCCAGAAGAACGCCATTTTCAGGTCCTTGGGGTGGGTGACATAACACTTGACTTTATCAATAGCTGCCAAAGTGTACCATGTATACTATTCTGTATACTATAATAAGTTAAGGGTACATACTACTTGCAATATATTGGTCATAGTTGTTAAGGCACATGTTTTAGTTCATACTACCTGGAAGGCTAAATGTCTTTTGCTAAATAACACTGAGACTCTCAAAGAACAAGGCTTCAGGAGAAAATATATGAGAGATCAATATGATTTCAATCAAAAATTATAAACAAGTATTATCAAATATAAGCATGTACCTGATTAGGTTGGGGGCAATCAATCATGAAACCCAACAAACAGTGGAGATCAGCAGCTGCCGATGATGGTGGAGCTGCTAAAACTAACAATTCAATAACCACTAGAAGTTCATCCACTAATGCATTCACTTCACCAACAAGACGAACGTCCTCACTCATGGAAAAAGTATTGATGGAGTTGGATTCACGTACTGTCCAGTAGCATCGTCTGCAACCATCTAGGAGCACCTGGATCGCATTAGCATCTCTCATTATTGATGACTCGGAGAAAACCATATCAGCAAGTGATGATAAAAGTTTTTTCTGCAGTCCATAACTGCACACACTCCATATTTTCAGATCAAGAAGCAGTGCACTGAAAAGATGGACTTTCAATTTGTGATTAAACTTCTGGGACTGACATATTGAAGCAATAGCAGCTACAAGTTCCTCATCCGCATGCTTCTTTTCTACATCAAGCAAAGATAATGTCTGGAGGATATAAGTCAAGATTCTTGATAATATTTCAGGGCCTCTTTGACGGCAGACCTCTTCATTGTTATAAGGGTGCCTAATAGCAAGAGATATGATTCTGAATATGGGAGCTGCTAGAGCAGCAGTGGCCACAGACAAAGAAGGGTGGTTACTTTGCTCTGGCTCCAGACTATTCTCTTGCATACTGCTGACCACCAAAGGAAGTAAGAATATGGGGCCTCCATGAGCCAAGGCCCACAAAGCTTCTGCAGGCCGCATTCTTGAAGCAACATGCACTTGACCAAGAATCTCAGCAGGCCTTCGGAGAGTACCTGAAAATGACCAAGAGCACTAAGAAAATGGCATCAAACAACCTCATATACATAGAATCTAAATGCACTTAAACATCTCTAATTGAATATATATATATATATATATTCTTATTATATCATGCATAGTATCTCAACAAAATGGGATTTACTCCTATATCGGTTATAAATTTCTACGAACAGTACTGTTGGTAACCTGCAGCTCCTAAAGGAGAAGCATCCGGACAGTAACGCCCACTTAGCATGCTAGGATGATACAGCAGATGAATGAATCCAGAAATTTCAGCATCCAGAAGTGCGCTATCCTGTGCTATACTTTGCACATGATTGCTTGTTGATATCCAAGGTGATCCAGCAGCATTGCCAAATGAAGGCAGAACATCCCCTCCCCTAGAAGCCAACCTTGCCATTTTTTCTGGTCCGATGGGTTCCTTGAATATATATACAGGTCCCATCTCAGCAAACAATGGGCATTGGCGACGACGACGTTGCAATCCAGCCATTGTTGGAGGAGGATTAGTCCCAATGCAACAAAAACCAAGTGGCTTAGATATTCTTGGAAAATCAAATGGACGACTTTCATACAAGGAACCATCAATATACAACCTCAGCTCACTCTCTGATTTTCCAAGGATTCCCTGCTTACAAGTATGCTCAAGGCCAATAAAATACCAACATTGTGGCTTGAATGCGTGAGTAAAATGTAGAGAAGCTTTCCTTCCTTTCCCACTTCCACATTCAACAACTAAAAATTGAGCGTGAAAATATGCTTCCATTCCCTGATTGTCTGCAGATAAGAAACTGAACAGCCGAGGCATGTGTGCTGTGCCTTCACCTGCTAATGCACTCGCAGCTGCAGCAGCTGACATGGGGGATGCTTTCCCTGATGTGGCAGCAGCAGCCATTGCAATAGCTGCAGCAGTAGTGGCTGTACTGATATTGTCAGCAAATGATTCGATGTAGATCCAAGTTGCAAACCCAAAACCATTAGTAAAAGGCCATCTACTATCTCCTGGACCGAGAAGACCTGAACTTTCACCATCAAGCTCAAAAGTGCTCGCTGGGCCCGTGACCTCTTTTCCACTCATGGCACTCTCCAAAGAACTCAATAAACGAGATGCCCATGCTGTGCTAAGAGTTTTATTAACAACTTGAAGCCACTGGTGCAGATCACGTGGACTAAGAGAATGTCCAGCTAGATGCTGAATGCATTGACACAGAGGAGTTCCATCCCATTCAATTTCCTCTTCAGAATCAATATCCTGAACAAAAATTCTCTCAGCTGAGCGGAGAAGTACTCCCAATAAGCCAGCCATAGAACACATTGCTCGGTTCCTAGTACAAGCACGCAAAATAGCTAGCAATCCTTTCACCATCCGTGTTCTAGGAGACATGAGACCCCCAAAATCCCCAATATCAGGAAGCCAAGGAATGAGCTCACCCGCCACTATTGCAGCTCTGGAATTCAGCATCACACTGGGTGGATTATCCTCCTCTTCCAAAGATTCAACACCACCCATAGTGGCTAGAAGTGAATCAACAATTAAATAAGCCTTAGACACAGCATCATCATCTCCTCCAAAACTTTCAACACCACTAACAACGTTCTTCAGCTTTTCCAAGCTCTCTGCCTTTCCCATGATAGCTGAATCCACTACATGCAGAAGCTCTGGTGATACATTTGGTGCAACCTGTTTAGGTTTCGGCTTTTCAGGCGAGTCAAAAGAAGGATATCCAGAATCTCCATAAAATTGCAAATCACTGTCAAGACCAGCTGAAGAAGAGGACTCTCTCATATGAAAATTGGGATCACACTCAGGCCCAGGACTAGCAGAATGAAGATCTTGATGCACCTCTAAATCCGGTGGAGAATCCAACCCAAATGATTGTGCGCTGGAAAAGGAAAACTGAAATCCACTTTCAATTGATGAATGCCTTAAGTCATTGGTGCTCAAAGACTGGCTCATTTCCATACCAGTTTTATCCTCGCTATTCGATGTGACATACCCAGAAAGTTCATCATTTGGAACAGTAGTAGCGGGACCAGCTACTTCTATATCACTATCACCCCCAACCTTATCTGCATCAATACTGTCTCCTTTTCCATCATCCATACTACTGTTCTCTCCTTGCTTCTCATAATCTTTCACAGAGAGTTCTTTACAATCACTCCATTCTTCCTCTTCCATTTTCTAACAAGAGCAATGCTTATATCTCATTCTTCATCAGCAAGCTCGTAACTTTTACCTGCAAGAACCATCTAATCCACAATGTTAATCAAGAACTTCATCATACAAATGGAGAATTAAAAAATAAAATTAAAAAAAAAAAAAAAGAAAAAGAATCACTCGGAGATACGGAAGAAAAGCAGTATATCAAATGTACGTATATATAATGTGGTGGCTCTAGTCCTCCAACATGCTATTAGCCTATTATTTACTTGAAAAAAACAGAAATGTGCACGTTTGAAGAATCAATAAACGCTAAGAAAGATCAAAGATCAGTACTAAAGTGAATTTTCAACTACTAAAGCATTACTAAACCCAAGAAGCTGACGTACGGAAGAATCACAGCGTTAAAATTGTTCCTCTGATCGTAGCGTTTCCCCATGCTATAATGTCCCACGATATTTTTACGTGGGATCAAATGTATGGCCTATGCAAGCTCAAAACATAAACAACTCAGCTAGCGGAAACAAAGATCAAGGAATATATGATCTCAACGACGCAAAATATTTCCTTCTCTTCCAAACAAATACAAAAACAACAACAGAGCGACGAAGCTCGGCAGAACGGACGCAAAGTCAGAATTCGATCGAGTTAATCAAGGCATTTTATATTCCACCCCTTCCTACAACAATGCAGGTCATTGTCGAGCCTATTCTGGATCAAATAATCATCCATTCACGCCGAGCTAATCCAAATTCTCTCCGCAATCACAACTTAAGAAAACAGTGTTGATCATCATCATTTCTCACCTCACAACAGAGGCATCGAAAATAAACCCAAAAAAACGACAAAACAACAAAAAAGAACGCAAGCTACCGGATTTGATTGATCAACCTGTCATGGCGGGGGAGTATTACGTCCGGTGAAACAATGATGATAGATGCAACTTGCAAAAATGGTAAATTGAATGCGAAGCATCGAAAGTGAAGGCGACTGGAGCGCGAGAGAAGAGGCCGAGCCACCCATAATACGTGGACTAACTATCTGCTGTGGCCCACTGGGCTTTTCTCTGTTAATGGGCCTAGAAAGCCCCATAAAAATACCATGAATAAAGCCAACGTACCAACCCGACCGATGGAATGCTGTCTGTGTATATATATTAATGATCCACAATAGCCTTCAAATTTGTTTGCCAAAAAATGATCTGAAATCGACACCGCCTAGTGCAGGACGTCTTACCTATACCTATAGTATTAGTGTATAATTATAATAATAAAAAAAATTAATATTTTTTTAAGTAAAACAAACGAAAATGATAAAAAAAATTACTTTCGACTAAAACATAAAACCTGTAATTAATTAGTGTTTTTTTACATCAGTTTAATTACTTCTAATTAAGCTAATAAACTAATAATATTCATAAGAATCATTGCTTAATTGCATTAAAGTTAAGAAAATATTGATTCAAAACAGTTACTACCGAAACAATTTAGATTTAATTGTCTAATATTCGAAAAAGAACTACTATTTTAATTTGGTTTCACTTATTAAAAAATGAATACAATTATTAATATTCCATTTAAATTGATTCTCTATTATTGGACTTAAATAATTATTTAAATCAAAATATTCAATTAAATAATAATTAAAAAATTAGACCTGTATAGTATAGTATGACCTGATGTGTGGAGTTGTACTTGTGAGTTGTGAGCGTAAGGATATATTATGGGTGGTTTGTTCTGGAGGTTTGGATTTTGAGTTGAGATTTGAATAGTAAAAATTTTGAATTTGAATAGTTGTACGATGTGATATAAATAAATATTGATGTAATATTTTGAATGTAAAATTTATTTTTAATATAATATAAAAAATAAAAAATAAATACTTCAAAATTATAAGTGGATACTGCAGATTTGGCATGGTTCAAAATTATAAGTGGATACTGCAGATTTGGCATGGCGAGGGAGGACCACAACAAATCCGTGTCCCTCTTTTATTTATTAAGAAAAAAACAAAAACCCAAAAAAAAAGAAGACCGGCCATTTTCTTCAATTCTAATTCAATACGTGCCGCATATAATTCGCCCGATGTCGCGATGCCATGCACCTTACGCAATCCATTTATTATTATTATTATTATTATTATTATTATTATCGTCATCATCTGTCACGTCATTCTTGCATTCTATATTTGTATGTAACTATTTTTGATCACTTTCCGTTCAAAATCATCGCCAATTATTACTGAGAGGTCCGCCGTCCCATTACAATAAATATATATGTATATATATTAAATTATTATTCCTTCGTGAATATTTACAAGTATATAAAATGGTGTATTTAAATATGTTTTGAAGACAGAGAAAGGAAAATAAATGAGTATTTAATAAGATTTAACTAAGTGTTGAGTGCAGTATTTTAAATAATAATTATTGTTTTATTCAAAATTAAATAATAATAAAATGAGAAGCAAACAAGACGTGAATACTTTTATGTAATTTAATATGTATACAGTATATATATATATATTTAATTATTATTTTTTAGTTAATATTTGTTTATAACAAAAATCGATCATTATTATTATTACTACACATCATTTATATTGTCGATTTTATTATTTTTTTAAAATTATAATAAATATTTTTATTATTTTTCAATAGAATATCAATTTTTCAATTTATGAGTCAACAAAATTGTTAAAATTATCAGTATTATTATTAAAAAAAGAAAAATGGTAATAGTGAGAAGACGAATTAAGGCAACCCGACGTCGAAACATATATGTGTGGTTCAGATCTCTTGCATGGTTCCGTACCTATCATGGCTAAATTAAAAATTAAATAAAATAAAAAAATTCAGACATGACAATATCAATATATCTATATGTATATAATATCGTCTTCCTCGCCATACCAGAAAACAAAGAATTAATTTGAATGGATTTTGTAGAATGTATTATCCTCTTCCTCGCCATCGCCTGGATTGTTGTTGTAGCTCTCACCGGGGCCCGAAAACCCTCCGGGCTTCCACCAGGCCCGCATCGGGTCCCCGTCATCGGCAATATCCTAGAACTCGGCAGCAAGCCCCACCGTTCACTGGCTACGCTCGCCGGAAAATACGGTCCGGTGATGTCGCTGAAGCTCGGGACCAGAACGACGGTGGTGATCTCCGCGCCGGAGGAAGCCAAAATGGTGATGCAGAAGCACGATTTGATCTTTTCCGGCAGGTCAATTCCCGGCGCCGCCGAGACTCTCCGCCACAGCGACTTCTCGATGGCGTGGCTCCCCGTCGATCACCAGTGGCGGAAGCTCCGGAAAATCTGCAAAGAGCAGATGTTCTCGGCGGCCAGGCTGGATTCCAGCCAGGGCTTGAGGAAGGCGAAGCTCCGGCAGCTGTCGGACCACGTCGGAGACTGCGCCGCCGCCGGCCGGGCGGTGGATATCGGCGAGGCTGCATTTACGACGTCGCTGAACCTGATGTCGGCGTCGCTGTTCTCCATGGATTTCGCCAAGTTCGATTCGGATTCGTCGCAGGAGATGAAGGACGTTGTCTGGGGCGTGATGAAGGGCGTCGGCAGCCCCAATTTGTCCGATTATTTCCCTGTCTTGAAGAGAGCCGATCCTCAGGGGATTCTCAGGGAGACAGAGAAATATTTCCAGAAACTGTTCGATATATTCGATGATATTATCGATAAGAGGATGAAATCGAGAAAAGACAAGAAAGACGACCTACTCGAAGCTCTGATCGATCTCAACCTCAGAGATGAAACAGAGCTGTCCTTGAACGATATCAAACATCTGCTGCTGGTAAGTAACTTCAGTTGTTACAAAATTTTTGTTTTCAACAAGGTTTTCCGACTTGTAAGGACTTGTATTGTTCTGTCAGGACCTGTTTGTTGCGGGCGCGGACACGACGTCCGGCACGGTGGAGTGGGCAATGTCGGAGCTGATGCGCCGCCCGGAGAAACTGTCGCGTGCCCGCGACGAAATCCGAGGCCTAATCGGAGAAACAGGGGAGATGCAAGAATCAGACATTCAAAACCTTCCCTACTTGCAAGCAGTGGTGAAGGAGACATTCAGGTTTCATCCTGCAGCCCCATTTCTGATGCCCCGAAAGGCCGAAACTGACGTAGAAATCAACGGCTACATAATCCCGAAAGACTGTCAGATTCTTATCAATTTTTGGGCAAGCGGTAGAAATTCGAATGTATGGTCTGATGCAGAGACATTCATGCCGGAGAGGTTCTTGGAAGGTGATGCTAGGAAGATCGATTATAGAGGCAAGGATTTCGAGCTTATACCCTTTGGCGCGGGCAGGAGGATCTGCCCGGGATTGCCGTTGGCGCACCGGATGGTGCACCTAATGCTAGCCACTTTGGTGCACGGGTTCGGGTGGAAGCTCGAAGAAGGGGTCAAAGCTGCAGAGATCGATGTGGATGAGAAATTTGGATTGACTTTGCAAAAGGCCAAACCTCTTAGAGCCATTCCATTGAAATTGTGAAGACACATAAATAGCGGAATGTGTAGGATATGATCTTGTGTTATTAATAAAAGGCTTAAGTATATTTATTATATTCGATTTTTTTTGATCATCCAAGATTATTTAGAGTCTAGATTCCGATCGACATTTTTCTTGTTTCATTACAATAATTTGTGGTGGCTTTACGTATCATCTCAAGCAATATCGTGTGATGAATCTTGGGTGCTGAATTCATCGACGATGGTTTTGTCACGGGCAGTGGCTGTCTGATTCTGATCTGCATCGATGCTTTTGCCCCACAGAAGAACATACATGCCCGCAATCACTACCGTTGATCCTAAGACACTGTCCAAACACAAAAGTGTAGAACGATGTTAGAGACACGGCTGGATAAGTCGACAACGAATGGGGAGAAAGGCGAGGCACCTTCCGAGGTAGACTTGTTCGCGCAACAACAGAATGTCGAAGACAGCTGCGAAAACTTGTATCAAGGGGCTGAATGCAGAGGTGAATACAGGTCCCTTTTGTTTCACACACCATGACATGACTGCATAGCAAATACCTGATCCGACGACACCCTGTAAGCAAAACATCGAACACAGTTACTGTCCGAATACGTCGTTGTAAGAAGTTCATGCTAGTCTTCAGCAATTCTTACACCATATACAACACTTAAAATCTGCAGCTCTCCTCCAAGAACCCATTTTTCTGTGTCTCTGGTGGTAGCGAAAGACAAGGCCGCCGACTGCGCTGCGCAGAAGAAGGACATGATCAACGTGCTCGAATATTGGTAGGGGAACTTCTGCCCGATCCTGGACTGTATCAAGAACCACGATGACCACGTGACGCTGGCTGCAGACAGGAGTGCCGAGCCGAGCCCAAATCGCTTCGGTCTATTGTTGTTCGATCCAATATGCTGCATATTTATCAGTGGCATCCCTTTATAAATTGATAGTATTGCAGCTCCCGCCGCACAGGTCATCGAGCCGAGCACCTTTGCCCTTCCGCTGCGGCTCCTAATGTTCAGCTTCTCCATTCTAAGAGTTAAAGTTTTAGGGATATGCATCATTAAATTATATTATTTTGTAGTCGTACTAACAAAAATCAATCAGCTGCCATTAATGGCTGTGGTTGTTGATCACTGAAGAAGTTTTAGTTAGTTACCGCAGCGGCAGCGCCAGAAGAAAGGTGATCACCGGCACCGTGTTGATGAAAGCGCAGGTGAATGTGGCTGTTGTGTAGTCGAGGCCGAGTAAGAATGTGTACTGTGCCATTGTTAGCCTGGAAGGATGCATTATTCAGACATGAATAACTTAGAGTGTGTAATGAATGAGCAGATTAGCCAAACGAACCCCAGAAATGCACAGAGAAACATCCTTCCGACGACACCGAATGTCAGCTTAGTCCAACTATTCCTGCAAATATGAATTGCTCCACAGACAAGCAGAGATGAAGATCAAGATCGAGTGCATTCGATACATGCAATCTATAAATAACATATACCTTTCCAAGAAATAGACGAAGGGGATCAAGAAAACGGTGCCAATGGATTGTCTGTACACGACGATGATGACATGGTCTGTCCCGGCATTCAGAGCCTTCTTGAAAAATATGTGAACAAGTGCTAAACCGAATTCAACTGCCACCAGGAAAGCAACTGCTCTCCATCTTTCGACAGAACTACTCATTACCAGAGGAATGTATATGTGTCTATTGTTCAATGCTGCCTTTAATACTGCTATAAAAAGACCAATCCCAATATCATGTTCGAATCAATCAATATTCTTATCAAACCAAACAGCAGCCTATAGAGTCTAGATCCCTTCATAATCTTCATTCTAAAATTCGACATTTTATAGCCTTTGAGGCCACACTGTGGGGAACCATTAGATACAGTCATACAGAGCATATTTTCTCTACACGCTATCATCAATTGAACTCGTGATTGATTGTAACAGTTCTCACACTGCAACAATTTCTTTCAATAGAAACACAAATGAGGTCATGCTGGTGAAGCATTAAGCATAAATGATAAATGTAAAGTAGATGATTTGATGTATACTTCATCACTGATTGACTGACTGTTCAGATAAATATAGCAGCATCTAATGCTTCTTTTGGAAGTAGAAGACCTATTCGTAATCGTCCCTGTTGAGAAACTGTATTTTGGGTAAGTGGGAAAGAACAATGCGTCTAATCTGGAGCAAGAATATGCAAAGCGAATACGGATTTGGGTGTGTGTGATCTGATCATTTCCTGATTTGGTGAAGTCAGTTCGATCACTTAGACAGGTGACCGACTCTTGTTGGGCTAGAGAAAGCCCAATAATTAGTAGGCTCTTTAAAAATGGGATCTTTTTAAAGATGAAGATTCAGTTTTGAAGTCAATATTTTACAGAGCTTGTCTGTACGCGGAATGGAATCGACAATGTATTGAACGTCGTCGGCAATAAAAAGGGAAAAACAAAAACGTTCGGTAATTAATTTCTGAAGGATCGACGTGGAAACACTAACAGATAAGCGACTCTTGGGTTACAGAGGCTAAAAATTGACTCACACAACTGCCCCATTTATTGAGTGCACGGACAGAGACACCGTTCTGAGATATTATCATCAATTTTAATAATCCCCCATTTGCAGGCGCGTCCCACACAATACCCTTCTCTTTCTCTTCGCAGCCAGAAATTCTTGCCTTGTAGATTAAGACGGCCTTTGAGCTGAATCAGCCCTTTTCGATAACGACGGCGCGAAATAATTCAAAGCTCGTAGTTGCTTCGTTGTTATTGTTTCCGTTTTAGTGGGTTCTACTTAATGTTGCGATAGTAACAGTCAATCCTTGTTTGGAGTTGAAGTGGGGTGGACTAGAAAAATCAGGGTTTTGTGATTTGGGGGGAATCGAAGAAAGGGAGCAGAATGGGTTTGATTTCGGGAATGGTGATGGGGATTCTCTTCGGGATCGCGGTGATGGCGGGCTGGAAGTACATGATGGCCCATCGAAGCAGCAAGCGTGTTGCTAAGGTTTTCTCAATTTTAATTTTACCTTACAGCGTTTGTGCCTCGGATTCGCTGAGAATCGCCGGTGTAGCTTTGCTGCTAAAGTTTTTCGATCGAATATTTGTTTAGCTTAGTTCTCGAGTCTTCAGTTTCCAGAATTTCGCGTGCGAATCGGCTGATGTCGGTTTGTTGAATTTCAGTTGACTTGAGAATGGTTTACTTTTTCTTATTTCATCTTTGTGACAATGAAATTCTATGAGATCTTTGTCATCTTTTAAATTTTTGTTTTGTGTGTTGTCTGGAACAGGCAGTTGATGTTAAACTGCTAAGCCAACTGACCAGGGATGATATCAAGAAAATATGTGGGGAAACTATTCCAGAATGGATATCATTTCCTGTATATGAACAGGTTAGACTTTAGAGCACTTCTTTGTGTTTTGGTTGATTAAGCCCTTGATTGTTCAACATTGTTTGTCTTAGTCATTCTCTGATGAATTCAATCAGCAAAGGTTTGGGGATTTCTCTGTTGAATATAAATTTAAGCTTGATTGGATTGGTACAAGCTATAATTGATTGACGACTGAACAATTTTGATACTGCATTTATTAAAGCCAACTAACAATTTGACATTTTCAGGTTAAGTGGCTGAACAAACAGCTGAGCAAAATGTGGCCATATGTAGCTGATGTAAGTAATCTTTTATGCTCTTGTGTCGTGCTTAGTGTTTAGTTTATGTTTTGGATATATGATTATGGTATATGGCTTGAATTTTTTCTACACTCCGGAGCGAGAGGGTAGTCGGAGGATTGTATCAAATTTGATACGAACAATTTATGTTAATGATGTTTTGAATAGATACTATTTTAAGCACTAAAGGAGTTCTAAAAGTGATTCTCATTTTGCATTATTTTAAAGAATTTGGTTTCTAGCTCTTTTTGCTAGTTGAGTTTTGTTTATTTTTTCATTGTTTTTGTCAAGTGATTGATACAAGGTTTTCGAGTGAGGTTAGTTTTAATTGCTTGAATGTTGTTTGATGATTCCTTTTCCAGGCTGCAGAGGCTGTCATAAAAGAATCTGTTGAACCACTCCTGGAAGAGTACCGACCTGCAGGAATCACTTCTTTGAAATTCAGTAAATTGTCTCTTGGAACAGTGGCTCCTAAAATCGAAGGTTGCAGCACTTGATCAATCATACTTTAGTGTTTGCGATATTGATGAGCTAATTATTTTTATACTTTCTGCATTGTAGTATTTGCATTTCCAATCAAGCTTTGGTCGGCCTCTTAGTTGATAGATGAAATTTTGACGAATCTTGACATAAAACTCGTGCAATTAGTTTAGTGCTGTTCTTGGACTTATCTGGTAGCATATTGATTCTTAAGATATTATTTTCAGAAAATGTGTTGTCTGAAGCTCTCTAATGTTTTATACTTTGGTTCATTCGGGTGCAGTTTTTTGTTGCATCTTACACCTATTCTATGGGAAAACTAATATATTTTTACTACCATTGAAATTACTAAAGAAACGATTTTTACATTGCATCTTTCATCTATTCTACGGTAAAACTATTATATTCTTACTACCATTGATACTACTAAGAAACGTGTATCTTATAAATCAACTCCTTGCTGTGACTTTTTATCAGAGATTATAATGCCGATAAAGTGTTTAATCATTATAGATATGAGATGCGCTGTTTATTGTTCTTTAGATTTATGTACATGTTATTTAGTTTGTCTCCTAGCACAATCACGTAAAACCCATGCAGGCATTCGAGTTCAGAGTCTTAAAGAAGGTCAAATCACAATGGATATTGATCTCCGGTGGGGTGGGGATCCGAGCATCATTCTAGCTGTTGAGGCTGCTCTCGTTGCTTCTATACCGATTCAGGTGCATTGCTTCATATGGTTCTGCTTGTTCTGGCAAAGTTACTCTTTCTGTGTTTTGTTTCTTTTCACTATATCTTATCCATACTCTGTCACAGTTGAAGGATCTTCAAGTTTTTACTGTGGTTCGTGCGATTTTCATTCTAGCTGATGAAATTCCTTGCATCTCTGCTGTAGTTGTTGCTCTTCTTGCCGAGGTACCTTCAAAGTCAAATACTGATTTCACTAGTATTTCTGCTGATGACTGTCATGTGGTTTGAAAGCGTTTTTTTTCAATGTTATTGGAAGTTTGATGTCAGTCTTCCAAATTTTTGGCATCATTGCCTGTTCAATTGACTTTTGTTATGAAGTCTTGACTCCAAACTGTAGTCATCGATGGTGCCACAGTTTATTTTTTATAATTATATTTTTGTTTAATATAGAAGCTTATGTTAGATAGATTTGAATGCTGTTAAGTGTAAACCCAGCTCGCGACTAGGTCTTTATGCTATGATGCTGTCTTTTTATTGTCTCGTTGGTTTTTGCTAACTAGGTTCTAAGAAAAAATATTTATTCTTAGAAGGGCATGTGATTAGTATATATGTTAGTATTTGAGACTTTATGATTTTTATCATCGAATTTGAATATTGACATCTTTTATGTTTAACATCTAGCACATAAAAAAAAAAAAACAAAAAAGAGTTTAGATTATTTATGAATGTTTGTGTTATTCTTTGCTATGGCGCGCTGTTGTGCTGCGTGCCGTATGTCATTGCCCTAGGGTCTTTGCACTGTTGACAACTATGATTCAAACAAGTTCTAGCTTGAAATATAGAAACACTAATACACAACCGATAATTCAAACAAACCCTTACCAAAGGAACATTATTTTCGAGTCTTGGTAATGAAGCTACTCATGGTTATTTTTGTTTTCCTCACCTGACTTTCAGTAATTTCATCTATGTTTTTCCATGTCTCTTAGCCGAAGCCACGGATTGATTATACTTTAAAGGCTGTGGGTGGAAGTCTAACAGCCCTTCCTGGGATTTCCGACATGATTGATGTAAGAATTAAGAGACATGCTTACTAGAACTGATTTATTTACCATTAGTGTCGGTGACTAATTGTTATTTTGTTTCAACTAGGACACTGTTAATACGATCGTGACGGATATGCTGCAATGGCCTCAAAGAATTGTCGTACCTATTGGTGGCATTCCGGTAGATTTAAGGTGAATGAACTGTCTGTGTAATTCCTTGTGTATCTTTTATTCTTTTTGATTGTCCTGCAATTTGTGGAATGCCATTAAATTGTACCCTCTAAATTTCGCAGCGAATTCCAGCTTAAGCCAGTGGGAAAGCTCACGGTAACCATTGTCAAGGCAAATGATCTGAAAAACATGGAACTGATTGGAAAATCGGATCCCTATGTTGTTGTGTACATCCGTCCTCTGTTTAAAGTCAAAACAAAGGTTATAGATAACAACTTGAATCCCGTTTGGAATCAGACATTCGAGTTAATTGCTGAAGACAAGGAGACACAGTCGCTGATTCTCGAGGTTCTTTAATTTGTATTATGTATTTCATTCGCTCGATGACTCTGATTGATGAAATGCTGACGCCTACACATGTGTACTGTGGAGCAGGTGTTCGATCAAGACATCGGGCAGGACAAGCGACTGGGCATTGCGAAGCTACCCCTGATTGAGCTGGAACCCGATACGAAAAAAGAATTCGAATTGAGACTGCTCCCGTCGCTCGACATGCTTAAAATTAAGGACAAGAAAGACAGAGGAACTTTATTTCTTCAGGTCCGGATTCTAGTCAGAGCTTAATCAAGTACAATGTTCTTCGTCTGGCACTGGTGATGAATTTGTCTGAATTTTCGATCAGGTATTGTACCACGAATTCAACAAAGACGAGCAGTTGGCGGCGCTGGAAGAAGAGAAGAGGATCTTGGAAGAACGCAAGAAACTGAAAGAAGCGGGAGTGATCGGGAGCACGATGGACGCACTGGACGGCGCTGCATCGATCGTGGGTTCGGGTGTCGGCATGGTGAGCGCGGGAGCGGGCATTGTCGGGACGGGGCTAGGCGCCGTCGGGAGCGGTTTCGCTAAAGCCGGGAAGTTCATGGGGCGGACCATCACGGGCAGCAGCGCATCGAGGCGGAGCGGCGCCTCGACGCCCGTCAATCCTGATGAAAATGGAGGCGCGAAGACATCGTGAAAACAGCAGCGATCTTGACTTTGTGATTGTGAGTTTCGATCTGAAATTTCTTGCATCGCATCGCATCGCATCACACTACACACTTCACTACACTACACTACACTGTCAGTGTTTCTTACATTTTACATATATGTAGAGTTGGATGACATTTGAGGGCACAAGTGTAATTTGGCATGGGCGGATGAAATGAATGAACGAATCGTGTCTTCTTCTTTCTCGTGAATCAGTTGAGTTGTACTAAAATGAATCGTTGTCTTGTCTACCCGTGAATTGGATTGGTGTTTGACTAGAGAGAGAGAGAGGTTTTCTCATTACATTACATACATACATACATACAAATATAAAGATAAGATGCCTCTGTCTGTCTCTGTCTCTGTCTCTGTCTGGGCTGGGCTGCTTGTCTCGAGGAATACAGTAAAAAATTTCTTATGCATATGATATGATGGTGTGGGAAAGAAAGTTATAAAAGTCAAACGCCATTTAACTTTTATTATTGTTTTAGAAATGAGATTATCAGAGCCAGAATGATTATAAAATGGCTCTGGCGGATGACGTCAAGGTGATATATTTCGCACGCGCGTACAGATGGCCCTATTTTTGTTGTTGTCCATTTTGACCCTCTGCTTTTGGGGTGACACTCACCTTTTTCTTTCACCCATTCCCATCCCATTAATGTAAAAACATTTCGAAGCAGTGCAGAAAGCATACAGGTAGGTCGCATTAACATGGAAATGATTTCAATTGACTTTCACAACAGCAGCATATTAGGAAATCAATTACATTGAAACTTGTTACCAAATCAAATACTAGTACTAGTGTATAATTAATTCCTTTAAACCCCACACCACGCATGAAACAATTAGATCATCAATAAAGCTGCCAACTTTAAATCAAGATGCCATCTTTAAACTACCCGTTGTTCAAACTTGTGCAGGTAGTTATTATTATTGCAAGAAAAAGAGAGTAATAAGAGCAGCAAGCAAGCATAGCAGTGAGAAGAAGACACACATTCTTGATTCTTGACTTGACCTCCCAAAAGGCAAAGTGCCCTTTAAAAAAACATTCAATATTCAGATTCTTTTATTTATTTATTAAATAAATAAATTATAATAGTTGCTTTGTGTACAAGAATAAGAATTGATTGATGTTACACCTTGCTCATAGTCAACTTGATGTAGACCTCCTCACCCTTCTTACAGTTTCAATTCAAGCCCCAATTTATCATCAAAACAATTCCATATGCCCACTAAAATGATAAATAAAATCCCTCTCTCAACATATTTTAAAATTATTTATTTGAAAGAATCCCAGCTTTTATTCTCCTTGCTGTTAGTTTTAAAAATCATAAATTCGTTTCACACAAACAGTAACAGAAACACTGCAAGATTAGGAGAGCCACCCACCAACGGTGTGGCCTGTGGGTGCACCGGGTTCTGAAGTCCAGGGAGCTTCCAGTTCCAAGGGCAACTGAGTGGACCAGTATTATACTATATGAGAACATGAAATGGTCATGGGAGCGCAGATTGGGGTTGCGTCACAGCGCTGTGACCGTAGCACTTGACTCACCAGTTGACAAAAAACACCAGAGCAGAGCGAGGTGCAGAGGAAGAGGAAGAAGACGACGACGAATCTCCATAACCAAAAAGCCCAGTTGCACTTCAACGCACTGTGTTTCACTCGTCCCTTTCTATCATATTTCCTTCTCTCTACATCCACTTTGCTGTTATATATATATATATATACATGTATTGATACGGCCGACGTTCATTTTCCCGTCAAATCCGACGTAATGCCGCCGCCGCCACCGCGCCGCCCGCACGTGCCCATCGTCCCGGCGGTCATCGCTGCGGCGATGTGTTTAGCCTTCTTATGCCTGTTTATAATTTTGTACCGCAAAATCACGCGTAAGAGAACCGTTCCTACGGATCTAATGAAGCCCCCATTTCCGCCGCAGAGATTCTCCTACTCCGCTCTAAATCGCGCGACCGCTTCATTTTCCGCCGCGAACCGCCTCGGCCAGGGCGGCTTCGGCTCGGTTTACAAAGGCGTCCTTCCTTCCGGGCAGGAGATTGCGGTAAAGCTCATGAGCGACGTTTCGATTCAAGGCGAGCGCGAGTTTCAGAACGAGCTGTCACTTGCTTCAGGTATCGATACCGTTTGTTGTCCGTACATCGTCTGTGTGCTCGGTTTCTCTACCTCAGATGGCAGAAAAGGATACGGATTCCGTTATTGTGGCCGTCAGAAGAAGTGGGGAAGGAGACGGTTGGCACTCGTTTATGAGTTCATGCCGAACGGGAGCTTGCAGGATGCTCTGCTAGATCGGAAATGTGAGCAATTGATGCAATGGGATAAGAGGTTTGCAATAATCACGTCTGTTGCAAAAGGCCTCGATTATCTGCACAGCTGTTGCGATCCTCCAGTCATTCATGGAGATATCAAGCCTTCCAATATATTGCTGGATTGCAATTTTGATGCTAAGATTGCCGATTTTGGGTTGGCTCAGGTGTTGACCAGAGGGGAAGAGACTGTGGCGGACATATTCATGGAGGAGGAGGAAGAGGACGAGGACGAGGAGAAGACTGAGAAGAAAGGAGGCGTTGGGGAGACTGAAGGTGTGGTGATGGAGGACGCTGTAGTGGTGAATGTGGAGCTTTCGCCGCCAGAGAGTTACTGTGTGAGGATTCTTGATGAGGAGGAAGGTTTAGGTGTGGTGGGGGAGGGGAGTGCATCGGAAGGAATTACTGATCGAATAAGTATGGATAGTGGAAGTAGGAATGTAGTTCTCGAAAGGGGGAAAGGTGAATCCGATTGGTGGTGGAAGCAAGAAAACATGAATGGCTTATCGGATTCGAAGAGAGAAGTAAAGGATTATGTGAAGGAATGGATTGGGAGTGAGATTAGCAAGGAAAGGCCTAAGAAGGAGGATTTGATCAAGTCTAAGAGCTCAGTCGAAGAAGGTATGGAAGTGGAGCAAACAAAGCCGGGGAAAAGGTTGGAGTGGTGGCCTTCGTTAGACAGGGAGGCGCTGAGGAAGGAGAAGAAGGACAGGAAGCCGAGGGAATGGTGGAAGGAGGAGTTCTGCGACGAACTAGCCAAGAAAAGTAGAAACAAGAAAAGGGAACTTCTTAAAATGGATTGTGAAGGAGAATTGTGGTGGCAGAGGGACGAAGCCGGCAATGGGTTGCCGGAGAGGAAGAGGAGGAGAAGCAGGGGAAGCCGTAGCAGCATTGACCGGTGGCTGGATGGTTTTAGCGGCGAGTTTCGTTTAGGAAAAAGAAACAGCCAAGATTTCGCTAGTGGCGAAATCCCCAAGAGCGGGGGCATTAGTAGCACGCCTAGTATGAGAGGAACCGTTTGCTACATTGCACCTGAATGCAGTGCCGGTTCTCCAGTATCTGACAAGTGCGATGTTTATAGCTTCGGCGTACTGTTATTAGTCATGGTTTCTGGTCGAAGGCCATTGCAAGTGATGGCGTCGCCAATGTCTGAATTCGAAAGGGCTAATTTGATATCGTGGACTCGGCAGCTGGCCTTGAATGGTCGTCTCGTGGATCTTGTCGATCCAAATATTCAGTCATTGGATCGGGAGCAGGCAGTGCTATGCATTACTATTGCCCTTCTCTGTCTCCAAAGATCGCCGAACAAACGCCCCACCATGAAAGAGGCTGTGGAGATGCTCTCCGGAAATTCGGAGCCACCCCATCTGCCGTTTGAATTCTCGCCATCACCACCGTCCAATTTTCCCTTCAAGTTGAAGAAAAAGTTCAGGTAACAACTAATTCTCCCTTATCCATTAATGCAGAGTGCAGAGCTTTCTGTTTTGGCCATTTACATATTTCATACTCTTATGAACTGTGCAGAGTCTTTTATGGAATACCAATTGCTTTTGAGCTTTGAGTGTGATGATGAATGGGCAAATCTTTTAGGAATCCCAAGCATAAAGTGTAGGGATAATAGTATCAGTAATAATTGCTCTAGCTTTTTAAGATTTAAGACATCATATGTATGTATGTATATCTATCTATACCTTTCCTGGGCTTTGGTTTCTTCCCTTTTATCCATTATCCATCTTCATGGGTTTAGAAATGGTGGTCTGCCATTTTTGGGGCCCGGGAATTATTGGTTCACTGTCTGGTTGCCAAACAAAAGGGGCAAGCTTTGTTCAAAAGTGTCATGAATTTCAGCATAGAGCAAACCAAACTAGGTCCCAATGTCATCAGAAAAAAGCTAATAATGCTTTCTTGTCATCATTCTTTTTAAGTGTGAGATCCTTTCCGACATTGCACAGATAATTATTTATTTGCACATAAACAGCCAAAGGAATGGCTGAAGCCCACACATGGCATGCCTATTTCCGAGATGAGATGATTGCCATTTTCTTGGACATCTTCTATAAGAAAGACTTAAACATGGACTAGGACAAATAAGAAATACTACAATACATTTGAGAATATAGTTTGATCATTGCCTTTGTCGTTCATTATCTTAAGTGGGGGATTCTGATTTCTGATTTTGCGTGCTGATTGATTTGATTCACACCCTCTTACATTCTTGCTATGGATTTGTCAAGAATTTGATTATGTCTGATCTGCAGCAGCAGCCATTACAGATGACAATCATTAATGGAAGAAGCAGCCTGCAAGTTACTGAACCATGTGTGCAACCCTGATGGTTATCCTACCCGCCAACCCGGATCCGGCCTTCGCCTGCTAGAATTTATCCTGGCTTGGTGGTGAGAGGGTTCGCGGCGTAAGGGATTGGCGGAGGTGCATGAGGGAGCATCAACATCAGCATCAGCATCAGGTTGTGGAGTGGATGATGGATGTAGTGTGATTTAAGACAAGATTCTGTGTGCTCAATGGCTGCCAGAGAATTCATCTCAAAAAAAAATAAAATTGATGAGATCCTCCGTGGATGAAAATAATAATAGTATTAACAATGGCGATTGGTGTTAGAATTTGGCTTGCGGACATATGAATAATGACTTAGTTTTTCTATCAATTCAAGCTTTTACATGAGACGGTGGATGCCCCCATTTGTATGCATATGTATGTGCAAATTTAGAGTACCTCCACTCCACTTGCACCTGAGGGGGCATGTGAAATTTATTTCTTCTTTGGTGCAGAGGAGAGGACTGATTATTTCTGTACTATGTGTGATTTTCGCTTGTCTATCCATTTAAATCATTCTTTTAGTAATGTTTGGAATTTAAATTTATATCATATCCTATCCCAATAGACCATCACCTACCGGACCGGACCGGACCGGACCGAAATGGACTCGACTTATGTGGCCCACGAGCCCCAAAGACAGGTCCAAATTCATAGTACGGATCATCTAATGAATCAGCACTGTTTAATTAAAAGAGTTGAACTGGTAATTAAATTTCTACTAAAAATGCGGTTAGTTATCGATAATTTAGGACGGCCTCTAATTCTATCTTCACCTGCTCAATAAAAAAAAAAATAATAATTAAATAATAATAATATTATTAATTAATTTTATGTTTTTAATTAAGATAAGTAATTAATCGCCGTAACTTTATTAGTATGAAGAAACAGAAATGTCGAAATTCGATCCCTACGAACATCTGAACGTCTCCCTAAACTCCGACGGCTCCCTCACCCGCTACGTCAAGCTTCCGACCTCCGCTGCCACCGGCGAAGCTCCTCGGAACCCCAGCGAATCAGCCCTCAGCCATGACGTAACTCTCAATTCCGACAAGAATACATGGATGCGAATCTACCGCCCCGCCAGGATCCCTTCCAACGACAACGCCGTCGTCCGCCTTCCGATCATCTTCTATTTCCGTCCCGGCGGCTGGATTCAGAGGAGCATTGCCGAAACTATCATCCATGGCGGCAACGAGAGGTTAGCCGCAGAAGTGCCTGCCATCGTCGTCGCCGTCGAGTACCGTCTCGCGCCGGAGAGTCGCCTCCCGGCGCAGTACGACGACGCTATCGACGCCGTCGTTTGGGTTAGGAACCAGGCGGCGATCGGGAACGACGGGTTTCCATGGATTAGGGATTTCGCCGACCGCACCAGGTGCTACCTCTACGGTGCCAGCTGCGGCGCCAACATCGCCTTCCAGGCGGCGCTCCGCCTGCCGGAGATTGATCTGAAGCCGCTGGTGGTCGCCGGAACTATTCTGAACCAGCCGTTCTTCGGATCGATGAAGCGGACGAAGAGCGAGCTGAAACTGGCGACCGACCAGTTCTTCCCGTTGCCGGTCCAGGACCTCCTCTGGGAGCTGGCGCTGCCGCCGGGGACCAACCGCGACCACCATTACAGCAATCCGTTTACTTACAGAGGGATGCAGGAGAAGCTCAAATCCCTGGGGAGGTGTTTGATTATAGGATTCGCCGGCGATCCGTTGGTCGACCGGCAGCAGGATTTTGTACGGATGCTGGTGGAGGAGGGTATCATGGTGGAGGCGCGTTTCGACGACGCGGGGTTCCACGGCATTGATTTGATCGATTCCCGGCGGGCCTCGGCGATTCACAGTTTCATCAAAGACTTTGTTTAATTTATGATTAAATTATACTCCTTTCGTTCGTTATTTGCTAATCATAGTCTCTACTTTATAATTACCTACTTTTTAAAATCCTTAAAAATAAAAAAAAAAATTTTAATATTTTATATTCTATTTTATACCCACTTTCAATTAAATATTATTATTCCTTAATGTTACATGATCCTAATTTTTATTTAAACTTACAAAAGAGACAAAAATTAACGCTTTAAATTAATGATCGGAGAAATCAAGGGTTCGCCGGAGAAGAAGGCGTTCAAGTTATCCATCACCATTCTGAATCCAACTGCAAACGCTTCTCTTGTGAAGCCTGCCCGGTGCGGCGACAGGACGACGTTATCCAGGCGGAGGAGCTCCTGCGGGACGGCCGGCTCATTCTCGAACACGTCCAGTCCGGCGCCGGCGATAGTACCTTCCAGCAAGCGCTTCACCAGTGCTCTCTCGTCGACGACCGGACCCCTTGCGATGTTCACAATGAATCCATTCTCACCCAGGGCGGCCATTACGTCGTCGTTTATTATGTGGCGTGAGTCATCCGTCAGGGTACAGCAGATGACCAGGATGTCGGAATGGGACGCCAGTTCGCAGGCTGTCGGGTAGAAATTGTGAGACGCCGACGGGTTTTTGGTTCTTGAATTGTAGGAGATTTTGCACCCCAACGATTCGAGCCTTTTCGCTACTTTTGATCCGATGTTGCCCAATCCCACAATTCCAACCCTTTTGTTTTTGAGCTAAAAATTTTGAGGTCATATATGCCAATTACTTATAATTATGAAGGAACTGAACTAGAAAAGAAACGAGATTAATTAATGTATAGTACCGTGAAGCCGAAGGGATATTCTCCGGCGAGCGGCCAGAGCCGGCGGCGGACGAAGGAATCGCCACCGCTGATCTTCCTTATCAGACCAATCAAGATCCCGACGGCGTAATCCGCCGTGTCCTCTGAGAACACATCGGCTGTATTTGTGACCGCAATTCCCCGGCGGCGGCAGGCTGCCAGGTCAATATGGTTGACTCCGGTTGAGGCCGCGGCGACTAGCTGGAGCGACGGGAGGTGGTGGAGGATGTCGTTGGTAATTGGGCTGAGGCCGGAGCAGAAAACGACCCTTGTGGACTGGGCGTATTTATGCAAGAAGATGTCGGTCGGGAGTGGGGATTCATAGGCTTTCAGAAGGTTGAAGCTATCGGAGAATTCTTGCTCGTATACTATGAAGAGCTGTGGGGGTCGTAGGATTAGAAGTTGCTGGCGCTCCTCGCCGGCGGCCGGTGGTGGTTCGCGGCGGCGTCGTTCTTGATCCATTTGATTGATTGTTAATCAGACAAAGATAAGCCTGCAAATTTGACTTTCTTTTTAGTATAAACTAGATTAACATTGCGTGTATGTTAATTAAGCTTTTTAAATTATTATTGTTATTAAATAAATAATATTTGTATATTATTAGGAGTTGCAATTGATGGTTTAAAATTTGAATTTCTAATATTGTATTATATTTTTTTTTAGCAAAAATAAAATATTTTTCTTTGTTTTTGTTCGCGTATTTCTTTTCCTGTGTTCTGCTAACAAATTTGATATCATACCAAATAGATTCCAAGTTTTTTTGGTCCATCTTCTCTACAACGAAAGAAGAAAATGAAGGCTTGTGTCGTATTTTTTTTTTTTTTAGAAGTAAAGTTTTTTTTCAAAAGTAAAGGTTTTTTTTTTGTTCGTTTGCAAAATGTCAAACAAAAATTCTTCAATTCAACCTGTAATTTCAATTTTCAAAGGAGAGAAGTACCATCTTTGAAGTTTAAAAATGAAGACTCTATCTCAAGAATTGTGGGATTTGGTTGAAATTGGATTTGATGACCCAGACCTCGCTCCTGCAGCACCGGATCAACAATTGCAGGAAAATCGTAAAAAATATGCAAAGACATTGCTACTCATCCAATCGGCATTAGAGGATGATATTTTCCCCCGTATTGCAGCTGCGAGAACATCCAAGATGGCATAGGATATTCTGAAGCAAGAATATTTGGGTGACGACAAAGTACTTATGATTAAATTGCAAACCCTTCGGCGTAATTTTGTAACACTAAGTATGAAAGAAAAAGAATCTGTCCAAGAATATATGTCACGTGTTTCTGGTATTGTCAACCAGATGAAGTGTTATGGAGAATTTGGATTGGTCAGTAATCAGATTGTTGTCAGTAAGGTTCTCAGAAGTTTGATTCCAAAATTTGATCACGTTGTTGCTGAAATTGAGGAAAGTAAGGACTTGTCAACATATAAGAATTGATGAGTTCTCTGATGTCGCATGAAGCAAGATTGAACAGATCATCTAAAAAACAAAAGAAAAAGCGTTTCAAATTAAAAGGGAGAGTTCATAGGGAAAATCTGAATTTTTTGTAAATCGTGGCACAACAGAGGTAGCTTTCGAGGACGAGGTCGTGGTGGAGGCAAGGATAGGTCTTCTGAACCACGCCAATTAAAAAATCATTTTCAATGCAAATATTGTAACAAGTTAAGGCATAAGGAGGCTTATTGTTGGGCAAAGCAGAAGGATGAACATAAGCAGACAAATTTTACCGAGCAAACCGAAGAAATAAGCAAATTATTTATGACACATTCATTGATATGTGGTGATGAAAATAAAAATATTTGGTTTGTGGGCAGTGGTTGCTCAAATCACATGTCGGGAAATAAATCTTTATTCAAAGATCTTGATGAAACACAAAAAGGAGAAGTTCGACTTGGTGATGGAAAGAAAATGAAAATTGAAGGAAAATATACAATTATTGTGAAAACAATTCAAGGTGATTTTTGTCTTCTTCATAATGTGCAATTTGTGCCTACATTAGCTCATAATTTGCTAAGTGTAGGACAATTAATTTCAAGTGGCTATTCAGTTAAGTTTGATGGTGAATCATGCATTATTCGTGAAAAAAATTCTTGTCAGATACTAGCGACTGTCCGTGTGATAAGAAGTCGAATGTTTCCATTGGATGTCTCTCGATCAGTGGGCAAAGCTTTGGTTGTTGGGAGAAATGAAGAATCAAATATTTGGCACTTATGTTATGGCCATCTACATGTAAATGGTTTGAAGTTGTTATGTCAAAAAAAAAAAAAATGGTGGTTGGATTGCCAAATATTTCAGAGATTGATTTTTGTGAAACATGTGTATGAAAAACAGTCCAGAGGTTCATTTCCTAGTGGACGATCTTGGAGATCTTCAAAGATCTTGGAGATCTTCAAAGTTCTTGGAGCTTGTACATGTTGATTTATGTGGGCCAATGCAAACAGAATCTCTTGGTGGAAGTCGATATTTTCTCCTGTTTGTTGATGACTATAGTCATATGACTTGAGTTTATTTCTTGAAACTCAAATCTGAAAGTTTCGATAACTTTAAAAAGTTTAAGGTTATGGTGGAAAAGCAATGCGGAAAAAGTATTTAGGTGTTGCGCACTAACAGAGGCGGTGAGTTCTTGTCTAATGATTTTATCTCTTTCTGCGAAAATCATGGCATTCGTAGGGAACTTACAGCTCCTTATACACCGGAGCAAAATGCTATTGAAAAAATATTGAAAAAGCTGTACAAAAAAATCAAAATGGAAAGAAGCTGTGGCAGAGGAGCTAAATGCTATTGAAAAAAATTCAACTTGGGAGTTGGTCGATGCCCCACTTAATAGAAATATTGTGGGCTTGAAATGGGTGTTTCGTACCAAATATAATCTGGATGGAAGTATTCAAAAGCATAAAGCTCGACTCGTCGCAAAAGGATATTCACAACAACATAGTAGAAACTTTGACAAAACTTTTTCTCCAATTGCTCGCTTCGAAACTATGAGAATTATTTTGGCATTGGCTGCTCAATTAAATTTGCCAATTTATCAATTTGATGTGAAGTCGGCTTTTTTAAATGGTGCATTGGAAGAGGAGGTGTATGTTTCTCAACCTCTTGGATTTAATGTTGTTGGCAGTGAAGATAAGGTTTATAGATTACGAAAAGCTGTTTATGGCTGAAACAAGCTCCTTGGACTTAGTACAGTAAAATTGATTCATTCTTTCATAGAAATGGATTCTCAAGAAGTGAGAATGAACCTACTTTATGTATAAAGAAGAAAGGTAATGGCGATTTCTTGTTGGTTTGTTTATATGTTGATGATATGGTATATCTTGCATCATCAAAAGCCTTACTTGATGATTGTAAGCATACCATGATGAGCAAATTCAAGATGACATACCTTGGGTTGCTAAAATATTTTCTGGGACTCGAGGTTATTCAGAGTGAAGATGGAATTTTTTTGGATCAAAAGAAGTATTCTGCCGATCTTCTAAAGATATTTAATATGGTGAATTGTGAAGTTGCAACCACACTTATGAATATTAATGAGAAGTTACAGCATGAAGACGGCACTGAAAAAGCAAATGCAACATTATTTCGAAGTTTGGTTGGTGGCTTGAATTATTTAACACACACTAGACCTAATATTTCTTTCTGGGTTAGTGTTGTGTCCAGATTTATGCATCATCCTACGAAACAACATTTTGGGGCTGTTAAGAGGATTCTTCCATTACAAAAAGATAGTATATTTGTAACGGAATTCCGTTCTTAAAGTTCACGTAGCTAACGTAATTCCGTCCCTAAAGTTCACGTAGCTAACATAATTCCGTCCCTAATTCTGTCTCTAATATCATTAGTAACGGAAAAAATGAATTTAAGAACGAAAAAAATCTTGTTACAAAATTGATAATTTTTTGTAGTGTTTGTTACATTGCTGGGACGTTGAACTTTGGTATTTGGTATATTCAGACAAAAAATTTCAGACTTGTTGGCTTCACAGATAGTGATTGGGCTGCGTGCATTGACGATCGGAAAAGTGTGTCTGGTAATATATTTAATCTCGGTTCTTGAGCAGTAACATGGAGCTCTAAGAAATAAGACACGGTAGCTTTATCATTGTGTGAAGCAAAATATTCAGCAGCAACTTCGACAGCAAAGCATGCTTTGTGGATTCAGAAAATTCTTACAGATTTGGACCATGAGCCGAATGAGGCAACACAAATTTTCTGTGACAACAAGGCAGCAATTGCAATTGCCAAAAATCGAGCTTTCCATGGAGGACAAAACATATTGGCGTGCAACATCACTTCATTCGACAACTTGTAGCAAATGGAACAATTGCAATGACGTTTTGTGAAACTAACGAGCAAGTAGCAAATATCTTTACCAAATCACTTCCTCAAGCCAAACATAATTATTTGAGGATGAGCATGGGAGTGACAAGCTTTGAAGCAAGAGGGAGTGTTAATTAAGGGTGTGTTCGTTTGATGGATTTTGACAAAATCCCACTATTCATCCAAAATATTTCTCCAAAAAATATCAAATCAAACATCTATTTTTTATTTTTTATATTATACTAAAAATTAATTTTACATTCAAAATATCATATCATCACCTATTTATATTACATCATACAACTATTCAAATTCAAAATTTTTACTATTCAAACCTCAACTCAAATTCCAAATCCCCAAACAAACACACCCTTAAGTGTTTCAAATTATTATTGTTATTAAATAAATAATATGTACATATTATTAGAAATTGCAATTATTGATTTAAAATTTTAATATTTAATAATTATTGTATCATATGTATTGTATCGTATTGTTTTAGCATAAATAAAATATTCTCATATTGTTTTTGCATTTCTTTTCCTGCTAACAGTAGTTAATTATTTATAATGAGACAAATTTGTTTCTCTTTTCCCCAAATTTGTCCCAGTTTATTATTCGGCCATTACAAAGCCCAAAATGGAGACATTATGGAAGCTAGTTAGGACAGATGATCAATGGTTACAGGAGAAATCAAGGGCTTGTCGGAGAAGAAGGCCTCCAAATTAGCCATCACCATTCCAAAAGCATCTGCGAAAGCTTCTCCGGTGAAGGCTCCCCGATGCGGCGACAGGACCACGTTATCCAGACCAAACAGTTCCGGCGGGACGGTTGGCTCATTCTCGAACACATCCAAGGCGGCGCCGGCAATCGTGCCCTCCACCAGGCGTTTGACCAGTGCTTTCTCGTCAACGACCTGACCCCTCGCGATGTTCACTAGGAACCCTTTCTCTCCCATGGCGGCCATCACGTCGTCGTTTATCAAATGCCGCGTCTTCTCTGTTAGGGAGCAGCAGATGACGAGGATGTCGGAATGTGTTGCGAGCTCGCAGGCTGTCGCGTAGAAACTGTGAGGCACCGAGGGCTTCCTGGTCCTCGAATTGTAGCAGATTGTACACCCGAATGGCTCCAGCCTTCTTGCTACTTTTGATCCGATGTTGCCCCATCCCACAATTCCAATCCTTTTGTTTCTTAGCTGAAAATTTTAAGGTCATAGTTTCGAAGACACAAAGGAATCTTTACCCCTGTTCTTATATATATATATATAACTGTAAATATAAATACCGTGAAGGTGAAGCCGACGGGAAATTCTCCGGCGAGCGGCCAGATCCGGCGGCGGACGGAGGAATCTCTACTGCTGATCTTCCTCATCAGATCAATCAACATCCCGACAGCGTAATCCGCCGTGTCCTCGGAGAAGACATCGGCGGTGTTCGTCACCGCAATCCCCCTACGCCGGCAGGCTGCGAGGTCGACATGGTTGACTCCGGTTCCGGCGGCGACGACAAGCCCCAGCGACGGGAGGTGCTGCAGGAGCTCGGCTGTAATTGGGCTCTGTCCGAAGCAGAAAACAGCCCTTGTGGAGCGACCGTATTTCCGCAAGAAAGTCTCCGTCGGGAGAGTGGACTCGTAGGCTTTGAGAACCTCGAATTTGGCCATGAATTCTTCCTCGTATACTTGGAACACTTGCGGCGGTCGGATCACTAGAAGCTGCGGCCGCTCCCCGGCGGCTCCCGGTGGCCGTTCTTTATCATCCATTTATTAAATAAATTAATAAAATGAATTATCTTCTCCATCCTAAATTCTTCATTCATCCTTAAAAATGATCTTTTGTGGTATCGGACAAGACAAGATGACCTTGCAAGTTTATTGGGCTGGGCCCAGCCCAGTTGAGAGGATTAGGTCCAAAAATACCTAATTCAGATTAAAGCACGGAAATGGAAGCAGTGCAGAGACCGAACAGAACCAGAATAGCAGAGCAGAAAGAAAGAGCAGAGAGATCCAGAGAGGTAAAGTGAAATCCGAATCGATTCGACAAGCAGCAAGGAAGGAAGACGTCAAATTTTGGATAGGGAGGGAGGGGGCCTGGCCCCTGCCCCTTGTCGAATCACGTTAGTACCTGGTGTACATGAACCTGCCGCCGACCGATCTACCCGTGGTATAATTGCCTTCTCGGTTTCGCAGTTAATCTGATGTAACGGATCGAGAAGCAATGACCGGCAGGCTTTGGATGATTTAGGCACTCGGCAGGTGATGGATGGTCGTCGTCATTGATGGAGGTACGTACAGACTGAAAACGAAAGCCATGATTAGAATAAAAACATGTGTCTTCTGGCTGCTGCAATTACACACACACACACACATATATTCCTAACCCTAATTTCAAGCCAGCTAAGGAATGTGCTGTGGTGTGTTGTATGAACATTGATAGATAGATAATAATGGATTGATAAATTACAGCAAGCAAAAATCTTAGGCAAGAATTTGCAAACATAGGAAGGAGGGATGGGATATATATATCATCATCAATAAGCTTGCCATGGAATTGAATTGTGTCAATTTATTTTGTACTTTTGATGTGACTCATATTTAAGTCTGTTCTGTGCCTCACAAAACAGTACTAGTTCTTTGATGAATTATCACATGGTGCTGTTATACATATATGAATATATAAAAGCCAAATCAATATTGCAAAATATCACGTGAATTAAAATTTAAACCAACTCTGTGCAGAGACCAGACAACTCACAACAGTGTGGTCTTATGTAGAATTAAAATCACCGGTCAGCTGAGTTTGGTTTGGTTTGGTTTGGTGCATGCAAATTAACACTATATAAATAAATAAATTCTTTATTCTATGTTCTCAATTTCTAATAAATAGTGGTCCTTAGTGCCATTTGTCCCTGGATCCAATCACACGTGTCCGCCTGGAATTGCAGTGTCTAATAAATGACTATACGTGCTTCATGCATTCAGCAAATCACCAGTGTTTCTTGTTCTTTGTTCTCAAAATTTGTACACTTTGTTTAAATACTAAATAAACAACTTCACTGTTTAATTGTAATTGTAGGATATTATTATCTGGTGAGCAGAGGTAGATGTGGAATGGAGGGCAGGGCAGGGGATGAAGATGAAGATGAAGATCAAGAATCAAGAATGAAGAAGAAGAAGTAGAGTGGTCCCACAATGTGAAAGCTCATTGCAGAGACAGACACACAAGTCTTTCTTTTTTCCATAAACAGAAAAAGGGTCACTTGAAAATTGGCACTTGGACCATTACAGCATTGCTATTTTAGGAAACCCCCAACCACCCCACCCCTATACCTACCACCCACCCTCATCACAACGCCTAGCCTTAGCTTTACCAATTTTTACCCCCCCTTCATTGATGTCTTGGAACAACCCCCTTTTCCCCATTCATTCTTAATCAAATATTTCCTAACAAATATTATCAATTAAATTAGACACACTCATACACACACAAAGTGTCATGATATATATATATATATATATATGCATGCATGCATGCATGCATCAAGTTACCATTCTTTGTTTCTGTTGACTGCTTGCACTGCCAACTTTACACATCCTATTTACACCCTCTTTGTGGTAATGAAAATTTCAGTTACCAATCACACACATATACATATACATGTATACAATATATATACTGATATTATTTATGTGAAATGTGTACAACTACTATTACATACATATACATACCAATGTACTGAATTTGATTTCACTTAGATATGTAAACTCATATACGTCATAATAGTTCCTATTCATTATCATTTTTCTCAATGCTTCCAAGAAAAGTAAAATCACCCAAGGGAAATTAAAACGAAACATAAAAATGCAAGAGAATGAACAAATGTGATGGATCATTGTATTGTACAAAAGGAGTAGTCACTTCAATACATATATAGAGAGGATATGAAAATAGATCAATTAGTGCTTTAGGAAATTGATTTTACATTGATGTGTCCATTGGGTTGACATAAGAGGTAATTTTTCATCTTTTGCATTAGCTAGGCCATGCCCAACTCCATTGACAAGACTGCATCTCCATGCACAAAATAAATGAAGTTTATACATACAAAAAATAATGAACAAGAGTAAGGCTTGAATGATAGCTCTACACACACATATATATATATGTATATGTATATGGGTTGGATCAATTAATTTCACAAACCTCAATATACATATATATATATATATTAATTTTGAAAATTTGCTTATTTCCAAAAAAGTGTAGGCAAAGGTATGGAGTACAGTAAAGTTAAACATTAGTTTAGGTAAGCATAGTATGTGTGGAAGAGTACTGCAGGTTAGCCAAAAAACACAAAGTACTAAACTGCAATTAACATATATAAAACTATATACTAAAACAGCCAACTGGTTTTGCAAGTTGAATATCATCAAACATTCTTGTTTCTTGTCCAAAACAATATAAGCATCCATAAATTCCAGAGTCCCACTTTCACATGGCTTCCTCTCCTCTCATCTGCAACTGCAACTGCAACTGCAACATGATGAGGCTAATTCATTCTTTTGCCTTTTTTTTATATTCTAGTTTTTCCTTGATTTTCAGACGACCAAAATTGTTCTTCTTCACTAATATCATTAATAACAGCGCGTGACTGTCAGACAAGAGGAAAAAAAGAATGAGAGTCTTTATTAGTATTCCTTTTTGTATGTATGTATGTATGTATATACTGTAAGAAGCTAAAGTAGAAATAGAGCAGTGAAGTTTTCAACCAGCGCATAATAATCAGCAGAAAATGTAAATATGGAAAAGATTTATAGTGGGAGAAGGAGAAGGAGAGAATTGTTAGGCGAGGTATACCACTTTCTTGCAAGGGGAATTAAATGTACTCTCTCTCTCTCTCTCTATATATATATATATATCTATATGTGTGTATTTATTATAAGGGAAAGGAATTTCAGTAATACCCCCTCCCCTCCCCCCACCCCTCTCTTTCTTTATTGTACAATCCAATCCCCCCTTCTTCAATATATATCTACACACATATATATATATATGTATATGTAAAACACATATGCTATCTTACTCGATCTGATCTGTGTAGATTAGACTGTTAGAGAGAGAAACTATGGGGAGAGGAAGAGTGGAATTGAAGAGAATAGAGAACAAGATCAACAGGCAGGTGACATTTTCCAAGAGAAGAAATGGGCTTCTGAAGAAGGCCTATGAGCTGTCTGTGCTGTGTGATGCTGAGGTTGCCCTTATTATCTTCTCCAGCAGAGGAAAGCTTTATGAGTTTAGCAGCACTAGGTCTGCTTCACTCCATCCCTCCCTCTCTCTCTCTCTCTCCTTCTCTTTCTCTTACTCTTTCTCTCATAGTTATATTACCATTCATCGTCCACTTTTTCTTTTATGCCTTCCCAATTAATCTTTGTCAGGGGGTGGTTGATTTTGAAGGGTCTGCAGTTTCAAATTTTTCTTAGTTTTTGAAAGTATGCTTCTTTTCCAGAAAGTTCAGAAAGAATTAAACAGATGGGAAGTTGTAGCTATGTATATAATGGGGGGTTTACAGAATTACAGTTGTTGCAGCAGTCTTTCCTTTGTGTTTTCTCTTTGGAAAAGCTTCTCTACAGATGAATATGATCAAAATTGGGGTAAATGGTGTTCGTTCAGGTTTTATTGATTCTTTAATATTTTTCTTTGTACTTCAACTCGACACAAAATTTCAAGTACTTTTACTCTTTATTTTATTTCTATAGGTTCTTTATTACATTACTATTATTTTTATTTGTACAAGGTTGATACTTTATGCTTTGGTGTGATTGATTTTCCAATGAGGGATCGACACGTTTTGGAAGTGCTTCTGAAATCAGAAAAAAAAAATAAAAAGAAAGAAACACTGACTACTACATCATCTGTCTGTTGACTGTTGTAATAGTCTCTTCTTCTCTCTGCAGAAACTTCCTCTACTCACTCAAGATTTAGGGTTTTTATCTCTCATTAATCGATAGTTCTAACAGCCATGCATCTAATCCCACTTAGAATACTATTCATTGTGTGTCGAATATTTCACAAACCTTTAGTGGGGTTCCCAAAAACCATTCTGAGACACAGGCTAAGACCCTCCCTCCTCATAAAAAAAAAAAAAAAAAGATTCAATTTTTGGCTTCATATATCCATGGATCTTCTATCCAAAACCTTGAATACACACACAATTATTATACAGTCAAGAAAGAGGGGTTCTGAATAATAGTAGTAATCAATAATAGTGGAAGTGGAAGCAGTAGTAGCAGTAGTCTTTAAGAAGGTGCAGTGAGTTGCATATTTTTAAGGGTAAGATTGAGGTTTGTGTTTTAGGCAATGGCCTGCATATTTTGGCGAGACTTGTCCTCTAAAAAGGTCGGTTTTTGAAGCAAAACCCAACCCCCACCCCCACCCCCACCCCCACACCCTACCCTTCCTTTGTTGCTTTTGGAGTCATCCCAGTTTCAGACTTTCAGTCAAGCATTTGGCTCGAGTACACATTTTGGTGAAACACATCTTTATTTTTGTGGGTATATTTTTGTTAACTCACTCTCACTTCTCCCAATGATCATCATTTTTTTTTCTTTTCGTTTTTCTTTCGTCATATTTCCCCTTTGGTGGAAACTATAGTTTGAGATGCATTTCATTCGCTTCTCTAAATTCAGCTCGATCCATTCTTTTTTTTTTTTTTGAAAAAAAAAAAAAAATTTTGAAGCTTGAATGTAACACTACTACATTCATTAGAAAGTTTGTTCTTATTATAGTTAGAGCTTTTTATTTGTAATATTATTTTAAAATTTTATATTTATATAAACAAAATTTAGGTAAATATTTTGTGAAGTTCAGTATGTGTTATTTACGTTAGTTTAATTTTAAAACAAGCTTATATAAAATGTATATAGGCATATTTATTTAATTATAAGATGAAAACAAGGTTGTTTTAGTGTCAGTTGACCAATGAATGCACCACATTTATTTATTATTCAACGTTGGATGGATGCATGCAGCACAAGCCAGACCCTGGAGCGGTACCAACGTTGCTGTTTCAATCCCCAAGACAACACAAGCGCTGAAAGAGAAACACAGGTCTCTAATTTAATTCTCTATGCATACAATACAGATCACATCAGTTTGGGGTTTGTTAATTAGTATTATTATTCTTTATTATGCAGAGTTGGTACCAGGAGGTCTCAAAATTAAAAGCCAAGTATGAATCTCTTCAAAGGGCTCAAAGGTATCATCATATATACATATATATATATATATATATGTGTGAGTTATAAAATTGATGAATGAATTGAATTGAATGAATGAAGGCACTTGCTTGGCGAAGATCTTGCACCCTTGAGTATCAAGGAGTTGCAGAATCTTGAAAAACAACTCGAAGGAGCTCTTGCTCAAGCCAGGCAAAGAAAGGTATATATCACACAATCGATCAAACCCTACAAGACAATTGATTAGTTAATACAAATTTCTGTATACTCAGACTCAGATTATGATGGAGCAAATGGAAGATCTGCGCAGAAAGGTATGTCTGCAGATATATAGCCAACAACTTTGAGGAAATTCAAGCTTATTAATTAATTATGCATTAGTAGTTATCATACACACACATTATATGTATGTATGTATGTAAATTTGTACTTGCAGGAGCGCCAGCTTGGCGACATGAACAAGCAGCTCAAGATTAAAGTGTCACTAGAAATGTCCACGGTAATATTATATTAATTTATATTATCAACCCTACCCTACCCTACCCAACCCAGCCCCTAGCTCTGGAGACGACAGAAGAATGAATTAGAATTAGAAATCAATTAATAATATACATACAGATTGAGGCAGAAGGACAAGCAGCAGCCCTGAGAGGTCTTCCATGTCCGTGGAACTCGGCTGCCATGGCTGCCACATCAGTCGGAAATAGCAGCAGCTTTCCTCTCCAAGTTTCACCACCTCCTTCCAATAATCCCATGGACAATATTGAAACTGATCAACCTGTCCTGCAAATTGGGTATAGTACACACACACACACACACACACATATATATATATATATATAACAACATCCATACAGATATTTAAGATATATATATATAACAACATCCATACAGATATTTAAGATATATATATATCATGCACTGCAGGTACCATCAGTATAATCTTGGTGAAGCTGGGTCATCTTCCATTGCCCGAAGCATGGCTGTCGACGCTAGTTTCATCCAAGGCTGGACTCTCTGATATATATCTATATGTATATATATGCACGCCCTTCCTATCCTATCCGCCATTTTCAGATCAACCTCATCGATCATCATCCCATCCCACCTTACTTACCTAATTGTCTTTTTGGTATATCAATTCTCTCTCTCTCTCTCTCTCTCTCTCTCTCTCTCTCTATATATATATATATATATATATGTTTCTACTAAAATGGGACTCTTTGGTTTGTTTGTCTTTTTAAGTATAATTAATTTGGATTGCTTGGAGCTTCATCACCATTATGTAATTTGTAAAGTACTGCTGCATACGTAACAATGCTCATTAATATAATGTGCTAATATATTATATATTTGGGCTTTGCTATATTTGCTTGCCGCTCCATAGGCCCATTAGTAGCTATGGGTTATTCATTCAATGAGTTTGGGCCCAATAATACACCATATTTTTTGGGCTTTATGGCCCAAATTCTATAAGCTACACCAACAACCTAACTACAAGAATAAATGAATAATAATAATAATAATTGGACATGAATCTTGGACGAGAGAAATAAGAGGAAAACCTCAATCAACAGAAAAAGGAGGCGAATTTGTAGTATGATCGAAGGGCACATATCTGAGCAGGGGACCTATAAATTCAGTGGGATGATCTCTTGTCAATTCATTGGCAAAAAGGCTTTGATTTTATTGAAAAGATAGATGTGAATATATAAATCATCTATACTTTTCATACTGTACATATAATCAATAAAAATCAAAGCTTTTTTGCTTTTCATTAGTTTTTGTTTGAATAAAATTTTGGTGTAAATATGGATAAAACTGAGCAACAAGAGGTCCCAGCAGGATGCTGCTTCCCCCTTGCCTCCAGAAAGGGCAGCTTCAAGATTGTCAAGACCATTTCTGACAGATTCGGCGGCAGATCAGATCATTCAGACAACGGTGACCATTTTCATTTTCATTTGTCGTCTGATCGTTCAATTCGTTAATGGTTTGAATATGATCGTTGTTTCTTACATTACATTTACATAGGCTCCTCGAGATCATTCTCCTTCGGGAAGAGGAGGAGCTTCAAGAAGAGTGGCAACTTAGTTGTCTGCTTCGGGGAGCTGCTGATTGATTTCGTGCCAAACGTCGCCGGAGTTTCTCTGGCGGAAGCTCCCGGCTTCAAGAAGGCCCCCGGCGGCGCTCCGGCCAATGTCGCCGTCGCGATCTCCCGCCTGGGCGGGTCCTCAGCGTTCGTCGGCAAGGTCGTATATATGAATACAACAAATTAATTAATTGAAATTTGTATGACATGACATGACATGACATGACATGACATGATATGATCGATCAGGTTGGGGAAGACGAGTTCGGACACATGCTGGCGGACATTCTGAAAGAGAACAATGTGGACAACTCCGGCATGCGATTCGACAGCCACGCCAGGACAGCGTTGGCCTTTGTGACTCTCAGAGCCGACGGGGAGCGTGAGTTCATGTTCTTCCGCAACCCCAGCGCTGACATGCTTCTTTCCGAGCCTGAACTCGACAAGGATCTCATCAAGAAGGTATTATTCATATGAATATGATCAATGATCATATCCACACACACACACACGCTTGTGTCTTTCTTATTTCATATAATTTCTTGTAATAAATACATTTCAGGCAAGGATCTTTCACTATGGATCCATCAGCTTAATCGACGAGCCCTGTAGATCCACGCATCTGGCTGCCATGGACGTCGCCCGAAAGGCCGGCTGCATCCTGTCATATGACCCCAACCTCCGCCTCGCTCTCTGGCCATCCGCCACTGCTGCCCGAGAAGGCATAATGAGCATATGGAACCAGGCAGATGTTATTAAGGTACTTACTCTATTGTAATAAGAAAACACTTTGAACTCAACTCAACTCAACTACATAATATATTTATGTTGCAATAACAACAACAGATCAGTGAGGATGAGATCACATTCTTGACCGACGGAGACGATGCCTATGACCACAATGTTGTCATCAACAAGCTGTTCCACCCAAGTCTCAAACTCTTGATCGTAACCGAAGGCTGCGAAGGCTGCAGATACTACACAAAGGTTTTAACCTTTTTTTTTTACTTTCACCTTATCTGCATCACTTTAAAAAGGGAACTGACTTCTCAACATATTTTCGTCGGTAGTCTTTTCACGGGAGGGTTAATGGAGTTAAAGTGCAAGCAGTTGACACCACAGGTGCCGGCGACGCATTTGTTGGTGGACTGCTCAATAGCCTTGCTGCATACCCTCAATTATACAAGGTCTGTTCTTTCTTCATTTTTTTTTTTTTTTTTGTTTTTTGGACACAAATCTTACATGTTATAATAACCTCGGACAATCTTCGATGATTCAGGATGAAAAGAAGCTTCGAGAAGCTCTGTCCTTTGCAAATGGCTGTGGAGCGATCACTGTAACAGAGAGAGGAGCCATCCCAGCATTGCCCACCAAAGAAGCTGTTCTTAAGTTCCTCGAAGGCCCCAAAGCTTGATGACTATATATATATATATTGTGTATATAATCTATATATGCATTCATTTTTGTGTATTGCAGCTGTGCTCTTGACATCTGAGGAAGAATAATTAATTAATTAATGTGTATTGGTCATAACATCTCGTTGTAATTGCACCCAAAAACATCATCTATATATATTTCATCATTATTTTTTCAATCAGCTTTTCTTGGTTCCCTGATCAGAAGAATTCAATCTCAAGCTTTAATTATATGTCAATACAAAAACAAAAAATAGCAGCAAGAGTAGAATCCCCAGATCAGCAGCCATTAACTTACATTGACTGCTGGTGCTGTTTGTAAGTTGCAAAAAACAACTGGATTGATTCCAGGCAAAAATATATAAACGTTGTTGCCATTAGTTTGCTAATTCCGGGCGAGAAGAACTTGAGATGTAATGACTACTACATGGCATTAGCATAACTTAGAAATAAATAATAAGGATTGTTATGTACTACTTGACATGGATAGATTAGATCAGATTAGATTAGATGATTTCTGGGTGGCGCACTCGCTTGTTCCGTGTCTCCGGTAGTCCAATGAACAGCTCTGTCTCCACATCTGAAACCTCGCTGATCTCTGCAGACGCCGCGACTTGTCTCTCTGCTTCGCTCGATCCCCCTCGTTCTGTTTCTCCAAACTAACAAAGTCGAGGAGATCGAGATCAAGATCAAGATCAAGAACATGAACAAAATTGCATAATGCAGCATGATGTCACCTTCTTGCAAAGCATGGCATTCTCAGCAGATAGAGCTTGTCCCTGAATTAATAAGGTGTAAGAACAATGAATCATCATCAATGTAATAATAATGTTAACCATTTATTCATATTGCCAAGAGCTTTACCTTTTCTTTCAAGTGCTGGATCTGTTGCTTGTACACTTGCATCTGAATACAAGAAGCAGAATTGATTATATTTAGATTATAATGAGATTGATCCAAAAATGATCCAACATTGTACAATACAATTAGCCATTAATTGATTCGATGTACTTTTCTTGCGCGTATGGTAACAACGCTGCGCTCTAACTTCTCTTCGAGTTGCTGCAGTTCTTCGATGCTGCAGCCTCCCAAGCCTTCGCCGAGGAGCCTCCTGAAAGAGCACACAAAATTATACTTATACTCAGAAAAACAACAAAAATGGCTTTGTTTCTATAGTGGCCATATTATGAACACATAAACAAAAGATCACAAGACATTAACCTTTTTGATGCTTCGAGATGCTCGATCTTTTTCATCAAACTTGCAGTTTCCTGCTTCAATTTCTGCAATTTCATGGGATTAATCTTCAATGGAGCACTTGATAAGATTGAAGAAACACACACACACACCTGCATGTTGTGTTCCTCTGGGGGGTCGTGAGCTCGAATCTCTGTCATATGTTTTTCGTATCGTTCGATAGTAGATTGCATGCTGACAAGTCCATACATCAAAAGCAATAAATTCTGGGCAACTAATGTATAGATTGAAGAGGAAAAGTATTGAAGAATTATTACAAAGAAAGAAAGAGAAAAATTATCTGGAGATTTGAAAATCTAATGTGAATACAAAACATGCAAAATAAACAAATTCTTGAAGATGTAAAAGATGACAATGAAGGTATTTTTACATCATATTTGTTTGGAAAGGATAGTTTTATAAATTGTTTTAACTCATCATACCTACTGTCTTGTAGAGACTTGCATCTTATAAATGGCTATTCAAATTTTCACACAAAACTAGCAAGATCAAAGAACATATATGCAAACATTACATGTATTAAAATCAAAGTAAGTAGCAAAAAATATTTTCATAGATTTTCTTGCATGATTAATGCAGGAGAGAAACAAGCAAATAAATAAAGAGAGAAAAAAACTTATTGTTTTTGGTTTCATTTCTTGCTCATTAATTTTGGAATGTAATAGCTCAACAACCTCGTAGACTGAAATCCGTACAAGAATATTTATACATTTGAAAAAATCTAGCTCCACAACTTCGCCTGTGTTCTTACAAGAGCTACATATCATATGAGGTTGTGGGTTTTTCTTGATGCTATTAATTGTGACCAACCATCATAGTTGGAATATTTTCCAGTTGGTCGATTTTTTATTGAAGTTGATCAAGAAAATAATTTAAAGCAAACACACACACACAACGAAAAAACCAAAAAAAATTTTTTGTTGAAGATTCAAATTAAGTACAGGTTTTAATGTTCTAGTACAATTATAGTGAGATTTAAGCAATAAACAGTAGGCGTGTACATGCAATAAAAATAATTTACCTATGTCATTTCCTAGGGTTAAGTCGCTAATGTGATCAATTTTCTTAGGAGAAAACAAAACAATAAGGTTGTGTTCTTCCTCCTATGATATGTAGGATGAATTAAGTGTGCAAAATCTATTTAGTTTGGTTCATTCTCCAAATTAAGATGAGAAGGATCTGTGTTCAGATATAGACAGACATAAACCAAACCAAACCCCATAAAAATGCCTTCTTGAGCCAACTAAGAAGACCTATTTAGTTAATTAATTTCAGCAGGAGAAACTTACAGCAGCATGAAAATGGACTTTCATCAACAATTCACCATCATCATCCATGAAATAAATGACAGATAGACTGATATGGATGGATGGATGATGAGTAGATGAATGGTGATAGTAATAATCAGAAACTAGTGATGGAGGATACCTGGAACTGGCGAATTCATAGAGCTTGCCTGTGGGAGAAAAGATGATGAGAGCAACCTCGGCATCGCAGAGGACAGAAAGCTCGAAAGCCTTTTTGAGGAGACCATTTCTCCTCTTGGAGAAGGTCACTTGCCTGCTTGTCGCGTTCTCTATCAGCCTCATCTCTGTCTTCCCTCTCACCATTATTACTTACTTACTGCTTTCCCTGGCCTTGCCTTGCTATGCTAATTCTCCCTCTCTCTCTCTCGATGCAAATATTAATTAATTAATTAATTAATACAGTTGCACTACACCAACCAGCAAACAAACACGTGTAAATTGCCTCAAACACCCAGGCCAGATCACACCATAACACACACACGAAGCATACATATGAAGTTGCTGGTGTCTGTCTCTGTGTCGGTGTCGGTGTATGATTCAATTAGTAGTGATGAGTTTCCAGAATTACCTACCTGACTGTGTCTGTGTATGTATGCTGGAAAGAAATTTGCCAAAATATGAGCTTAAATTAAGAAGCAGCACAAGAACTTGCTATTGCTATTGGGAATATATGTATGTATATATAGTGTTGCTAAAAAAGGAGAGGTGGGGTGGGAGGGGAGGGGAGGCTAGAAAGCAATTAACTGGAGGGACAGGCAGACAGAGAGCCTTCCTTTTTGGTTAAAGATGAGAAGAAATACCAAATATGGGAAGAAGAAACAAATCCCATATATATTCCCAGACTCACAAGAGAAAGAGAGAAGAGATTGAGGACGGGCGGGCGCGGTGAATTAAGTACACTTGATGAAATGCATTCATTCATACATCACAGACCAATTTATAAAATCGGGAATCCATCCATCCACCCACCCACCCACCCACCCGATCAAGCACACGCAGAGAAAGAGAGAGGAAAAATGGCATATATATATATCTATAATAACTATATTCTGTGAAGGGAAGAAAACCTCAAACTTGACCCCTTTTGGCAAGGCAAGGCAAGGGAAAACCAAGCCAGAAGCTTACCAAGCTGGTCAAGTCCCAGAATATATATATATATATATGAATTATTATGTATATATATCAATCTATAAGAGAGAGAGAGAGAGAGAGAGAGAGAGAGAGAGAGAGAATAGAACATGGGTGGGGCTTGTCCGTACAAGGTTAGTAAGGCGTCAACATCTTCGTACACTCAGCCACTGCAATCACACCTCGAAAACTCACTCCCTTACCTTATTTTCTTTTTATTTCATTTTACTCTCTTCTCTTCCTCCACCTTTTCTATTTCTTCATTTTTGAGTTGCTGCTCTTTTATTTCATTCCTAATTAGTAATTAATTACCGATACTTATGAACAGCCAAAAAAGAAACAACTCTACTTGGCACTTGCTGTTGAAATATTATAGTATAGTGTATTAATCCAACTTGGAATTCATTTCAATTAATCAAAATACACATTCATCATTAATTAATAAAATATAATCAACAAACTCAATTATTAGTATAAAACACACCCTAAGTCTAAACAAATTCAATTCTAACTATATGATATGGTTGTTTTCAAATATACTATACAGTTTCTTTACCATATTTAATATATATATATATATATATTGAATAATCATTTGGATCAATATTTCATATTAATCATCCTATTCAATTCAACATTAATAATATTATCAAACTCATATTCAGTTATAGTCACTAAAATTGATCGAATTAATTCATTTAACATATATTAAGTAAATGAATTTTCCCCACACAAATATCTTTGGCATTGGCATTGGCATGGTGTCTACTTAAGGTAAATAAAGTAACTCGATTTCTTTAATTAAGAACATCACAAAAAAAAAAAGGAGATTCTATCTTTTTACCTTAATAGCCCTTTCTTGTCTCCAACTTGCATAATTATCTCTCTCTCTTTTCTTTTTTTTTAAAATGTATTTTGCGACCGTTAATGTCTCCTTAACTAATTAAAATAAATATATAATTAAAGAAAAAAGTCAAAAGCTATTCAACATCGTGCATATAACATATGCTCTTATTCTCGACACGAAAGTATTGGAAATATTTATTTACGTGTAGTTACAACAACTGCAACAACGAGAGAGATATATAATCAATGATGGTTACATGTGGTGATACTGATATTGTATGTAGATTCACGCTAACTAGAACGACTTTACATGATAATAATATTATGCTCGCCTTTCAAAAGTATGTATATTTTATGTATACGGAAAGAAAAAATTAAGTATTGTCGAATATATTGTATGCGATTGATCGGGCGTATACCACTAAAATCCGTAATTATAATTTTAGACCCCATACTTATCAAAATAGAGCCCCCATCTTTTTGAAAATTACATATTCTCATCCCTAATTTTGAGCCACGCTATATGCCAAAATGGTCCCGGTGAGAGAAATAACATTCCATAGAAAAAAAAATAAATTAACGTGACCATTGCATGTGTTACAAGGAACACACACATAATATATATATATATATATTTTATAGAGCATGCATCTATTTGTCTTTTCTTTTCTTTTATTTTTTTGACTTATTTTTTGCATGAGATATAATATATTTTAATTAAAAAAAAAAAAACATTTGAAGAGAAGCAATGTTAATGTCATCAAATGTGCTTACAAGAATATGTCTACTTTGGAAGCCCTAGGAAAAATAGTACTGTTATAAAAAATGGAATTTAATTTAAAAATGGAGATATTATTGGTGGGTGTGTTAATTGAAATAAATATGAAAAAGTTGTGATATCGACACCTGTCAGCTGTCGCGTGTGAGCAAGTGGGGGCTGCTGCTTCTTTATATGGCTGATGCCTGATTTTAACACTTGTAGATTACTAGTATTTAAATATTTTTTATTCAATTTTTTCTCCTTTCTTTATTATAAAAATATTTGTACTATCCTTTTAAGTAGTTTAAATATAAAATATTATATATTTTTTTTAGTAAATATATATCATCATATATTATAGTAATTTTTTTTTTTTTATTTATACTTATATTGTATGGCAGATTTTGTGATTATAAATCCACCTACCACACCAATTTGAACATTTTATAACTTATTATTATTTTGATGACGAAATTATTATTATTATTGGTGGTTCACATATTAAGAATGGGAACGGAATAGTACGTGCTTCGCACGGGACCACGATTCCTCCTTCCTCAAAATTTCCAAAAACCAATATACATATATATATATATAGTTTTATTGAAGTAGGTGAGATGGTGGAACGACATACAACATCGTATGTCTCATTTTTTTCTGATTTTACATTCAATATGTGACATATATATATATATATACACCAATCAAATAAAGTTAGTATTATGTAATATGGTTTAAAAGGTAAGAAATACGATTTCATTGTACAATCCAATACATTTATACATTTAATTAATACACAATTCAACATAAAAATTTGCTAGTACGAACCATTTCTGACATGCACGTAAGACCTGTAGACATCGAGAATTTAAACTCATGACCTCGCTTTTACATCACCGGACTATTTCTGGACGCTTTAAGTAGTTGATCCTTAGATATTGTTATCAACTTTGATTTTGTGCAAATCTAAACCCACAAATCCAAGAGGCATGTTCAAATTTTACACACTTTATTATTTGTTCAGTTACATTAAAAGATTGCCTTTTTTAATTGCTCATCCTCTATCTCTTCAAAATCTATCTTCTTCTCGCCAACACATAGCGACACTTTGATCAGAGATTTTTCTAAAACACACTCAGAACACTAAATTTCAATATTAAGAAATAAATTTTTATTTTTAACTTTTTTTCAAAAATAGGTAACACTCAGCCATTTTTTCCCAATTTAAAAATAAAAAGAAATTCCAAAACACAAGCAATTAAGCAAATACGCCCAATAAAAAAGAAACATGACTAAAGTGAAGTATAAAGCCCATTTAGATTAAAAGCTTTCATCTCATCTAACTTCACCCACTTTCTCATATTCTCAGGCCAAGTAAAATGCCTATATTGCCCCTGCGTCGATTTACGATCGTTTCATGACACACACCAAACACCACACCGTAGTAACGGTATCAAACAATAATTTTGGAGAAACTGCATATGCAACACATCTTTCTTACACCTGCTGGCGCCGCCGCAGTAATTTAGGAGCGAAGAGAGCTACAAGCAGCGGGTACCTTCTCAGACTCAAGAAGAAATCGTTCTTGCTGATTCGCCCATCGCAGTCCACATCAAGCAGACCGTAAAGTCCATTCATCTGCAAAAACATTACAGCCGGTCGCTCGCTGATATGTTGTTATTACACAGCTCAAAATAAATGCAGGTCGAGTCTGTCCCACTTACCTCGTCGCCATTCATGTTTGGAATGGACAGTGATACGGCACTCAGTAGCTGTTTAAAAGGAGCGGCTAAACATGAGAATAAAATGGTACAAGGAAAATTTCTTGGACAGACAATGATTGCATACCTCTTCCTTGAGAATGTAATTCTTCCCATTCGTGTCGCATCCTCTGAACGCTAGCTCGCATGCGTGCTGAAACAGTGGCTGCTTCAAGACATGGGCTGAGCCGAGCAGGAACTGAAATAACATAGTGCAAATGTTCGAAAGTTATGCGTGTGTAATATAACAAGAACTATCTCACTACATACCCAAGGTCGCGTAAAAGGTTGCTGTTTTACTAATAACAACTATATATTGGATTATTGGTATTAAGAATTGTGGCCCCAAGAAATAGGAAAATCATGCTTGGATTGTTAAAACGAATATGAGAGAAATTACCTGTTTAAATGTTATTTTGCCTGTTTTTTGAACATCAACAAAGCCAAACATCTGTGGAATAGAAAGTAGCAATATTTCAATAACTAACAAAAAAATTTAGGGAAAAGTCAGAAGCTGTAAACCATCGAAGATACATGATAAGAATATGAAATCAGGAACTAACCCTTTCAGACAGGCCACAAGGTTTCAGCCTTAAAGCACTAAGAAAGTCATGGAATTCGACGTGTCCGCTGCAGCCAAAAATAACAAGAGATGTCTAAATAAACATGTTTATGTTTCCATGTATGGTGACACGTTAAAAATGTAACAAATACCCTGAGTCTGGATTCATTGAAAGAAATGTTTCCAAGAACTCCACAGCTTCTAAAGCTCTGACGTGCAGCAACTGGAAACAGAAGTATTGCGAGAAGAAACCAATCAAATGGTGATGCCAAAGACAAATTTTTTTAAGATTGCAATAGATTATTGTGAAAATATATGTCATGCAGCCATTAATATTTCCATTGGCTGTTAAGCAACTGAAAAACCAAAGATTAAGTTCTTTGCAAAATTTCTATCAACTACAGGGCCGAAACATTTTTAAGTCATGCAACAATTTTTCAGATGCATTTCATAGGTGACTTACTGATTGCAACCTGCCCATTTCCACCATATACAGTGAAGGATTTTCCTGGAGAGGAAATATAGTGCTATCAGTAAGATCTGTACCATATTAAGATAAGTAATAATTTCCAACTCATATATATATGTGAAACCACCAGCCCTCGGCTAATTAAAAGTGGTGGTGACAAAGTCTGAGACCTGATTTAATTCAGCTGCCTTTGAAAGAAGCATAAAGTCTCCGTACGAGTGGGAAGACTGGGTCACATTGAGAGCACTTGCAATGATGCGGGCAGTCTGCATCAAATCACGTGAATCAGATAACACCGTTGATTAAGAATCAATAAATAGAAAATCAGTGGGAATAGCAAATTTTGCAACTTTAGAAAAAGAAAAGTGATAGCGTTGGAAAGAAAACTACATAAGTTTGTGTCTTGTCAGGAGCATGTAATGTGAACAACAAATGGTTAAATGCTAACCAAGTGCACGTAAGTATGGCTTCAAACTGTTTAAAAGAGTGAGTAGTTTGAACTTTGAAGTTGTTTCAAAAACTATATAAGACCATAAATCTGTAAAATAACACATGCAAACATTGTAAGTCTGATAATGATAGATATAGAAACGGAAAGACTTGGAAACAAAGCAATTTTTATATTTGGCCGCCAGCATTGAACAAAGAACATTGAAACAAATGTGAAAATAGCCAATTAAGTCGGACAAAAAAGTACAGAGACAGAATTAAGCTTTAACAGACATGGCTTACCCTTTGAGCAAAATGAACTGCATTTTCCTTCCGATTTTCATGAGGAAAGACAACAGGGAGATACTCAACCTGTGAATAAATATAAACATAAACGGCGATTGCATCAGATGTGCACAAAATTAGAAACACATAGATTATCGAAAAACACAGCAGGTACTACTTTAAATGGCATATAATATCAACAGGCAATTTCATTTCCAGTATCTAAATGTCATATTATACCTCCATGAAATTATGAAATTGTGTGAACATCCTGAACATTAGCTTTCCGAGTGAAATATTTCCCCTGAGAAATAATAATAATAATAAGTATAAATTATGCACTACATGAACTGAAACTCAATAGTTAGAAAATAAACAAAAGTGTATTCTCAAAGAACCAATGGAAGACATTAAAGATGAATAGAATACCAAGACTGATCAAAGTGTACATAAGGATAACGGACAACAACTGGCTGAACAGGATAACCAGGGATAAATGCACCAAGTTGAAAGGAAATAATAACTCTTCCATTGCTTGTTGTTCCCTCAGGAAATAAAAGCACTCGAGGAAACTGACTCGAAGAAGCTTTCCTCTGTTTTCAGATCCTTGAAAGTACATTTCTGTATTAAATAGCTTATATGTGGATAAAGCATCCAAACTCTAACAGTGATGGATTCAATCCCTAATACTAATCATATATATTCTAAACTCAATTTGAAACAGAAAGTAACTCAGCAAACACGAATCTTTCTACCTTTATTTCATTTACAGCATGCCTCCTGGATGACCTTGAAAATCTATCAACATAAATGACCTTTCAACAGAAAAAGAGCATCATGATTAGAACTGCACAAAACATGAATTATAAAAAAAAAAAAAAAATGCATATATCGTCAACCCAGATCTGAGATTATGAAAATTGATGAACTAAGCTGATAGGATTAATAAACTGATAGATATAAAGGACTAAGTAAATAAATCAGAAGAATAGAACAATTACCTGCATTGCTCTGATGATGGTTCCAACAAAAGGCATGGAATCATGCGACTCAGAGGCCACTATGGTGGGGAATAATTCGTAGAAGAAGAAGATAGGATCGATGTATGATACATGATTAGAGACAATAATAGGAGCAATCTCCCTCGGTGCAGGTTTCCCTTTTCTGTTTATCCAGTGATAGCTGCAGGTAGAAAGAACTCAGTCAACAAGTTCATAAATCTTGAAAGATCATTAAATAGAAGTAAGCTTGGAAAATCAATGGGGTAATGGTCACTTGGTTCTGCAAAATGGGCAGTGGGCAAATTAATGGAAGATAATAACTCATCAATATAGGTTTTCTAGACAGTAATGAAGATCACATATCAAGCTAAACGAATTTAAGAGTGAATTCCCAATTACCTACTGAGAATTCAAAACAATAACAAACTTGGGTGAGAATGGACATGTTACTGAGTCATATCCTCAATTCTTTCACATATACTCATAAAATTACTCTTAACAGTCAAACACTCGCCCAGCGATTTACTCTAACTAAGCAAAATCCTTAATGCTACTATCTAATAGTATTACATTTTATCATACTCTTACAAAATAATTAAGCAATTTTATTTTATTTACAAAAATACACATACTATTTATAGCTTTCCCCCCCCCCCCCCCCCCCCCCCCAAAAACACGCTATTCTTGATCCTCTAAAACGCTAAACAACATTGCTAAGATTAGGTTTTTTCAGTAACCAACTACGACCAATCAAAGAATCACACGGGTACAAGCGTAGAACTATGAACCTCTGAACTTATAGTCATCAAGATCCCACAATTCACTCTGACAACCACACAAGATTCGGACTCGTGCCATCAGTCTCGAAAATCTTGAAAATCTACTGTGGGCGAAAAAAGTCGGTGTAAAAAAACAACGAATCTTGGACGGAGGTGTATCGCCAAAAAATTTCCCAACTTCCAATCTTTATTTAAAAAAAAAAAGTAATAAAGACGAACAAAACTAGTAAAAGTAAAAAATATGCATACCCAAAGGAAAAGAGGATTGCGCGGGCACAGAAGCGGGTAATCCACATGAGGCGGCGGCGCCACTTAGGCATAGGGTTCTGCTTATCCTTCCACCCCTGCAACGCCACACGCGTCGCCACATATCCCACCGACAGACACAGTCCGAACATCAGAAGACGAACCACCACAAGTGGCAGGCAGATCACAATCTTCACCCACTCGTACAGCCCCCCGACGCCCGGCGTGTGGTTCCGAAACGGGTCGATTGTGCTCGATTCCGGCACCTCGAACCCGTCGCACGCCCCGAGAAACGCAAACGGATTGCGATGGTCATCAGCGCAAGGTTCAAACAGCGATTCCTGATTATCGCAAGTGGACTCTGGCAGATCAGGTTCGTCGCGGACAGCCAGGATCACGTGCTCCTGCCGGTCGGAGGAGGAGAGAAGGGGCGCCGAGAGGGTGCAGTCGTCTGCTGCCGCCATTGCCGAGAGGAGGAGTACCTTCGGAAAGTAGAGCAGACAAGAGAGAGAGAGTAGTAAGACTAAAAAGAAGATAAAATAGGAAAGGAGGGAAGAGATACATACAATCACATATGCGCAAAACCATTTGTGGAAATTAATAAAACCATAAATATATATATATATATTAATAATAAAAGCAAGAGAAAAATACACACGCGTGCTTAAATGTAGACGACCACAAATCACGCTTTTTCCATCTGATCCTCACATTAGCGACTTTGACTTCACCCACGTAGGTTCTAAACTAATGACAATAATTGGTCTGTTAAAGACACGCCCATCAATGGCAATAGCAATGGGATCCTAGCCTACGTAGGTTGTCATCTAGAATTAGGGTTTCTATCCTATCCTGTCCAGGTGGTATTGATTTTACAATTTACAGTATAATTCAATTCATCGATTTGGGTGATGATTGAATGAAGAAGGCCCTTCAGATAACAAAGACGTGGCCCAATACGTGCAATCAATAGGGAATTCCACATGAGCTAAATCAAGAATCACACATTTGTACCACACACGTCTTCTAATTGTAGCTTCGCAATCCTGTGCTATTATTCTTAAATAAATACATCTTCCAACTGTCCATACTGTGATAGTAAATACAGACATATACAAGAAAATAAATAAACAAGCCAAAGTGGAGAATGAATGGTGGGTTGGGTAAGGAAGGAAGACAAGATCCCACGTATTGTGGATTTTTTTATATGTCTTCTTGCACCTCTTTGAATTTCTTTACATTGAACTGCTAAGTCACGTGGGGATCCATGTGACGATGACCTTCCTTAGTAATAACCAAATAATATGATAATCGTAAGTTGCGAGGTTTCATTCAGTGCATCCTCACAGACCATGTGATGTGAGAGCAGCCAAACCTTGAGGGAGGGATCAAAGAATTTCAATTTCCCATGTTTTCTGTGGCATAGATAGAGAAGAATTTCATCAAGGAAAATAGACGAATTCGATCCAATGTAATGCTGCCCATGGATTAGATTACCTGAGAATTCGGGGCTTTGCGGCAGAGCCACATAGCATGTTTGGATCTTGAACAGAGTGGGGCTAGGCTAGAAAAATCATCAGTGTCGAACCATCTTCGATCTGGGTTGTAATCTGTGCTCTCGTTTCCCTGGGCCTTGTCCAATAGTATATCCTCAGCAACCAAGAACCCTCCTTCTACAGGCTTGTAGTCCTTCCCCCTCCATACCACAATCTGTTCTTTCTCGAAGGTGACAAGAATGCAAGGAACCAAGTCCTGTGGAGAAGTAATAGTTTTAAAGGGAATAAAAACAACAGCTTTGGCAGAGAATCACAATCAATGGATATGCACAACATTTTCAATAGCAAGAACTTATAATAATCAAGAAACACAGACTTCAGTCAAGACAAGATCATTACCCTAAGTTTGCACCCAATTTTCTTATAATCCCTAATGGGGAGACCTTTGCAGTCTATACTAACGAGCTTATCACTAAGAAAAGCATCACGAACCATAGGAACAAGACTACCGTAGTAGCCATTTTTACCTGCAACAGAAGCACATATATTACCAAACATTACAGCAAAATACACGACAAAAGAAACACAGGTTGAATTTTTACTGAGCCTGGTCAAGACAGGCTCGGATAGCCCCCTTTTCCTCATCTCCTTCGTCTCCTCAATGCTCAAGCCTTCAATTATAGTTTTTATAAGCCTCGGATAAACAGGTTCTTGAGGTTTCCACAACATCAGTGGAATCAAAGGCCTTTCTTTTGGCTTATAATTTCTATCTCTGTAAAGCACGAGCTGGCCTCCGCGTCTAAAGATGATTGCACCCATCAACAAGATCAATGGCGGAAAGACTTTGAAGTTTGAAACACACCGATATTTATCTGGCGCTTGGTTTTATGCCTTTGGTACCTCTCAACAAGAGCTTTTCTTTCAGCATTCGTCAATGGTTCTCCCTGAATCCGATCCCTCGTCGCTCTCGGATTCTCCTCCAAATCGTCGTCGATTGCGGGTGAGGTCACCTTGGGGTCGACCGCAGGGGCACAGACCCCAGTCCATACCCGGTCCAGACGGCCCGGCCTGAAAGGAGAGTATTTCGGCTCCCTCAGTCCAATTGGCCGCTGCTTTCAGTGTAGCTGAATCGGAAGTCGAATGGAAGATCGGACCTAATTGGCCGTTCCGACCTATCCAGCGACGACGGAGGGCGGTATGGGGGCTTTGAAGGACTGAGGGTTCAGAGATGGGGGAGCTACGAAGGAGTACTTGGAACGGAGTTTCGAGGCGGCGGTTGAAGAGAATAAACGATGCCGAGAATTTTCGTGGCGGGAGAGACGGCTGATAACGGCGGTGGTCTTCATTTGACTTTTGAGGATCATAGTCATACATATATGTAAATTTTGTTTTGATTGATGGGATCGAAAACAAATTCCAATTAATTGAGACTGTGTGAAACCCATTAGTATTGCATTTCGTGAAGTTCTTCATCAAGTTGCGTTGGTATCATTGTAGTTTTGAAGTGTCGTAATTCCAATCCGATGTTATCCCAAACTTGCTACATGTCCAGACACAGACACAGACACCCGTGCCGTGAAGTGCCATGCCTTGCCAACACACTAGTGGGCACTGACTCGGACCTTTTTAGGGTTTATTTGGATAGACTGGTTTTACATAGTTACATTGTTGTTATTATTATTATTATTATTCAACTTCTATTATATATATATATATATGTTGGTGAAATGAGATGAAGCCCTTTTTAACGTTGTTATGTCTTTCCAACTCCACTCCACTCCACTTCACCAACCACATATTTTCACAGCAGTAGTATTATATTAATAATTTTATTGATGGTGTAGTAGATGACTTGGAAATACACTGCCCATCAACAAGACAAGACAAGACAAGACCAGACCCGACCCCCTTTTTGTTATTGTTTAAACATAACTTTGGACCCCCCACCCCCATAAGAAAGTGGTCCTCACTTTCCACCACCATGGTCCACTCTATGTGGGGGTGGGGTGGGGTGGAGTCGAGTCGAGTAGGGGGGGGGCCTCATTTACAAGAAGAAAAATTCAATTTTTAGAATGCTAGACAAATATGGGACCACTAGTTGTGTGTATTTAATCTATAACCTATTGCAAAATATAATAATCAAAATTTAGAAAAGAAATATGAACTAACACACTGTAACACACTTTCTCTATACATAAATTATTTATTTATTATTAAGAAGCAACAACCAAACGCGCCCTTATCGGGAGAGGCCCACATGAGTCAGAAGCCCATTAGCGGCCACGTTATAGTTAGGCCCATTTTCTGCAGTTATGGGCCCATCAATTAGATTATAACTAGGCCCACTTGGGGACCACAGCGGCGGCCGGACCGAAAGTTTTCCGGCGGGGCCACCACCACCACCACCACTTCGGCCGCCGGGACCCACCGGAGCGGTCCACAATCTGCTTCCAGTTTCTGTGGGGCCCGCCGCCAACAAACTCCTGCCAACCTAGGGCACTGCTCCGCCATCACACGTGCGCATTTTTTTTCTTCTCCACCTCCGCCGCGGACGGCGGCGCTTTTGGTTGTTGACTTCCGTACCGGCGGTAGAAAACGCGGTGCGAACTGCTGCGAGGAACGATTCAATGCTTTGCCGAACGAGTAGCCAGAAATGGAAGCTCCTTCTTCTCGCGAATCTCCCAGGAAATATCTCGCAGCATCTGAGTCGCCTTCGTCGCCGGAGAAGTCCTATTTGGAGTTTGTTGATTAGGTTTTTCCGATGAGACTGCCGCGCTCGTGCTTTGCAAGGTCTGGAGGTTGATATGAGTCGTCGTCGCCGGTCGGGAGAAGCCGACCCCGACGCCTCCGCCGGAGGGTTGAATAGCGGCGACGAAAGCCGAAATTGGCCGCGCTGTGGCAGAGATGCTGACCACCGGCGTCATGTTCAGAGCACCGGCCGGCTGAAGTGCTAAGACCTGCGCAGTTTGATTCGGCGGGATGAAGAGGAAAGTCGGAGTCGGTGCATTCGAATTCGGGTTGGATGTCACCGTCGGAAGAGCAAACATCGCCGGAATTGGAATTACCGACATTAACGGCGCTGAGATTGAAGAATTAGGGCTAGAGATGATCGGAGAGTTGTTAGCATTGGTAACAGAGAAATTGCTAGGGTGCGAGGCTTGCCGGCCGACGATGTTATTAACGTCGATGAATTCGCCGGAAGACGGACGCTTCCGTTTGCGACTCGCAGCGTCGTCATCGGGAGCGGCGGCGGAGGAGGTGGCGCCGCCGTCGGTGGTGGTGGGAATCTTCAACGTACCGTTGACCGACATGGCGATTGCGGGAACAGTTCCGGTGCCTGTGGCGGCGATGATGGCCGGCTCGGCTTGCTCCAGGAGCCAGCGTATGGTCTCGCCGTCGGACTTGTGGCCGAGCTCTCGAGTCAGCTGGAAGACTCTGGCGGCGCAGGTCGCCGGCATTCGTATTCTCCGGCCACGCCCTTCAACCTTGGTGTGGCGGTCCTTGGTGGAAGACCTTTTGGGGGGCGGAGAAGCCATTTGCCTACCAGCACCACCGCCACCGTCGGGTTCCTCTTCTTTCATCGCCGGCGGCGCCATGCGAAGCGGGTAAGCAGCAGTTAAATTCTTGTCATCTCCGGCGGGATTTATCGACGAAGCCATCAAAGAAGGAACGAACGATTGGGATTGGGAGGGCAGAGGCAAGAAACTCAAAAGTCACAAAACCCAATAAGAAGAAACTTAGCAGGCAGCAGATATATTTATTATATAGATGGATGCATACACACTAGAGAGAGAGGGAGAGAAAGAGAGAGAGAAAGAGCCCCACTAATTTCTGCTTTTGTGAAGAAGGAAGATGGGGATCGGACGGCTGTAAGGCAACCACGCAGGTGAAGGGACCAGCTAGGCACAAAGTGGGCCCGGCCCCATCAATGTTGCTTTGCTTGTGCCATTTTAACACATAATAAAAATGGGAAAGATATCGTGGCCACTCAAAATCTCTGCTTCTAAAGGGTTTCACTGCAGTATAGTTTGTGGTTCGTAGTTTGTATTAGTAGTAGAATTCTACTCATATCATCCAAAAAACATATTTATTTCTAGAAGCTAGAGAGAGAGCTAGTAAAGTGGTGGTAAAAGTCAGAGTCATCTATGAATGTTGAACGAGGGTGGGGGTGGGTGGGTCCAACTCCTACCTAGCTAGCCCCTAATCCTAATCTTAGCCCCACTCGAGTTGGTCAGGTCCCTACAACTTCAAGGTTTGGCCCGGACAGGAACCCTCACATATAGCTTGCGGCCCACTTTGTTATTTATTGGTTTTATTATTATGGGAGGGTAGGGTGGGGGTGGGGTAGGGACACGACCTCCACACAGAGAGAGAGAGAGAGAGAAGAAATGGGAAGGGATTAGGGGCCACCTTTGTCTTTTCCAGTGTTAAATATATTTTGATTCTTGCTGCAACTCTTTGTCCTCAACAACCATAACATAACCAAAAAAAAACAACATAACACTAATGAAGGTAGGGGCCGGCCGGGAAGAAGAGGGTGGTTAGTTAGTGAGAGATAGATAGGGTGGTGGTGGAGAAAGAATATCATCAATATATTCAAGATTTAAGAACAACTGGATAAGCTTTTAGACAGGGGAGGGGGGGTGGGGAGAAAGTTGGCTCGATGTTTATAGGAGACTGTTTTACAACACCAATAAATGCAACCTTTCTATTTTATTAATATGTTTTTTTTCTTACATCAATCAATTAACTATTAACCACTTATACTTATCCAAACAATCAGATTAGCGGTTAGGGTAATCAGTACCATACTATTTTACTCTTATTATTATTATTATCATTATCTTCTACTTGCATTTTAAATCAATTCACTGTACTAACAACAGCTTATTATTATTATTAGTTTATATTGTGACAAGTCATTGAAGTTCTTGAATTGACTTGGTTATTACAACCAAAAGCCAGTAATCATATTCATAACCAACCTTCCTTCCTACTCTCTTCTCCTAAAGGACCTGTAAAATGGAGATGGAGATGCTGCTGCTTGCTTAGGAACCAGACATGTATGTGTATCTCGTCTGGGCTCCAACTAGAAGTTCCACGAGTTTTTCTGATCATATAACAAAGTAAACGAAATCTTCTCATCAAATCTACATCAAGAATTTTAAAGAGAGAGAGAGAGATACTTACCGGCAAGAAGCCCAACAATGGGGATTGGTTCTAATAGTTTCTGACCACCTTCAAGTCTTCGCCTGAAACATCGACCATCATAAACCACGACCACACGTCAATATATATTGTTTTCTCCTTTCACCACAATCAACATTAACAAAACACAGCATTTTACCGGGTATACTTTGCAAAGAACGGATCTCTCATGAGGTAAAGCGCCCACAGAAGCTTCCGCCTTCTCAACTGCAGTAGTAGTAGTATGTATGCGCAAAAGTAAAACTACTTTTCAACGACAACTCTCAAACTCCCAACAGCAAACATGTAGTGGTGTAATTCAAACAAACAAAAGTACGCAAGAGATTACTCTAACCTCATGCTTCTCAGCATCAGAAAGCTGGAAGTTTTTATTGATCCGCCATGAGGTGGTGACGAATGAAGTAATTCCATTCCCGAAGAGTTCTACGGCCAATGAAGTCATCCAAGGAAACCATGACCGTGCCCCGTATTTTCTTATCAGCAATACGTACACAAGGGGTCTTAGAATAAACATCACCTCTCCCGTTAACATAAGACCTCCCGGAATACCCTTCTCCGACAAGAAAGTAGTGAGACTAGGCATCTCAGCTACAGCTACTGGTGCTGCTGTAATAAGCAAATACATCTTCACAAACAAGTTTATTGTACTTGCATTGATTGGATGTAAATATATGAGGGATGCAGAATATTACTTTGAGGCTCGATGATTGCCTGCTGGTGCTGAACCCTACGTAACCATGTGGGTTGGTCGGAGACCGTTCGGGCATTTTCACCAAATCTAGTTAGAGCAGACAATGCCTTCCCTTCGAGACTCCTGGAAGTCGGCTGGTGATGGTTTCTCATAACACTGGAGTACTGTTGTTGGATGGGTTTTGAAATTAGCCCGTTTCTATGAGAATTGAACTCATTGGAACTAACACCATCATTCACACTCTCCCCACCTTGCAAAAGCATTCTATAGCCACTGTTCCGTAAAATGGCTAACCTGAGAAATACCCTGCAAGCAATTTGTCCAAAAAAATCATTTGACGATGCAGAAGCTGAAGGGGATGTAAAAGTGTAGTAGCTAAATTAAGGAGGCTACTTCACAGCTTCGGTGAAGGCAATGAAGTTCCACTTGCTATCTTCACCGTAGAATTGTTGGGCAAAAACTTCAATGAGGGTTTCCATGTCCTTGAGCAAAGTTATGCACAAAGAAAACGGGATGGGCAAATAATCTGCATGCCCTGTTCTTGTTTGTGCAGTTGTTGCTGTGTCGAGTATGTGTTCGTTGACAGAAGTGAACACACCCAATACTGATGATACTGTATCATATACATAGCAGAAGAAACACCGGTCAAATCACTGATCAAACAAGATTTTAGTTAGGGACAAAAAGAGTTTCAATGAAGTCTAAGCACCACAATTTTAGATAAACTCGGAGCCAAAACCCATAGGTAGGTAGGCTTGCATTATGTGAGCATACACGAGTAAAAAAATCTATGGCCAAGAATGGAGGCTATTGTGAAAAAATTTTCATGGAAAAAAAATTCTAATAAAGAATTAAAGATGAACAAAAAGATACTGCAATAAATTTATAGCTTATTTACATATATACATATCTCATTATGAACAAGAAGAAAGCCATTGTTACCAAAATTCTACAAAACCTGCTTCAGGCCCGATTTCCGATTCTGAAAACCGCTCTGGAAGTAGCCATGTTAAACCCTGTTCAAACAATAAAGACACTCATCTTGAACAAACTCATGGAAGCCACCATCACAATACTCAAAGCATTTCCACAGAACAAAAGAAATCACATGAAAGGCTGTGAAGAAGGAGAAATAATAAAATGCAGGCCAGGCAAAATGTGACTAACTTTCCATGAGAGCTTAATATATACACAAAATTCTACCAAACAAATGTCGTCGTCTGTAAAAATCAATTCTTGTTAAAACACTGTACAATCTTATCAGAGAAATTCCAAAATGTTAGACCAATTGGTCACAAATCCAATTGCACAAATGAAGAAACATATTCATACAGACCTCAAATTCGAGAGTGCAGGAGAGAACCAGATGTAAGGCAAAGATTAAGCATGACTAAAGAGAATAACACATGTAAGAAATACTACCGTATGTGATTTTCCCTGGCATATCAACATTAAAAGAAACAATTGTGGACACTAACATCATAGAATAGACACAATACCTCTTCAGCCATCAAACTAAATAATTCTTAAGCTGAAAGGGACTCAAACTATGAATACTGAACGAAATTCATATACAAGGAAAAAATTTCATTGCACATCCATGGTGATTAGAACGAAATAAACGGGGCAGTGTCGTATCCTTCAGACAAATTTTCAATTTATATCTTATCTTCATAAAATCGAAGAGCATGGAGCCAGTAAAATCAATCCATGGCAAGTTAATCAACGCAATGCAACAAGTAACCGAATTTCTTTCCCCAAACCAAAAAAAAAAAGAAAAAAAAAAGCTTAGCTCACATAGGCATACATTAGCCAAAGACTCCAGAGAATGCACAAAATCTCTATTCCTCCGAACCCATCTCTTGTAAGCTTCCATGGAATTCGAAAGACAATCTCCACCGCAACCAAATTGTTTCGGCACTCGCGCTTATCTACACCAACGTATTCCCAGAATTTAAAACCCTAAAGTAGCAGAGGTCCACCTTTCCGCGAAATCCGAACCTTGTACGATCCCAATCGGATTCTAGACCCGGGAAAAGGATGGGGGTTTGGTTTTCTTGGGATGCGCAACGGAATCTATGACATCTGCTCGCGATTGGCTGCAGAAGACGCGAACGCCGACGACACTGAAATTTTGGGAGGGGTTTCTCGTCGGAAGCGCTGATTTACGAGGGAGACTGATTTCTAGACATATTTATATTTTTTGTGATATATGTGTATATAATGTAATATAATATAGATAGATACATACATACCGCGATATTTTCTACTCTCATGGATCTGATCCATTAAAAAGATATCGTGATTTTCTCAGTTTCTGTAAGAAGTTGAAATTACTTATATCACTCACAATTAAGTCCAAGATATGCAGAGATTCATCATGAATTGTCATCTGAGCTTAATCAAGAAAGACACTGTTTGATCTCTTATTGCAAGATGTGCAAAGCAAATCAAGAATGAATCTTTTGAAGAATCCATCAACACAGGGGGAGGAGTTCAGATAGTTTTACATGTTGGTTGAACTTGTATGATATGATATGCCCTCAAAGTTACATATATTGAATTGAACTCTCGGAGAAGTGCAATCTACAGAGCATCGACCAGATTGCTCCATTGATGGGATCTTGTCTGAATCAGATTTTCTGCTTGCCCTTTCTCATTCTTTCCAGCTCTGCTTCCGCATCCCTTAGCTGCTCTTTCAGTGCCGATACTCTCTGCTCCAGCTCTTCTACTGTTCCCCGGGTAATGGATGGTTGGTATGGTGATAAGAAATTGTGCGAAAATGCTGTCAGTGCTTCGACACCACAAACCTGGTAAAAAGTAATTAAGATAGATCATGTATGGTTTGTTTTTTGGATTATTACATAAAGAGACATTGGAACAATTGTGGAGATTTTTGCTGATTGGGGTTCTTGAATATGAGCACACAAGCAGTGTATGCATACCTCTTGTGGAAGCAATGGTAGCTTAGTTATGTGAAAATCGTCATATAACATGTAGAATTGATCCAGGTATTTTTGCTGCATGCGCATTCGGGCTTTAAGCAACTTTGACTCTACCACTGAAAATAACAGACTGTAGAGGATTACCTTTGGAGATCTAAGTTAACATAGAAAAAAATGGGGATGGCATCAGCATGAAGAGGAATTACCTTCTTCATCGAAAATTACTTGGTTGATGATAATATTGTGTGTGTCGATCTCAAATTTGGTCAGTTCCTGAACAAGGCGTTCGGTCTCATAAAGAGAAAGGAATTCTGGAATGCAAACGCAGACAAAAGTTGTCATGTCCTGCCGAAAGAAACAGTGGCAATCAGAAATTATAGAAGCCATGAAAATAAGGAATTTTGCTCTGAAGAAAAGCCAAAAAATAGACTACACTTTAGATCTTAAACCCATAAATATGTGACAGAATAATATGAACAGAAAATTCATAATGTAAATTGCTAACATAAGAGGAATTGTGGAATGCTGTGTTGAATTGCTATCACACATCTCGCAATCCAAAATCATGACTACTACAATGGAAGAATCAAACATGCAACAGAGTGCTATGTATAGGTCCATATTTATTACCTAATACCACAAATACAAACTCAAAAGAAAATTAATAATAGACACAAGCCCATGTATGTAAAAAGTCTGGTTTCAGCTTTCATTTTTTTAGGGGGGGAGGGGGGGGGGGGGTGGTCAGGGGTTAGAATGAAACAGAATGGGGCAATGAAAATTGCTTGTTCCTATTGTCTACATAATTAGATATAAAGGTGTATCATGTTTGGTTAGCATGGAATAGAAACTATTTTAGTACATGTATATATATAGTAATTTTGCCACGTGGGCTCGCATGTTTTTGTTTAAGAGAAACTGCAACATGTAACCAAACATTGAATTTGGTTCTAATTTATGTCCTAATTAAATTATGATGTCTAAACTTGGAAAATTAAAACAAGGCGTAAAAATTCCATCATAATCAAATATCATAGAACAAGTAAGATTTACCGGATCCTTAAATTGCCTGTTCACTTGTTCGATCATATCTTTCATCCCCTCAAGTTTTCCAAGTATAGCGTCTTCACCAAACTCATCGTCAACACCAAAAATACGAGTCATCTGCCATGAAGAACAGAAAATACTGTTATACCAACCAAACCTATAAGCCAAGTATCAGAAATTTAGAGAAATATTAACTAGTTCAGCTCAACAGGCTTTCCGAACCCCATAAACACAATGACCATTTTTAGAAGAAGAAGCATTCCTACCAGCACACACTGATTGTTAAATACAAAAGAACTCTAGTCCTCCACCAAAAGAAATTGCAAATTCCCCCTTCAAATCAACAAATTGTTCCTATATGCTATCTTATGCCAAATAGAGTACAAGACTGAGGGAAACAAACCTGGCTCAACAAGCCACCAAACTTATTCTTCAAACTCATCATTTTGGCAAGCCCTTTTTCTAAGGTGGAAGGGAATTGTAGCAGCCGAAGAGTATGTCCAGTAGGAGCAGTATCAAACACTATGACAGAATAATCCATGGTTTGCACTAGCCTGATAAATATCATTTCAGAAATTACATGTTTTAAAACAAAGATTGAATGTAAGAATATTTAATTCAGATGATGGATCACCAAGCGCTCATCTTTACTAGTAACATGAACATATATTTTTTCCTTTATATGGTTTTTAGATAATTTAGACTTGCCCTATATGCATTTATTTGGTCAACTTTTCAAAAGAAACTAGAAAGTGTTAGGCAATCGCAAGTGGATGAATTAAAATTTTTTTCAAAACCTTCCAAAGCTGTACATTGCATTTTCTCATGAGAAAAGGCACAATTGAACATTATATAAAGATACTTTTCTTGCAAAGTTGACCAGAATTTGAAGATTGCTGCTTTGTAAATTGAGGATGGATCTGCAATGCATTCAGAAAGTATTATATCTTCTTGTAGCACTAGCCAGACATGAAACTTACTTGAGCATCTCAGCAAAGCTCATAGCTTCATCAATTCCTGGGATGGAATTGGCTAAATCTGACACAAATCCAGCATTCTCTCCACCAGTAATGTCATCTTGTTCCACGGTAGGATCGACTTCCTAGAATACAGAACCAAAAACATTGTAAAGATTAAGATAGATAAAAAGATAAATTTCCACATATCACTCATATATTCACCAAACAAGATCATTCAAACTAAACTTGTGCACTCTCACCTACGAGAATCAATTGAAGAACATTGATAATAGCAACAAAAATGAAGTGAGATATCAAAAACCCCTTATAATATATACATGTATATACCAATATTGATTATCACTCATAAGCAATCCCAAGTTGAATGATAAAAAGCAAGTAAACATGGAGTAGATGTTCCATACCATCAACATTCTAATGAAAATCTTTCAAGTTAAAACCTAAAAACGCCAGAGGAAGACCAAAATTCCATCAACATTAAGTAAATCCATTCAAATCAAAACCAGAAATTGGACAAATTCAAATACCTAATCCAAAAAATTCAGATTCATCAAACACAACGCCTACAAGAAAACACAGAGGCGACTCACTACAAGTTCAGCACTACGCTTATCGCCCATGAAACTATTCATCAATCAACCTAATTTCCAACCCAGATTCAACACAATTAACTAAATTTACAAACAAACCAAAATTTCCTCAACAGTAGGAGCGAGGGAGAGGCAATACCATAGCATACAAATTAGAGAAGCCATTAACAAGAGTGGGGCTCTTGGTGAACTTCTGCTGGAACGCATCGCTTAGATTATGCGCAGGATCAGTGGAGATGATGAGCACGGAGGAACGCACCCGCGACAGCAAGATTGACAGAATCGAGCTGCACGTAGTCTTCCCAACACCTCCCTTCCCCCCAACGAAAATCCACTTCAACGAATCCTGCTCCAATATATTCTCCACACTTCCCTCCAGCAATTCATCGTTGGAACCCATCGATCAACAGACAGAACACCTACACCGCTGCTAATGTCCACAACTGCTCTCTCTACTCTCCTATCAGAGGTCCACGCCCGCCGGGAACTTAACACCACCAGTTTGGAGTACGGCGGACGTTGCGCTTGACTGTCGCGCGAGAAATCTCAGGAGCGGTGGCTGTATTCGAAAGCTACCTCTACCTTCAACTCGAATCTCGTTCGAGTCTTCATGGGCGCTTTTCGAATTCCTCAAAATTTATGGCACTAATTTGTTACTCCACTCCCACGTAATCTTAATTTTCAATTCAATCCTTCTAGATCCAGTTATTATAAAAAGTACCCCATAATTTTCCATTGAAGTAGTATAGTAACAAACGCTACAAAATCCCACAACTGGATATTGAACAACAGCTGCATCCATCAGTTAATTTACAGTAGAAGATATCTAATAAGTTAATACCCAAATTTCATTAGTAAAACTATAAATAATGCAGTACAGCAGCAGCATTAGCAGTATTTATTTGTACATTGGAGTGTGATCTATATAATGCTTCAATAGAGTGAATTGTAAGTGAAGCAAGTGGCTACAATGGAGGAAAGACAGATGAGTAATGAAGGAAGAAGGGTAGCATTCAAGAGCTTGTTCATTCCCCAATACCCGGCCAGCGTGATCGTGCCATCTGCAACTACTCTTGCCAGGGTGCCTGCTTCTGTCGACAGCAACCCGCTGTTGAAGGTTCCTTTCGAAAGCCGTGAAGACATCACTCGAGACAGGAGTGAAAGGTTGACACCTATATGACGGAGGGAGCTGTGTTTAACTGTGAATCATTTATTGTGGAAAGAATGGTTTGTGTTTCATGTAAGTACTGTACCTTCTAGAACCTCAGCCGCGACGAATGTCAGTAGAGCCGAGCAGACGTATTGCGGGACAGTGTAAGGGATAATCAGGTGGAAGCTGAAGACAATGCCTAGGAATACCATGATCTCTGATGCCAATAAAACTTGCCTGCATTTTGTAGACATGGGAGTACTTTAGGCGTGCGTAAGATAATGGAAGACTGGAGTAATTGATGCCAATTGCAGAGTAATCTTCTTACCTTTCCTCAAATATGTTGCTGAGGTAGCCTCCGACAACGGCAGTCACCGGAAGCACTGTAACGCCAAGGCACGCCAGAAAAATCGCCACATTGCTAGTCGACCATATGAAGTAATATGTGGTGATGACGCTTGATTCGGCTAGCAAAACCTCCATGGCATACTTGAGCATGAAGTATATAAGCAACTGTACCTGTTTACCAGAGTCGAAACTGCTTTACAGAAGTGGGATCAATCGAAGGCCGAAGCCTCATTCAGAAATTTCAAAATCAGAGACAGGCAAAATATAAAGTGTGAGTAGAGATTAGACCTTCACAGATGGTGTGAGCAGCTTATACGCAGATGTAATTGATGTAACAGGTTTATGGCTTTCCTCCGAAGCTTCTTCGCTAATATCAATATCTTGATCTTCATCTTCATCTTCATCATCGATATCTTGTTGCTTCGCTGCCATCGAGCTTGAGAGCAATGGTTGGGATATGCTGCCATTGTCCAAAATGACAGCCAGTCCTGCAGTGAAAAATGCCCACTTCAACAATTGATGCACAGTTAGTTATACTTGTATCTCTCACCTTTCTAGTTCACATACTGTTGTTGGTCTCCTGCGGCACTAAGTTCACCTTCTCGTAGTGATAAGGTTCTTCAAACATCAACCATAAGCACAAAAGATAGAGAAGCCATGCCAAGGCCATGATCCATCCAGGTAAGGTGTTTTGGTTGAATGTAATTTTGAAGATCTTGAAGTTAGTTTGAAGTAAACAGGCGATCGCAGGACCGCAAGCCATCCCAAGTGCGCTTGCGCTGACAAAACTAGCAGATGCTTTCATACGAATTATTGTAGGAACACAGTCACTGATATAGCGTCGATTAACAGCTCTTGCAGATCCCAATCTGAAACAGTCATTGGCCTAAAACGTTTAGAAATAAGTAGGCACAAAGAAGGTTTGTAAAGACTCTCAACTTATAACCTCAATCCTATATGCAGAAAAAAATTTCCATAGCATTCACTGACTTGACTCTTAAATCATATAAAGGAAAAAAGAACTCGAATGTTAATTTCTTACCCACAAAACAAGCGGCCAATAAGAAGCACATAGATTGAGTTGCAATCATAGGCAAGAGCATATAAAGTGTTCCCAATGAAAAGAACAATGCTGCTGAATATGAGAGGTCTCATGTACGACTTATTTGACCAGGAACTGAAATAAACCGAAGAGAAAACCTGAGCAACAGCCATTGAGCCAATAACAGCCCCACAAACGGTCGCTGCAGCACCAAGGCTCAACGAGTAGTCATCAGCGGTTGGGACAATTATATAAGTATTAACCATGTATAGAAAAGTACTGGCGAGGTTCAGAAGAAGAGACATGAAATGATATCTCGCATCATTGTCATCATCTGATGGAGTTTCCGATTCCTCTGTCACAATAAGCGAACATTTTGCCAGATACTGGAGGATATCTGTTGAGTATCCCAACCTGTCAACTGCAGCCTTGATAGATTCAATGATGGGGTCCTGCAACAAAAGAATGTATAAAACATTAGAAAATATAAAGAAGATTCAGTACATCTAATCGGCCGGAGACTAATAGGAATTCTACAGCAGCTCTTAAAAGAAATAGCTTCGGAGGGAATACACCATCCACTTGGAGGAGCACGAAAGCAAGGAAAGTACTATAATTTAGGGGTTCTGATTTATGTATGGATAGGAGTAAGAACCGGGAGAGGCAGGGCAGGATGATCGTATATCGATACATAGCTCTCCTGATGGTCCTGGAGATCAGCAAGGTTCCGAGATAGAGTTCCAACCACTGCTGAAATCCCCTGGCACATATTGAAGTTTTATCGAGTTAAATATTAGCAACAGACTGCCAAGTTTCATATTGACAAAAAGATAGGATTGAAAGGTAGTAAAATTAAGAGAAGCATAACTGAAATACTTACCACATGTTTAAACACCTGCCTTAGCTGAGAATAAGGATGGTCTGCTCGTGTCTTGACATAGTAATTGGTAAACTTATAACCAAATCTCTTATCAAATTTCTTCAATATTTTACGTATCCCAATCGCATTCAGCTCCACAAAATACAACAGTTTCAGGAGATCCCTTCCGACATCTCTATAGGATTCCTGCAATTCAGATATCCTCGCAGCATCAGGCTCCTGAATAATGCCGTCGTGCTGCATTCCAAGAACAGACAACCTGCTTGCCAAATGCCCTTGTTGTTCTAATAGAAACAGGACTGTTTTCTCAATCTGCAGCAGAGTCATAGATGAAACATTCGGCTCAGATTTTCTAACATGGACTGGAATATTTGTGCTAAATTTGAAACATAGATGAGACATGGTTACACAACTTCAGTAAAGATTATCTTTGAAGATATACCAACTACTTTCATCTACCTGCTTATCCATAACTCTTGAGAAATCCTTGAGGACAGAGTCCCGATTCTCTTCCGAAGCATCTATTTGCTCGACATATTGCTTCACTTTTTTTTTCATTAACTTGTAGTTAATATAGTAGCTGCAAGGAAACGCCACAAAGCAATTTCACTAGCATCTACAATCAAATGATAAAACAGCAACACTGAACTTTAACTTTTGCCAACAAATCATATCCTCACACATACAGCTTTTGAAACAACACCAAAACAGAAGTTCTGAGACTGAAATAAATAAGTCATCACAACCACAACCTCACTTCTTTCTTCATCACACAGCAGCAAAAGCATACAGAGCGCAATTTATGGATGAACTATGATCTAGTTAAACTTGAGCATACATACCCTTGCCATTCCTGAACCTGTACTTGCTTCAATTTTTTACCAAAGGCTACCATCCTTTTTCCAGCAATAGACAGAACTGCAAACACAGCATAACAAAACACAGGATTACATTTCACAGATGCAGATAAAGTTCTTGACCCATTTTTCACACAGAGAAGAGAATGTATTATGCAGCAGTCCAATGCTTCTCAGGCCCATTTTTGCTAACCAAAGGACTATTCACATCAATTTATCAATCAAATCAACCAAAGAATGCAAAAAAACCAGCACTCAACCACTACTGGAGAGATCGAGAATCGATAACCGTTTTCCCAGGGCTTTTACCCCCATTCTGTTAACGAACAAATTTACCCCCAAAATCCTCAGCGAGTGATACATACCAGAGCCGCCAGGGAACCAAAAGTCACAATTAAAATTTGGAATCCCCAGATGAACAAAATACTGGCCACTCCACACTCATGCAGAAACCTCGCTTGTTGTTCAGATCAGTCGAGCAAATGGTAGCGCGTGCGCACACACACGCACAAATATATAGATATATATACTATGGAGAAAGATCAGAACTTGATCGCAGGAGTCGCGATTGTGGAGCGAAACGACACCGTATTCTCGGAGCGCGAGCATCAATGGAGAAGGTACGTGTAGTAAGGCTGTGAAGGGGAAGACATTCCAATGGCGACAATAATAATAATAATAATAATAATAATAATAATAACTTTTGGAAATTGTTACAGCCGTATAAAAATAATATTATGTATTGTCTTAACGAAAATTCCCAACTTTATCTTCACCGAATCTCCAATACATCATTGCCATGCACACACGATCTTTATATATATATATATATATATGCATCTATATATATTATACACAGTGTCACACACTATTTATCTCCTTTCACTACTAAAATAAATACTAATATATATATATATATATGTATGGGTATATATGTCCCACAAGATTTATGTCCACTTGAGTATGTCACACCGGACACGTGTCATTACCATTTCATTTAAAAGTTATGAGTGGAAAGTTGGTGCATATTTTATTACACAGTTCATTATTGTGAACAAATACACAATAATTTTCATGACATGAAGATCATATAAATAGTTATATGATATGGATGGACCAAAAGAGATATCCATGAAGTAATATGTGGTGAAAGCATTTTAAATATTAACCCTAAATATATATTCTTTTTTTATCAACTTCCTCTTTCTCTTTTTTTCATTTTTTATTTGTGGTTCCAATATTGTGAGCCACTTGAATATAATTCTTTTTCTGCTGTTTCCACTTTCACCTTACCTTTCATCGTCAATAGTATAATTAATTTTCCACGTGTCTCGTCACTGATATTGACATAAAATAAATATATATGTCTGCAGCTATTAAATCTAGACAAACAAAAACAAAAATACAAAGAGAAACCTAAAAGGTAGCAGAAAATTCAAAACAAAAATGATAAATATCAAATTATGTAGAAACAACAGTATGATTATTAATTTAACTGAATCGAGGTAGCTAGGTATACTTACAGTACAGAGTTGCAGTCAAGAAGACGACGACGACGGAGAAGAAGGATACGACGTCGTTGAAGAAGGCGAGACCAGACGAGGGAGGAGTTGAGTTTGCAGTTTAATAAGGAACGCCGGGAGTGGTGAGTGTATTTATAATAGTAATAATAACTATTATTATTACTTTTCCCCGAAAATTAAAAATAATAATAATAATAATAAAATATTTTATTAAAAAGATAATTAAAGATATTTATTTAAAATTAAAATAAAATAAAAAGTAGATGAATGTTGTTGAAATATTTTAGATATTCAGTTTTAGATTTAGTAGATTTATATTTAAATTTAATCTTATTCATAGATTATATTACTTAAATTTGAATCTGTTTTGTATTGTCTATATATAGGCTCCTTATTTTGATGATCAATAAGACAATCTCATTATTTTTCCGCAAAATTTCTAACATGGTATCAGAGTTTATTTTTCTCATGTCATAGATATAGCCTACCAACCCGTATTTCTCCGGGTACATTCAACATGGATTGTACCCGGAGGTCTTGTGATTTTGAAATCATACCTTTGCAAGTTATCTTTTTGCAAATCTGTCTCGTCTCGTCTCCGATATGTCATCTGTCGCTGCTTGTTTGTTGCTTGTGTGCAATTTGAAATCTTCGCTGCTTGTCTGTTGCCTGCGAGCGATCTGAAACGATCTGCCATATGTCCGTTGTCTGTCTGTTGCTGCGTGCGATCTGTCATATGTCGTTGTCTGTCTGTTGCCTGCGTGCGATCTGTCATCTTTATTGCTTGTTTGTTGCCGGAAATCTGTCTACGATCTGCCATATGTCTGTTGCTTGTCTGTTACCTGTGTGCGATCTGTTTGGTGTTACAATCTATCTACTTTTCGCCTTCGGTGGAGTTACGTCGTTTTCGGCTCTGTGGAAAGTCATCTCATTTTAGGCTCCGGTGGAGTCATATAGTTTTCGCTCCGGTAGAGTCATATAGTTTTCGCTCCAGTGGAGTCATGTCGTTTTTCGGCTCCGGTGGAGTCATCTCGTTTTCGGCTCCAGTGGAGTCCTGTCATTTTTTGGCTCTGGTGGAATCATATCGTTTTCAGCTTCGGTAGAGAGTCATCTCGTTTTCGACGGCTCCGGTAGAGTCATGTCGTTTTTCGGCTCCGGTAGAGTCATGTCGTTTTTCGGCTCCGGTGGAGTCATGTCGTTTTCGGCTCTAGTGGAGTCCTATCATTTTTTGGCTCTGGTGGAGTCATATCGTTTTCAGCTTCGGTAGAGAGTCATCTCGTTTTCGACGGCTCCGGTAGAGTCATGTCGTTTTTCGGCTCCAGTAGAGTCATGTCGTTTTTCGGCTCCGGTGGAGTCATCTCGTTTTTGGCTCTAGTGGAGTCCTGTCATTTTTTGGCTCTGGTGGAGTCATATCGTTTTCAGCTTCGGTAGAGAGTCATCTCGTTTTCGACCGCTCCGGTAGAGTCATGTCATTTTTCGGCTCCGGTAGAGTCATGTCGTTTTTCGGCTCCGGTGGAGTCCTGTCGTTTTCGATTCCGTGGAGAGTCATCTCATTTTAGGCTCCAGTGGAGTCATATAGTTTTCGGCTCCGGTGGAGTCATGTCGTTTTTCGGCTCCGGTGGAGTCCTGTCATTTTTTTGCTCTGGTGGAGTCATATCGTTTTCGGCTCCGGTAGAGAGTCATCTCGTTTTCGACGGTTCCGGTAGAGTCATGTCGTTTTTCGGCTCCGGTGGATTCATCTTGTTTTCGGCTCCGTGGAGAGTCATTTCATTTTAGGCTCCGGTGGAGTCATATAGTTTTTGGCTCCGGTGGAGTCATATCGTTTTTCGGCTCCGGTGAAGTCATCTCGTTTTCGGCTCCAGTGGAGTCCTGTCTTTTTTTGGCTATGGTGGAGTCATATCGTTTTCGGCTCTGGTGGAGAGTCATCTCGTTTTCGACGGCTCCGGTAGAGTCATGTCGTTTTCGGCTCCGGTGGATTCATCTCGTTGTCGGCTCCGGTGAAGTCCTGTCATTTTCGGCTCCGATGGAGTCATCTCGTTTTCGGCTCCGGTGGAGTCCTGTCGTTTTCGGCTCCGGTGGAGTCATCTCGTTTTCGGCTCCAGTGGATTCATCTTGTTTTTGGCTCGTTTTTTGCTCCGGTGGAGTCATATCGTTTTCGGCTCCGGTGGAGTCATCTCGTTTTCGGCTCGTTTTTTGCTCTGGTGAAGTCATATCGTTTTCGGCTCTGGTGGAGTCATGTCGTTTTCGACTCCGGTGGAGTCATCTCGTTTTCGAAGGCTCCGGTGGAGTCATGTCGTTTTCGGCTCTGGTGGAGTCATCTCATTTTCGGCTCCGGTGGAGTCTTGTCATTTTTTGCTCCGGTGGAGTCATATCGTTTTCGGCTCCGGTGGAGTCATCTCATTTTTGGCTCCGGTGGAGAGTCATCTCGTTTTCGACTCCGGTGGAGAGTCATCTCATTTTTTACTCCGGTGGGTGGAGAGTCAACTCATTTTTTACTCCGGTGGGTGGAGAGTCAACTGCTAATTTTATTAATGTTTTCTTTTTGCGTTTATATTCAAATTTCTCATAAACTCAAGTTGGTTTCTGTTATAACACTTGAGTTTGAGGGGATGTTGAGATATTTTAGGTATTCAGGTTTTAGATTTAGTAGATTTATATGTAGATTTGATCTTATTCATATATTAGATTACTTAAATTTGAGTCTATCGAGTCTGTATTGTCTGTATATATAGGCTCCTTATTTTAATAATGAATAAGATAATCTCATTATTTTTCCTCAAAATTTTTGGAGATGATCTGAAATGATTTTATATCCACGAGCTCGTGGTCACACAAATTCAACCCCAAACCAGAGACGTTGTTGTTATTATTATTATTATTATTATTATATGTGGAGAATAGTGATTGCCCTCTCATAAGTTGACACGTATTACTAACCACACTACCGCCTGCCTTAATATTGGAGGCATTACACTCATTACTCATTACATATAATAATTATAAGATTCTTCAAATCACCAACATCTAAATTTACTCTTCTTCAATATATATGTTAAAATATATTGAAATATATATATATATATATATTATACTTATGGAATTTGCTCTGTTCAACAAAAAATTATTTATTTAAATGACTTGTATAGAATGTCAATTTCATATACCAACCATATATATTTAAAAATCTTAGTAATTTTTTAATGTTATTAGTATGTAACATTAGTCAAATTTTAAAATAAAGTGTATGTACAGTAGAATATATATGGTTTGTCCCATGTTTTTGGCACCAAGTACGAATCGGTTTCCTTTAACGCCATCATGAAATGGATGATAATATCAATGGTTTGTGACAAGCCCAAAATGGAAGTATTATTTGCAAAGATACTAAAAATGATTTGCCATAATTCATAAGTTGACCTAACTTTCAATTTGCCCATCTTTATCTACCCACTTTTGAAATTAACTTTCACAATTCAATAATGGCTAGATTCATTAGTCATGCTACATACGTTTAGACTTGCTCATTCGGTTTTCCGGTTAACCGAAACCGGGCTCAAACCGAACCGAAACAGTCAATCCGACGGTTCGGTTTCGGTTTGTGTTTGAGCTAAATCGTAAATCGCCGGTTTACAGTTTGAACCGGTGGTTTGGACAATATATTATATATATATTTTTTATTTTTTATTTTTGTAAAATTATGTCTGTCCGTACTAAATTTTGAACCGAAACTATTCCGGCAGTTTGGATGGGTTTATTTTTTTTAAAATGAACGGTCAAAATTAATTTATGCAGATCGGACGGTCGATATTTGATGGAACAAACCGATGGTTTTGGAGGTTTGTTTTTTTAAATAATTTCAATAGTGTGATTTAATTTAAAATTACCTTATTAAACAATTGTATAAATTATAATTGTATTCTTAATTCTTAATTAATAAATTGATAAATAATTATTTTATAAAATCAAAGTATTATTTATATATTTTTTCACAAAAACACAAAGATTTAGTATATTAAAATTTATAAACCGTCAAACCGTAATCGAAATCGTCATTCAAACGGTTTGATTTCGGTTTGAAATTCTGACAAACCGGGCAGTTTGAACTGTTTGGGCAAGTATACATACGTTCAAGTAATTTGGAGATCTTCAAATCAACAACTAAACAACCAAATTGATCATTGCTCATATCAATCATAGATTAAAAAAATCTCACATGGAAATGATCTCTGATCACAAGAAAGTATGAATCAAGCTATCTAAGTATATATATATAATGTAATTGTTGTTAAATAAGATAAGGTATGATCTCGATGACTAGGCCGGGGTAGACATCGTCCGGATCGTGGATTTGGGGATTTCGCTCGACGATGAAGGGGTCGCCGCACTTGTCGCTGATGGTGTGGAGAGTTTCGCCTTCCGAAACGACGTAGATGTCGCTGCAGACGTGCGCCGCATAGCTGCTGAGGAGGAGGAGGGCCATGGCCATGGCTACTGCAGCTGAAACAAGCATTGGCCTGGAAGTGATAGGAGAAGCCATTTTTATTACTTGGTAGTGTCTAGTTGTTGTTCAGTTTTTATTATGAGTTAGGTTCTTGTCATGCAGTTCTTGGAGCGGGACACGATGTGGTTTTTTTGGAGTCAGCTGCCAGTAAGAAGTGGGCTACTATTTTGTTTTGTGGGTCCATTGGTTGTTTATAGAACAAGAACAAGAACGAGGAAATAGTTGGCATAGGCAAATTATAAATCAATAATATGGATATTTCTATTTCTTCTAAATAATGTTGTAAAATGGGTGAGAATTTACATAGAAAAGAATTTAAAGTATTATGGAGATCAAAGCATCTTCCAGACAAAGAGCTCCCCGGAAGCATCTCCGGTGAAAAAGAGTCCCTCGACGTCGCCGTCGTTCCGAATCACTTCAATGCGGTGCCTTGAAAATATTCTGCCTCGTTCGGAGAATCTGATGAAGAGGGCATTTGCAAAATATTATGATGGCTCAAATAGTAAACATGTAAATAAAATACAATGATGATGGTGGTGATACTAACGTTGGCAACTCAAATAGGCGAACAGTGTTGTCGGTGTAAGAACATAGTAGAATTGGCTTAGCTTCTAAGTCGTGTATACCGGCAAGGGCAATCACTCCCTGGAAAATAATTCGAATACATGAGAAACTCGAATGACAGTGTCAATAATAATATCGAAACTAAATGACTACTTACATGATCATTTTTCATCTCATAAACCATTTGTATGGTTTCATTTTCTGAGGAAGCCCAAACCTGGTGTAAGAAAGAACATGAAAGCAGCTGATTAGGGATGCAGAAGCAGTAGTAGCAGCAAAGCATCAAATGTAGAGACCTCAACTCCTCAATGACAGAAAATAAAAACAAGAAATGCATAAATGGATGGAGAGCCAAACCTTTATCGTTTTGTCAAGGGAAGCCGTTAACAGAAAGTACTCCCAACAAAGGACAGCCGTCACATCACTTGTATGCCCGTGCAACGTCTGCAAACACTGCAACGATTGCACATCCCACACCTAGAAATTGCACATTGTTGTTTTAAATGTATATATTGGAAGGAAACAAGAAAATTTGCAATGGCGGCTGCAAAAAGAACAAGAAGTGAATATATATATATATATATACCTTGATTGTAGAATCTTTGGAACCAGAATAGAGTCGCTTAGATCCAGATCCTATAACAAGTGAACACACAGCACCCGTGTGTTCCTTCAGCAATGCAGCTGGTTCAGGAGCATTGCTGCTTCCAGATTGCCATCTCCATACCAATATGGAACCATCCTGTAGCCATGTAGAAGTTCATAGTGAAAATGAGATTAATTCACCAAACATATATCGATTCTAAAAGGCTGCCTGCCAAGAGTATCCCGAAAAACATTATATATGGTGGACAACATAAAGCATGAACACTAGAAGGTACCTCTGTTCCAGCAAACAAGATGTTGTCATCAGAAGCCATGCTACAAATTACACCACCTCCAGTGTAAAGAGTATATCCAGTTTGACTTTCAAAGTTCCAAGCCTGTATTGCCAAAAAATAAAAATATATGTAAGAGAACAATTTTTGCAAGAAGCTAAACATCCACACATATACACAAAGACAAAAAAGCAGAACAGAAAATCAAACCTTAACAGCATCATGCAATCCAACAAAAAGCCATTGACCTTCAGTGACCATACACCGTATCCCACAGTTCAGATTTTCCAAACCAGCACACTGCAAGCAGCCATAATAACCGTGTAACTACTAATTCACTTTCTAATAAAATGGGTGCCTACAAAGGCACAAAGTAAAAGTTCCAACCTGACCACTATGGCAGTCCCAAGCTCGGACACAACCATCATCCCCACCCGAATAAAGCTTAGTGTGACCAGATGGGAGGCAAATTCCAGAAATAGCCTGCTCAAGGTTTCAGGAAACAAATGTGAATAATAATCCATAAAAAAACAGAGTAAAATGAAACTAGTAAATAAACATATCATTATATGTAATATAGAAAGTTGGAAACATATAATCATGTATGCAGTAAGTCAGTAACTACCTTGCTGTGTCCCTCTAACTTTGCCAACATTTTGAATCCGGAACCATAGAACCAAGAGTGTTTATCCGTGCACTTCTCTCCACGAATACAGTTGCCAGTGAGCCAGTCCTGACATTGTTTTGGGAGAGTTTCTTGAACAATACTCTCGGCAGTTTCCAAACCATTTGCTAGGGCATGTGTGCTTCCATCCTTCTCATTTGTAGCATTCATTATTTCTTGATCTGTTTGGTTGTGCTTGGTGGTTATGTTAATCGTAGATACTTTCTGTGGAGTGTTCTTGCTTCTTCTTTCCACTCTGCCTTCATCCCCAGTTTTGGGGATACAATTATTGGGTTTCCTCCAGGTCAAATTTCTAGAGTGATTTCGATGAAAATCACGCCCTGGAGGTGAATGGGACTTTTTCTCACTTTGAGGAGGTGGTGACTCTCTGTGCATGAACTTACATGGATTTCTATTGCATTTTCCCTTAAGCCAGAAGGTGCAGACTTCGTTTCTCACAGGATGTCCTCCTACTCGGTTAAAGATTGGGACCCTCCTTGCTGCCTTGACATCCATCACCGAATGCTAAACGAAAAATACCATAACGGATATATCAGAATCTGAACTAACATGATGCAAGATAAGCCAGGGTGTAGGAGAGCTGTTCCCGTCAAATAAAAACTGTTGGAAATCTTCACTGTACAAGTGAGATGAATATCCATTTCTTTATGCACCATAAAAATCCAAAACCTAAATCGGAAGCAGGCAAAAAGGAAATCAACCACAAATCTGATCCTCTTCATAGAAGCCCAAGAAAAGTCCCCACATTCAAACCAGAATTTCTCGTATACTCGTCGATCTCGATATTCGTTCTTGATTCTATATATAACATCCGGAAGAGAATAGGCACAGTCCGCAGCATACATTTTACAGGGAATGAAGATTTTAACAAGAAACCACAAAAAGCCTAGACTATAATCCTTAATCAATCCGAACAAAGAGAAACATAAATAAGATCTAAATCTCAAAATCCTCATCGATGAATCTGATCCAATCGCCGTCGACTGTTGAAAACCCATGGATGATGACGAACCGTATGATCGAATCAACGCCCAAAACAAAAGCTCTTAAGAATCAATACATGAGAATAGAAAGATAGCGAACCTGATGAGATTATCGGCGACCAAAAAGAAAGAATACGGATCCAAATCACGAATACACACTAGAGAGAGAAATTTTCCTCCGCGCAGAAAAGACTTCACGATGAACGAATGGTATTTTCTCTCGACTCTATCCCTATTTATAGTTTGGGATGCCAGCTGGAGGCAGTTATTTGTTTCCTTATTTAAGTTTTCATAATTAAAATTTGACCCTATAGCTATATATTAATTAATACTATTGAGATATTTTTACCTCATTTAATTTTTCATAATACAAATTTGACCCTACGGGTATGCACTAATTAACTTTAAATTTGACCCTATAGTTTATAATAATTATTTTATTGAAGTAACTGCCATCAACTAACTGTTTATATGTTCTTCAAAACCTTCACCATCACCAGTCCACCAATCGATCTTCAAATCTTGCAAAACCCTCAGCAATGGCGAACGACACTAAAAACGTACAGAAAGCACCTCCAGCGGTTCTCCCGATCCTCATTTCAAACGACAGCGCCAACGCCGGGCCGTGTTGCTACCGGAGAATTCACACCATTGGAACTTTCTACGGCCGGTTCCCAGTCTACAAAGCCGCCGTCGTCTACCGGAATCCACTCTTCTACGAGAAACAAACCCCCGAGGAGCTCTTCGTCGCCCTCAAATGCGTGGATATGGCGGAGGCCGTCGCAACAACGGAGCTGGCAAAAGAAGCCCAATTAAACGAAATGGCGGGCCTCAAGAACAGACGCCTACTCGTAGTCGAGAAGCCATTCCCTATCAGCGGCCATCTCTGCCTCGCCTGGCCGTACATGGGAATGGGCTCCATCAGGTACATAATGGCGACCAAATTCCCCGACGGGATTCCGGAGAAATTCATTCCTGTAATTCTGAAAGAAACCCTAAAATGTCTGATGAATCTCCACGACCGGAATATCAGTCACCGGAATATCCATGCCGGCAACATTCTGATGAACCACAACCCCGAGATCAAGCTTCTATTCGCAGCGACGATCTACACTTCGACGGAAGAGCAGATTCTCCAGTCCTCTTCATCGTTCTTGCCGCCGGCCGCCATCTCCGAATGGGCAGCCCCGCCGGAGATTTATCCAAAGGCCAACAGGTATTCCTATGCGTGTGATATGTGGATGGTTGGGATTACGGCGCTGGAATTAGCCTACGGAGGGCTTAAAGTGAGCAGCAGGGAAGAACTCATGTCTTTGGTGAAGAAGTTCAAGAAAGACAGCAAGAAATATTTGGGGATTGAGAAATTGAAGAGAAGTTCCGATCGGGAATGTCTTTTCTCGCAAGACTTGCAGAAGATCGTCGCCGGCTGCCTGAAACGGAACCCAAGAAAGAGGCTGAAAGCTAGCAAAATCCTTGTCTCCGATGTCTTCACGTTAATGGAGTCGAATGTTAATGAGTTTTACACCCACGTCATAAACGAGCCAGTAAAGGTAGAAGTAGTGTAATCAGTTAGCAGTTTTCTGAATCACCTTTCTTGATTGATTGGATTTGATGAGTGTGTGGTGGGTGGGTTTGGTTTAGGGTTCTTTGTTCTTTTTGCGTTTTGGAAATGTACAGCTTGCATTGCATATATGACATAAATGAGTAGTTTTCTTTTTATCACTTTCTTGATCAGTTGAATTTAAAGATTGTAGTGTGTGAGTTTCATTTTAAGATTCTTGATTCTTGATTTTTTATTTTTTTTTTGTATTTTTTTGATAACCTGCATATATTTCATAAATTAATTCACTTTCCCGATCAATCTGGGTTGAAGATTGTTTTGGGTGTATTTCATTAATTTTAGGGTTCTTGGTTGTTTTTGAATTTTGAAGATAATTAACATGCATATATGATAGCAAATAATCATCTTCAAAAGTAGTGATACATTGGAGTTGAAGACTGCAGTGAGTGCGTTTTAAGTTCTTGATTGCCTTGGGGAAATTGTCGCATCTATTTTGGCAATTAAAATTGTTAAGGAATTATTGCGGGAAATTGAAATTTTCACATAATTATGATAAATATTGCAAAAGACTGCAATAAATTATTATAAAAAATTGCAATCATATAAAAAATAATTGATATAAAATACTTCCAAAAACATAAAACAATGTAAATAATAATGGTTGTAGCTTTATGCACCAATATAAATAATAATCGCACATATGTAACAATTATATGCAACAAAATTACAAAATATTCTAGAGCAATAAAATAAAATGAAAAATAATATGATCAAAATAATTTTGATGTCAACACAAATTTTAAATGGAAAATTTAAATAATACAAAATATTAATCATATTGAGTTTGGTAATTATTGTTATGATTAATTTATAAAAATTGAAAAATTTACATACTCATTCAAAATAATACTTCATTTGTACCCCTCTTAGCTCACATTTAGTATTTCTAAAATATCCTAAAATTATTAAACAAATCATTCAAAACTAAATATAAAGAAAATATTAAACTAAATTTAAATTTAAAATATATTTATATTCTTCAAATTCAAGTAATTCTTTCGAAGAAAATCTGAGTCAGAAGCATACTGAATCAAAATCTAAGCATACACGGGACTCTGATTGTTACTAGAGTCAAATGCAAACAAGTCACAAATAGGACTCCTACCAAGAGTAGGAGTTGATCGCAAACATATAAACAACAGACAAATCGACCACAACAAACAAATTGCACAGACGCCGACAAAATTCGAATAGAATCAGAGTCAAACACAAATAGATTATACAACGAAATTTTGACTTAACGCAAACAGATATATAGACAGATCGCAATCAGATTTGTAATTGTAATTATAGGCGCAATTAGAAATCACAGGACTTCCAAATCTTTTTCATTTAAAGATAATATGAATCTGGTTCATTAACAATAAAATTTGTCGAAAAATAGGATTTGTCAAAAGAAATTTTGTTTTCTAAAAAATGTAATATATACTATATTATTCAAAATATAAAAATAAAATTATACCTATAATATTTCAAAATATATGCAAACTATAAATCAATTTGATTGATTGTTTACAATTCTTTTTTAATATTTAAATATTCTTCCATCCAAAAAGTATTAGCAAAAGAAGCATGTCGAGAACATAAAGTACCTCAAAATTAAAAACAACCACGATCTTAAATTAAAATGCTCTCACCACAAATTTCAATTAAAGTTGATCTGAAAATAAATTTTGAAAACCGTCACGTCAATTTCTACAGTACATGCAATTATCAAAAACGATAAAGAACCACTACTACTTTAATTCAACTGATCAAGAAAGTGAATCAGGAAAACTACTCGTTTATGTCGTATATGCAATGCAAGATGTACGTTCCCAAAACGCAAAAAGAACAAAGAACCCTAAACCAAACCCACCCACCACACACTCATCAAATCCAATCAATCAAGAGAGGTGATTCAGAAAACTGCTAACTGATCACACTACCTCTACCTTTACTGGCTCGTTTATGACGTGGGTGTAAAACTCATTAACATTCGACTCCATTAACGTGAAGACATCGGAGACAAGGATTTTGCTAGCTTTCAGCCTCTTTCTTGGGTTCCGTTTCAGGCAGCCGGCGACGATCTTCTGCAAGTCTTGCGAGAAAAGACATTCCCGATCGGAACTTCTCTTCAATTTCTCAATCCCCAAATATTTCTTGCTGTCTTTCTTGAACTTCTTCACCAAAGACATGAGTTCTTCCCTGCTGCTCACTTTAAGCCCTCCGTAGGCTAATTCCAGCGCCGTAATCCCAACCATCCACATATCACACGCATAGGAATACCTGTCGGCCTTTGGATAAATGTCCGGCGGGGCTGCCCATTCGGAGATGGCGGCCGGCGGCAAGAACGATGAAGAGGACTGGAGAATCTGCTCTTCCGTCGAAGTGTAGATCGTCGCTGCGAATAGAAGCTTGATCTCGGGGTTGTGGTTCATCAGAATGTTGCCGGCATGGATATTCCGGTGACTGATATTCCGGTCGTGGAGATTCATCAGACATTTTAGGGTTTCTTTCAGAATCCGGATTGAACGAAATACGCTCGCAGGCCTCCATCGAGCGGCATTTTTCTAGGGTCGGCTCGAGCGTAGGTCATCTTTGAATTCTTGGCTATTCTTAAAACACATCTTAACCATGGCTTCCCAAGTTCATGTGCGTGTGGCTTCACAAAAGTAGAAGAACACCACATGTTCTAATCGGATCCGTTGTTACTTAAAATATTTTTCAGGACTTATAGAAAAGAACCGATCAAAAATTGAATCAATTATATTAACTGACAATAGACGGATAAATGGAATAAGTCAAACGCAAAAAGATCACACATCATAAACACGTGATATATTGCAGACATCATACAGATTGTAGGCAACAAAGAGATTGCATAATGAAATAATTAAATTTACATAAACTTAAAAATTATACTGTTATTGTAAAGATAATTTTTAACCAGAAATTTATATACATTTCAACAATTTAATTCCAAGTTAGGTTAAAAAGTAGACAAAATGGAATAGCCAAGGTCCAACTGCTTAGGATAACCTGAATATAAGACAGGAAATTAACCGTTTTCCAAAATTAGTAATGAATTGGATTTGAAGACTACCAGTTCTTGATTGTTTTTCGCATTTTCAAAATTCACTTTCTTGATCAATCAGATTTGAAGATTGTGGCGGACGTGGATTTTATTTTTGAGTTCTTGATTGTTTTTTGCATTTAAGAGATAACTTGCATATATGAAATTTCAAATCTACTTTCTTGATCGATTGGATTTCAAATATTATGGTGCATGAGTTTCATTTAGGATTTTTTTTTTTTTTTTTTTTTTGTTTTTTGCTTTTTGTTGTTGTTGTTGATTTTGCATTGTAAGACAATTTGCATATTGTTGTTGTTGAAAAATCTCCTTCAATGACTTATAGAAGTGAGCAAATAGAAATTGAGTGAGTTATCCGACTTCCTTGAATAGGATAAGAAATCCATATTTTTCAAAAATAATAAATTAAGAAAATAGGGAAAAAAATGACAAAGATAAAGGAAAAAAAGATAAAGAAAATAAAATTGAGTGAGTTTTCCGACTTCCTTCGAATAGAATAAGAAATCCATATTTTTCAAAAATAATAAATTAAGAAAATAGGGGAAAAAAATGACAAAGATAAATGAAAAAAAGATAAAGAAAATAAAATTGAGTGAGTTTTCCGACTTCCTTCGAATAGGATAAGAAATCCATATTTTTTAAAAATAATAAATTAAGAAAATAGGAAAAAAATGACAAGGATACAAGAAAAAAGATAAGAAAATAAAAAGAATATGGACAAAAAATTAAAGAAGGCAAAAAGAAAATAAAAACATAAATGAAATTTGCATAAAAACTAAAATTTGTGTGGAAAGAATGAAAATAATAGTCTCTTTATATCTATTTATACTATTATCTATCAAATTTGGTTAAAATTATATTTTATTCCAATATATTAATATGTTAATAAATTATCCAAAATCAATTAATATTTTATCTTAAATAAAATTTTGGGCATAAAGTATATTCCGTCTCATAATTATGTATTCATTTGTTTTTGTACGTAATTTTAGAAATATTAATATTATATTGGAATATAGTAGGAATAAAGTAGAAGCGACTAAAATAAATGTAATAGTATTTGTGTAATATATTGAAAATTATAAGGATATTTGTAATCCATTTACTAAAAAAAACGGAAATGAATATTTTGTTTTGCGAGACAGACCAGAAAAATGAATAAAACCAATGAAATTAACAGTTTTACAAATTTATTAGTATTATTATTAATATTTTGATCGATTGGATTTGAAGATGGTGGTAGGTATGTTTCATTTTAAAGCTCTTGTTGGTTTATGCATTTACCTTAACAAAATCCACTTATATACTACACATATTTATATTATAAAAATCTGCCTACCTTTCGGATATAAAAAATAATAATAATAAATAAATAAATAAATCTAACTACCACATATATTAAATGCATAATAAGTAATTATTAACACAATTCAATATATTATTATGATGTAATTATTGGGGACAACATATATATACACAAATATTCAAATGGTAAACACAAATTCCAACGTAATGGCAGAATCCATAGTACCATTATGAATGTCTTATCTTTGAATTAGTAAACAATAAGGTGATTAATAATGTCTTATATTTGCATTAGTAAATAGTAAGGTGTGTTTTTTTATAGCAACTTCCAGAGTTTAAATTTAAAATAAATGAGTATAACAATGTTTTATATAAAAAATAATACTCCCTCGCTCCCAAAGATTTGTCTTTGTCTTTTTATTTTCGTCTATCCCAAAACAATTGTCTTGTTTCCTTATTTAGTAGCCGTGGTCTCCACTTTATAACAAAATTATTCCTACTTTTCCGTATTATCTCTGATTATTACTTTAACATACTCTTTACAATCCTTAAAAAAAAAAAAGCAAGAGCATTTTAGTCATTTACATTATACTTTATACCCACATTCAATTAAATACTATTATTCCTTGATTCTCGTGCCAACTCTCAATAAGACATTTCTTTTGGGACAGAGAGAGTAATACATTTGTAATCAAAATTAGAGACGGATGACATTAGCTATGAGAATTTTAGGGACGAAATTTAATAAATTTCATCCTTAATGTCAAACTAAAGATGAAAAAAAATTGTTAGAAAAATATTACTTCATATGTCTCATTTTAGGGTATGTTTTTTTACTATTTTTGTCTGTTTGTATATCTTTTCTATTTAAAAAATAATACTCTCTTCGTCCCATTGAAATATTACTATTTTCTATTTTCGTCCGTCCCAAAACAAGGTTACCATTTTTTAATTTAGTAATTGTACAACTTAACCTAATAAATACCCTTTCAACTTACAATGTATTACACAAATGTCATTACTTTTATATTACACTATACTAATAGGGGTATTTTTGTCTTTTTCATTATAATTTAATATAATACTAATATTAAAAAATATATGTGCAAAAAGCAAACGTCACTGTTCCAATGGGACGGATGGAGTAATAATTATAAACTAATACGAAAAATATATTTTTACTTTTATTTAAATTATAAATATAACATTATTACACATATAATTACTTTATATATAAAAATAAAAATATAAAAAAAAAGACTTTTTTACTATTATTTCTTAATTTCCTTTAAAATCACAAAAGATTTTTTATTTGGGATGAAAGAATATTTTTTCTCAGTGCAATATTCAAACAGTCCCTCCTCCAAATCCTAAATAGGATTAATATCCAATATGTAAACCCCTAATTAGAAACAAGAAATTAGTCCCCTAAGAGACCTGGTGGTGGTGTAGGAGTTGGACTTGTGATCGTGAAGTCATGGATTCAATGTTAATTTTTGAATTATCTTGTATAATTAAATTAACTTTAAATGTGGTTCACTTTTCTCCCGTCAAGTTTATCACATTCAAAAATATACGTGAGAAATGACAAAAAATTGTTAAAAACAGTTTTTTTTTTTTAATTATAAATACTTTTGTATACAGGTTACTAAACTTACTCTCAAAAAATTAGAATACACCATCGCTATTTGAGAGTCCGGGTTTGGCAACGTCATCCTAAGGTCACAGGATTTGGCAACATTGTTCAATGTTTGACAATATCTACCCTCTCACGGTTCCAATCTACCATTTGCTTGAAGAAAAGATCTTAAGAACAAATTTAATTTTTAGCAATGGCTGATTCGCTTCCGCTGACATATTTGATTTGAGAATTATTGCTTACATTCAAACCTCCAACGCCTCAGATACCTGCCACGCGTGGTTCGCCTAATGTTACTTTCCTGTCGAGCTTGATTTGCAAGGTATTAAATTCAACCTGAGATTTACCAATGCACATTTTCGAATAGTTGTTTCTTTGGCGTGATTCTTCCTAAACTTACTGTGCGTGTGCGTCTACTGTAGATGACGGTTTTGGCGCGAGGCCACTCCCAGGGGGTCGTAACTACCACATTAGCTTGTAGGTGTTGACTTTGCACCTTTCTCTCTTCCCATTATTTTCTTCCCTTCTCGTTATCTTCTTCATTTTCCATCTACTTCACCACAGTCGCCCCCTCCATCCCAAAATCACTTTGGAGTTTTGTATTTTCGTTGGGACTGAAGCAAAGGAGTGAAGGCGAGGAGTTCCGCGACACTGCTGGGAGGAATGTAGATATTTTTCCGGCAACGAAAGAATATTGTAGAGGGTGCAGTAAAATAAAATAAGGGAAGAAGAGCAAGAAGGGAGAAAATAGAGGAAGAAGGAAGATGGTGGAAGGGAATATTGTAGATTGAAATTAGGTTATGTTTTTTAAATAATATATTATAAATTAAAATAATATTTTTATTAATAAAAAATTATTTTATTTATTATACTATAATTATTACCTATCACCGTCCATCAAAACCAATCAGGGTGTGTTTGTTTGGGATTTTGGATTTTGAGTTGGGATTTAAATAGTAAAAATTTTGAATTTGAATAGTTGTATGATGTGATATAAATAGGTGATGATGTGATGTTTTGATTGTAAAATTGATTTTTAGTATAATATAACAAATAAAAAATAGGTGTTTGATTTGATGTTTTTGGAGGAAAAATTTTGGATGAACAGTGAAATTTGGACCAAATCTCTCAACCGAACACACCCTCAAACTTCATTCAAACTTACTAAAGGAAAGAATCATAACTTCCCAAAACTATAAAAGAAAATTCAAATTAAAACCAAACCCAAACCAAATATTCCCAAACTAACTCCAATAAAATTAAATTTAAAATAACTTAATTAAACTAAATAACTAAAATATATATATCTCACAATATTTACATATATATATATATATTCTAAAAATAATATAATACTCCCTCCGTCCCGCAACTAAATATCCATTTGTTTTTTTACGTAATTTTAAAAATATTAGGCCATCCGCATCAATGAAACTCAATATGGGTTTCTTCCATCTCTCTCTTATCTTCCACGTCATATTCTCTCTATCACGTCATCGGAGAAACTCATTTCATTTTATACTTTCATAAAAAAAACTTATTTACACAAATTTTAATTTATTTTAATTTCTCTTTCCTCCGTATGATTAAATTATCTATTTTTAAAATAATTTAAATAATAATAATTTTTATCTAATATATATATTTATTAGTATTTATTTATTTAATAATTTAATTTATAAATAATAACAAATATTTATTATTATTATTAATTGGTTATATTTAATTAAAATTTTATTTAAAAAAATATATAAATATTGGTATCATTTTTTAAAAAATAAAATTTTATAAAATATATAAATATAAAAATTATTAATAAATATATATATATAATAAAAATATAATGTATAAAAACTAATTAAAAAAATATTTTTTTTTGCCATGTTTTCCAATTACTAATGTCCCAGTTTCAAAGAATGCTGCAGATAGGCAAGCAAATAATTTTTACTTTATCAGTACATGTAATATATATGGAATGATATTTATGTAATGATATTTGTGTAATATATTATAAGTTGCAAGTAGACAGTACCGTTACTTTAAAAAAAAATTGGATACTTTGTTATAGGAACGAGGGAGTATTTTTTTTACAAAATATTAAATATTATTCAAATTACAAACTCAAACATGCAAATTCAATCTATATGGAAAATAAACACACGGCATAATTACTAATTAAGTGAAGAAACACTGTCCAAAATCTTCGAGACAAATAAAAGAACACATGAAATTACAGTTAAGTAACACTATTTCAAAGCCTTCAGCAATGGCCTGATACTATCTCCCCTGGAGATTAAGGGCCGCCGGAAATAGTCGAACTCCATCAACTGGTCCGCCGTCGGATCCCTCGACAGGCAAGCGTCAATAACCTCCCCCAATTCCTGCTCTAAAATCCGCTTCTTTGATTTCCCACAAAAGCACGAACCGAACCCTAATTTCCCGATGAACTTGGAAGCTGGAAGGTTTTTTTTCCTCGTCTGTTGCACGATGATGGATTCATGGCGGTAGAGGTTGAATTCCAGGAGAATGGACGCCGGAATGTTGTCGCCGTAGAAAAGTTCGAGCGCCAGCAATCCGAACATCCATATATCGGTGGCCTTATCGTGGTCTCGCCGGAATTCAGGGGTCAATTCCGGTGTTACTATCAAGTTCCGAAGAGCGGCGGCGGAATCGCCGGGATGGAGGTGATCTTCGTACATGGTGAGGTACAGAAACGACAATTTGACGGAGGGTTTCTCGTCGAGGAAGACGCAGTCGGCGCCGATGCTCCGATGCACCTTGTTCTTCCCGTGGAGGTAACTCAGCGCTTTCAAGGTTTCTCCGAGGATGAAACGTACGGATTCTTCGGGGAGGCCGTGTCGGAACGTGGAGTGGATCATGGCCCTGATCGACCCCCTGGAACACGACGGCGGCATCACTATCCAGAGCTCGCCGTCGATCACGAAGGAGCAGTGGACTTTGACGATGTTGTCGTGATCGCAAACTCCGGCGTTGTGGATATCATTCGTTAAATAGAGGACGTCTTGGACTTTTCTGATATCGATCTTTTTTATTAAAACGGTGACGTTTCCTTCCTCCGGAGTCACGTGCTTCGCGCTGTACAAGGCGGCGGCGTCTCCGGTGACCATCGCGGCTTCGAGGATGTACTGGGTTCTGTCCTTTTCGTATTTCCTAGCCGGCGGCAATTCAGATCGTATTTCTTCCATATATGTTGTAGGAAGGAGGAGAGGGCTTCGTAAAATCGTAATGGAGTTCACGTTTTGGATTGTGGTTAATTTGTTTAAAGCATTGCATATTTATAGGTGTGGATTTCATATCTGAATCGTTGATTTGTACATAGAGATTTGGGTTAGAGATTCGATTAATTTAGTGTTCGCAGAAGTGGAAGGCAACTAATAAAATATATTCATATATATATATATATTCTTGATTCGAATTTCCACGAAGATCAGGTGAATATAATTTTATAATCAAATCCACATTGATTCCTTCTCATCCGATAACATATATAAAATTCAGGTCGACAACCTGTTCTTGATAACCCATAGAAATAAAAAGATAAGCAATTAATAGTGGTCATTCTTGGAGGCCGGCGACGTTCCGCAGAGTCCAGCCGATGGCGTAAGCGGCAGCTCCGGCGACGGCGCCATTGCCGAGCGTGGTGGCCATGGACAGTAAGCACCTTTGGCCGGCAATCTTGGCTTTTGCGAGGCCGAGAATGGCGAGGGCGAGGGCGGACATGAAGCAGGCCGCCATGAATTTGATCTTGACGCTTTTGGTGAAGGGGATGAGGACGATGAATGCCAGAAGTGGAGCGCACCCAAACACCAGAAAAGATGCAAATGTCACCAGCCCATTCTTCCACGGCTTCTTATTGTTTGTCCTGTCGGGAGACACCATTCCTTTCTCCGCCACCATTTTCTCGTCCACCAGCGTCTCCGGATACTTGGCGAATATGCTCACTACCTGAGCTAGCAGAGTAGGACACAAATTTATTCCATTCATAATCTAATTAATCGATTGATAATCATGTTATTACCAGGTCTGCATCGGCGGCGCTCATTCCGAGGTTTCGATATTTCTGGGCCAACAGCTGCTGCTGATTCCGGCGCTGGTTTTCGACGTCCCACTGTGTAATGGATCTCTCCCTGGCGGCGACGTCGTTCTCGGTGGTGGTGGAAACGAAATCGCCGAAACCCATTGAGATTCCGTCCGCCACCAGATTCGCGAACCCCAACACCAACACATCGACTGCGCTGCGTCAATTATTACAACTTTAAATCAACAAGCTTGTAATGAATTGAATTTTACAGGAACGGAGGAACAATTGAGCTTACCGGAGGAAAGGTTGCCGGCGGAGATGGAAGAAATTAGGGAAAAGGTTGTGACAATGGCGTCCATGCCGCCGTAGACAAGGCTCTTCACGAATTCCCCATTCCATGGCTCTTTCGGCCTCCCGTTGTTTCTTCCTGTCCGAATTGGGGGCAGCAATGGCACATCGTTGTCGTCTCCGTCACCCATTCCATTCTCCATTGATCAAAATGAAAAAAAGTCCTATTCGTCAATAAACACGTTCTGGAAGAAAGTGATGGCGATGGTGTAAAAATTGTAAACAGAACAGAGCATATGCATTGGTGTCGCTTTGCATGCTATGGGACTGACACGTGTCGACAGCCCAGATGGCTCTGAGGCGGTCAACATCGATTTCGATTTCCATTACGATTAAACCTCAATTTTCATTGCATTGTTCCCAAATTTCATACACGATTCAACGCAACAAGAGGAAGGGCCAAACTATTAGGCAAAACTTAGTACTACTAAATCAGGATATTGTGATTACATCATTAATTTCAGACCAAAGCTCTCTTTTCTTCCTCTTGCTCTTCATCATCATCATCTTCATGGTCCTGTCCTAGTTGAAACCTTTTCTTGGCTTCATTCATGGGCAGAGAATTGGAGGGGGTGTTAGTGTTACTGTTATCAGGCAACATCTTCAGCACAATCCCCATTGATATGAGCAAGAGCCCACTCCCATGTTGCCCTGTTAAAGGCTTGGTGAAGATCAAGTAGGACAGCAATAATGTGACTGCCTTTCGAGCTGTAGTCACCTGTAATCCAACCAACAACATATCTTAGTTAAAATGCCAATAAAACTTAAATCAAGAAAAGCAGCTTCAGCTTAGCATTGTCATGACACCCGACCATGGCTGTTGTGGCTGCGCCGAACAGCGCGATCAGGGAGAGGACTGAAACTTGCCCGATGAACGTCGCCATTGCTTCAAAAACCAGAACTCCATAGACATAGAGATGCTGCAAACAAACAGAGCATTATTTAGTACAATTAGACTTCTGTGTCGCCTAATGAATCCATGATTCTAACAATATGCACACCTCCGAGCAAGAATTCCAAGCAGTGAAAAGTTCTCCGGTGATCAACATAGGTGGGATCAAGAACGGCATGCCCACAAGAGTCGAGCAGAAGAGCATTTCCATCTGCAAATCCAAAATGCATTTTATGTTTCAACCAATTCGAATTAACAATGTGCTATTCAATTCACACCTGTGTTGTTTCAGGATTCATGGTGAAGATCGCTTCTTGCAAATTCCCTAAAAAGGCATCCATAATCAAGGCACCGGACACCATCAGAACACCGAGTATGCTGAAATTTGGGGAGGTTTGGGCATCAGCTAAGGTGAAAAGGATCAAGCCCACCACCAGAAGAACAGCAGAAACATATTCTTGAGGCGGATATTTTCGCCTTAGGCCGGGAATGAAAGGCCCCATTATCATCACTGGGAGGACCTGATTTCAACCCCAAATGCAGAGTCAATCAGAGAACAAAACAAGAACAGATCATATAGCACATTCCCCTCAGAATTCAAATGCAATGCTTTTCACCTTGGTGGATTTGAACATGAGCTGTGCAGGGTAATTGAGAAAAGCCAGAGAACCTTTGGTGAGACCATGGGAGCCCATGAGCACACCAGAAAGGGTCAAGTAGGTCTTCCATGGATTCACCATTTGCTTGCTTGTGAATCCTTGGAGATGAATCAGAACAATGTATACCCATCCTTGAACAAAGGTGAAGTACCATCCATAGCTGTAATTAAGCCAATCATACTTTTAAAAGAAATTGAGGATCAATGGTTTGCATGCTGAATTGAAGTAAACCTTACCTGAATTGAAGCCTATTGTATACATATTCCTGAAAATTGATGAAAAGAAGAATAAAAATCCATCAAGATTGGAGTAATTTATTGCAGAGAATCGGAAAACACAAATGCTTCAACCATGATCATCAATCAACTGCGAAATACTCCGGAATCAAAGATGAAGGATTACCTCACAGACGCCGTTCACAAGATAGCCGAAGAAAAATCCCGACGAACAGAGGAGAAACTGCTGCCATTTAGGCCTTCCAGTTAGTGAAATCCCGAAGAGAGAGCGAGCCTTCTCTTCATTCTTCATCTCCTTGGATTTCCCCTTGATTGCAGAAAGACGCTTCCTCTTCTTCAAGTACAGAAATGCAGGGCGGGCATTGTTCCAATTCAACGTACCTATGGAGCAACTTTCGATGCAAATAGCAATTGACTTTTTGAGATCATGAAGAAGAAGAAGAAGAAGTAGTAGCAGAAAAGCGAATTGCGACAAATGAAATTAAAGTGAACGTATCGGTTCCACTACGCTATCCTAAATCAATTGGGAATGTTTCCAATTGGGGAGAGATTTTCCCCAATATATTCTCACAGAAGCGCTGGTGACGATGAAAGAAGGGTTTGGACTTGGGTGTAGAAAGAGGGATTAGTGGAGGGAAATCAGCAAGTTTGTTAAGCAATTAAAGCATGTGTTAATGGCGTCCGTTGAAGGAAGAGACTGCGACACCATTGCATGGACTGCTACGGTGGGCCCACCAGAATTTCCCGAGGGAGGGCGCCTTGGCGAAGAAGACGCATGTCACGTGGCTTGCACGTGGGACTACATTTGACTATAGTGCCCAATTTTGACTTTCTCCGTGCCTAAATGGAAATTGGCATGTAGATTATCTATTTAGGAAATAAATGAATATTCAATAAATACAACAAATATGGTAGTAAGAATAAATAGTTCATGATAAAATAAATGGAAATTAACAAGTAATATTTCGTTTAAAGTTTGATCTGTTAGGTCGAAATTAAAGAGCTTACATAAATAAAGTTTTGATTACTTTTTATATAGAAATTGATTGATTAAAATAGAATTGAGAAAGAGATGTAGTGAATTCCTTATTTATTTATTCGTAATCAATTAATGTTTTATATTAGCATATTGGATTAATGCTTACCAAACCAAAAAAAAGTATTGATTAATTGGATATTATATCATTGAACTGACTTGCAAGTACCATATACATTGGGATTATTTTAATTTCCTACTTGTTACCAAAGTAATAATTTATCTACTTAATGAATATATTTCATTATTATATAAGTTTAAAATGTCTTTGGTGGTTACAAATATTCCACGTTAGATCTGCGCAACACCCGTCTCTCCAAGCCCCAAACTAGACAAGTTCCGGGACCAATACTCCTTGCCATATCTCAGCCCTACGATAAACAAATAAACTGTATCCGATCCAACGAACGGTGTAGATCTACCGGGCGTGGCAGTCCTGAGACCAGAACAGCTGCAGCAATGGCTCCGATCCATTTCATAGGAAAGGAAGGTGGCTTTTCGTGTCCGATTTGCAGTCACTGCGCAAGAAATTCTTCAATAACTTCATCGAAGATCTCCTCCAGCACCCAGACATGGAGCTCCATGGAAATCTCGTCGTGTTCATGGCTAAACCTGCTCCAATTAAACCCCTTCTCCATGTCCTCCACATAAGCCTTCCTTCTGTCTTCCAATTCCCACTGATACGTCTCCTCGAATTCCCCATTCTTCCATGATCTTGCAGCCCTCAAAAGCTCACTTTCCTCCTTCAGTTTCTCCTCCATGAAAAAGTCCATCATCAGACCACGGCTGTCGTCGTCTTCCTCACCCAATTCCATACATTCCAGCAACTGCTTCGCTCTCTCTTCTCCATTTTTATTGACTTCACTGTTGCTGAATCTTCTCTTCACATCGCATTTCGCCCCTGGAAGAAAGTAAAAAAAAAAAAAAAAAAAATCGAATTTTTAATTTAGGGCTTTTCTGGGTATTTGATTGAACCCTAACCCTAATTTAGAACAAAAATTAGATGCATACTCTGGACATTGATGGGTGAAATTCGGCGAAATGGAGATTTGAATGTTGATAATTCTTCTCGAAATGGTGAATAGAGAACTGAAACTGGGCTTTCCTGCTGCTCAGATTCTTCGATCGAACAATCCTCCTGTTAATTATACATACAAATTTGATTACTTCTTTTCTAATTGTAATTAATTAATTAATTAATGATTTATTATCAGAATGTAATTAATCAATAATTATTACCTTGATACTCCTAAACGCAGAGGCGTTTTTACTCAGAAATTCGTCACTGTCACACCAGCTAGACGTTTTACCTCTGGAAGAAGTTGTGACCGTTGGATTAGGACACGTTGGAAAATCCAACGCCTTGGATTCATCTTCCTCCAAATCCCGAAACGATCTCCACCGTAAGATATCTTTGACTTTCACTTTCACCTTGACCATCTCCGGCGCCACCGTCTCCTCCGCCGCCGCATTTCCTATCTTTCTCCGGCGGTGCTGCGCCGCGGCGGTCTCAAATTGGAAGTTCCTGACCACGTTGATCACCTTCTGAATGGCGGAGATCGTCGTCGCCGCCGCCCTCCTCGACCGGCTTCGCCGCAGCACGACCGGCTGCTTACCTGAACGCCCCGCCGCCGCCGCAGCAGATTTTCCGGCGCCATCTCTGAGATAATCCTTGAGCATCATCGGCCGTCGGTGTTGGAAACCCTGAAACTTCGAGACACCTCCTTTTCCATCGCCGACCAAAGCCATCGCCATTACAACAAATCAACGCCAAACGATCACCGGCGCTGCAAGATTCAGACATCCAGCACGACGCCGATTATATAGAGAGAAATAACTCAAACGGTCGAAGAAAACGACAAAGCACACGTAGCAGCATGGTATAATTTATTTTATTGTGTCAACGTTTCAGGCTGCATTGTATTGCTTGTGATTTGAAGCCTGTCGGAGCCGTAAAACTCCACATTTTTCATATTTAATTCTAAGGAATTTTCTGAGCAGCTGCTGCCGCCATGATTGGGATCTCTGTAATAAACTAATCACTCTGTGTTTCGTCTTCATCACAATTTTATTACATCCATTTAGGTAAGTGTCAAGAATATATATATATATATATATACACACACACACACGATTAATTAGTGTACCAAAGAGGGACATGCATCTTTAATCTACACACAAAAAAAAAAAAAAAAACCATAATTTAGTGATGAACTCATGCTTAATTTGCTGTTCTTATTATTATCCAGCTGTATGAATGAATTGTTGTATTTATTAGGGCAAGGAATTGAAGAAGGAAGAAACAAGAGAAGGGTCAATATTGTGATTCGATGCATGCACAGAATCTATAAAATTTGCACAAATCAATCCACACACTGTTGGTTGTTGGCTAAATGAAAATATATATATATATATTTATATATATAATTTATAAGAAATTATTAATTAATTTGTTGATTTTTGTAAATGGGCTAAAATTAGGTGGAAGAATCTATCGATTAATTTATGTGCAATGAATGGTATGGGGGAAAATATGGGCTTCGTATATGTATTGCCTACCAAAAGGCAAATGTCATACGTGGCGAGTTTTGATTGGGTGGTTGCACGTTCACTTGCCTAGGTTTAGTTTTGGATTATTCCAAGGGGACGTGGAGGAATCCTATGTTTTATTTTGTGGGTAATTTCATTTCATGTCATAAATATGGAGTCAATTTTATTACATTTTTTAAAAAAATGTGCATAATTTATAATTTGGATAAATTTTAATTCAAACACTCGTGTTATATGTTTTTTTTTACAAACTTTCATATATTTAATTTATTACATACTTAATGGTTATAATATAGAAATTTCTGTAAGTTCATTTCGTCCATAACTACGGAGTTGAATTTTTTTTTTTTTGTTAATTATTTATGAGTGGAATGAAAATTTCATGTAAAATTTTCCATATCATACTTAAGAAAATATGCAATAAAACTAATTATAAATAATTTTGTGCAACAAACATACATATAATACGCTAAGGGTGTGTTTGTTTGGGGATTGGATTGGATTTACACTATTCATTCAATTTTTTTTTCCCCAAAACGTCAAATCAAACACCTATTTTTCATTTTTTATATTATACTAAAAATCAATTTTACATTCATCAACACCTATTTATATCACATCATACAACTATTCAAATTCAAAATTTTTACTATTCAAATCCCAATTCAAAATCCAAATCCCCGAACAAACACACCCTAATGGAATTGACCTTTTATAGTTTTATTACTAACTATATATAAAAAAAAATTTTGAAAACAATACGCTGATGGCCCAACAAGAATTTTCTTTTAATTTAATTTGGGCCCAATAACTGTATAAAGCCCAATAACTTCAACGGTTACTTTCCAAAATTAAAATTTATGATTAACGAAAAACAAAAAAAAAAAAAGCAAGAAGGCCCTTCTTGGCTTTGTTTCAATTCTGTGCCGTCCGGTCGGTGATGCTCTACGAACGTTCAGCAGTTCTCCGAAAGGGATCCTTTCGAACTCCGAAATGCGATGGGCGTTGGAGGGAACTTTTGGGATTTGCTTAAGCCCCAAGCTCGATTCGAAGGATTTGATTTCTTGAGGAATAAAAGGGTCGCCGTGGACTTGTCGTACTGGATTGTGCAGCAGGAGACCGCCATTAAAGGGTACACTAGAAATCCTCACATTCGTCTCACCTTCTTCCGGACAGTCAATCTTTTCTCCAAGGTAATATGGCTGCCGTTCTTGTAGGCTGTAGCTTACATCCAAAATGGGTTTCAAATGTTCATTAATTCCTTTCTTAATTTTATTTGTAGATGATTGTCCCCTGAAAAGAGGTTTTCAACACGTGTGTTATAGACATTAAAGGAAACGGAAGGAAATTTGGGGTTTTTTGTAAGTGGGTTTCTATCATTTGATTTTATCATCTTTCCGGGAGGGATTGGTAATTTTTTTTTGTTGAACACATATTTTGGAGTCTTTTGATGTTTTGATCTGATTAATACCATGTAAATCTTTGAAATGCAATTTGGACGTGATTATTTGCTCTTTTGATATGAAATTACTGGTAAATGGAGTGATATTAATAAAATTTGGCGCATGATGCAGTTTGGAGCATACCCGGTTTTTGTACTGGATGGGACCCCCTCGCCATTAAAATCTCAGGCCAGAATAGCACGTTTTTTCAGGTCATCTGGTATTGACTCATCACGTTTACCTGAGGCAGATGAAGGTGTTTCGGTTGAGAGGAATGGAAAATTCAGAAAGTGTGTTGAAGAATGTGTGGTGAGTACATTTAGCATCATAATTTACTCGAAGTCAGACTCGATTGTTTGGTGAGGCTGTCTTATTGGTTTCTACAATTCAATTCTTCCAGATTGACTCTGTAACAAATTAGCTTCACCGAATTGTTTCTTGCACTCTTACCACGAGTATCCAGTTGATCCCAAAGTTATGCACAATGCTATGGCCTTGCCCCCTCAGAGTTCCCTAGTGCAGCCTTAGTAATTTTGTCCTTCTTTAAGGCTCCTAAATTGTAATATGAAATATCATCCTTGATGGATGGCGAGGCGCTCTTACAGATGCAACTGCTGCACCAAGTTTAATAGTAGTATCCAATTTTTGTGCAGTAATAAGGCCAGCTAACCATGTTTCAACTTGCACATTAGGACTCAACAAAAGGAGAACAATTATTCTTTGGTTTTAAAAGCATATTTAAATTATCAATTCTTGGTTGTTAACCAACATGTTGAAATTTGAGAATCCTCCACCTGCAAATTCAATGTATCAAATATGAAATGTTCAGTTTTGGTAACCATAGGATAGTTTAAGACATCTTATAGTTTTTCCATGTTATTATAGGAGCTGCTTCAGCTTCTTGGAATGCCTGTTGTAAAAGCAAAGGGTGAAGCTGAAGCACTTTGTGCACAGTTAAATAGAGAAGGGAAAGTTGATGCCTGTATTACTGCTGACAGCGATGCATTTCTTTATGGAGCTCAATGTGTAATCAAGCGAATTCATCCCAACTCGAAAGTGAGTTTTTTGTTGCTAATTTTCCCTTACTTGATTCTGATAATATTATAATAGATACTTAAGCATTTTGGGATTTATTACTGAGGATTGTGTGTTTTGCCTTGACCAGGAACCTTTTGAATGCTATCATATATCTGATATTGAGACTGGTATTGGGCTTAAAAGAAAGCACTTGATAGCTCTGGCTTTGTTGGTTGGAAATGATCATGATTTAAATGGTGTAAGGGGAATTGGGATGGACACAGCTCTTCGTTTTGTGAAATCTTTCCGTGAAGATGATGTATTGGACGGGTTAGTGTGTATTATACTTACATTTTCGAGTATTCATCTACATTTCATTGGAACTGTTAGTGCTTGATTACAAAAGGTACTGTTAGTTATGTGTCTCTTGTTACTCAGGTTGCATGAATCAAATGGGGGAGATCTATTTGGGATCCATGGAAGTACTGATGCGGCAACATGCAGTTTTAATGAGAAATCACCAAAGTTAAAAGTTCCGCATTGTTCCCACTGTGGACATCCAGGCAAAAAGACAATGCATCTCAAGTTTTCTTGTGACTATTGCACTTCAACTTCTGGCCAGAGTTGCAAGCAGAAACCACCCGGATTCAAATGTTTCTGTTCTTCATGTGAACTGGTATTGTTTTTACCCTTTTTCTTTTATTAGATTTTTGTGGGCTTTCTTAGAATCTAGCATGTATTGATTCCAGGAAAAAGAAGAAAAAGCTAAGAAGAAAGACATAGCTTGGCGAATTTCTGTCTGCCGGAAAATTGCATCAGAGCAAAATTTTCCAAATGATGAGATTATACAGATGTACCTTAGAAACCATCACGGGATTGGTATGTGACTAGAACCTGTAGGTCATATCCATATTTTACGGAAATTATGCGGCTGGGAACAGTTTTTATTTTTTATATGCTATTCCATATTGTTTTCCTTTCTGTGGTTGGATGAAGAGTTTTGATAGAACTATTTCAGACCATGTTGTTCAGGATTTTATAGCATAATTTACAGCCATTAATTTACTGTAGTATCTCGTTTTTTTTTTCAGGTGATGATCCTAAAATAAGATGGGAAAGCCCCAAAACAGAAACTTTAGTGGATTATCTAGCTTTTTGGCAGCATTGGGAGCCGTCTTATGTGAGACAGAGATTATTGCCAATGCTGTCAACTATATATCTGCGTGATATGGCCTCAAACCCAACAAATAACTTGTTATATGGGCAATATGAGTTTCATAATATCCAGAGAGTTAAAATAAGATATGGACATAAATTCTATGTTGTTAACTGGAAGAAGGCTGGTTCTGTTTTGAGTGATGATGTGCACGAAATTCCTGAAGAAAGTGGTACAAATCATGGATCTGAGGCACTTGATGATGACTCTCTTGATTTGTTAGAAGAGGCTGATGCTCCTTACGTTCATGTTGATAATGGATGCTATTTTTTATCTACTGATGAAGACATCGAGCTTGTCCGAAAGGCATTCCCAGAAAAAGCAAGCGAGATTGTGAAGAATAAGGTAAGATATCTCTCTACTCTCTCCCTTCCCCACCAAAAGAAAAACCCTCCGCACACCCTACCCATGATCTGGGGAGTTTCTTACATGTCTTAATTGTTACAGGAGCAAAAAGAAAAGAAATCAAGAAAAAGGAAAATACATGATACAACGACCCCTGAAAAAACAGAAGCGTCTGCATCACAAGGCGTGCAGCTAAGTATTACTGAGTTTTATCGTACCTCAAAAGCTGTCAACAGAAGCAAAACTGAGAATAACGCCGGAAAGGATGGTGGTTCCTCGAAAGCGAAACAGAGCAATGCAAGTCCAAGATTGTCCAAATCTGTCAGACGGCGCCTCTTGTTTGATTAATGGCTCAGATACGCTTCCTACGTAAATTTTAGAACTGTGAGTGTAGGTTTCCTGCTTTGGGAAGTTAAAGTTGATGCTTTATAAGACATGCAATGAAAATTTTCTCTTTGCTTCTTTGTTAAGCACCATCTATTAGTAATTTTACGCACTGTTAGATTTTCGGGTTTTAAACACCAGTTGAGGGAAATTTCTGAAATGAAGCATTGTTTTGTGGATATTTTGACAGAAGTAAACTAATGGCGTGAGTCCTTATGTGATTTTTTGTGTAATAGCTAGAATTCAATGCAGAATATTTTTAGGGTTTTTCTATAAGCTTCCTTAACTGAATGACTGCTGTCATTAAATCAAATTAGGAGCATGCTTGCACATAAATGCATGGTCTTTATATATATATGTGTGGGTGTGTGTGTGTGCTCGCGTGCTTAAATTGATTTGTAAGTGACTTGGTATGTGACAATCTTGAGAAATTGTTTTCTATTTGATCATTCAATAGGAGTGGTAAATCTCTATAAATATATAAATAAGCATTAGTTTTTTGTTTTTTAGTAAAATAAATTCCGAGTCTCCAACATACCAATTGTTGGTACTATATACTTAGAAGGTAAACCCGAGTCTTTCATAATGAATGCCATTTTTGTGGAATGCACATGTATGCTCTTTTTGCATTATAAAAGAAGTCAGTCTAATTAGTTTTTCGTAAATACGAGATTTTCTTCTTCACATTACAATCTTCAATGATGGACATCAAGGGGAAGGAAGTTGTTTCTCTTGGGGAAACCAGACAGCATACAGAAATCAAAGGTATTTGTGTCCTTGTTGTGAATGATGATGTTACATGCAGTAATATAGTTTCTGAGATGCTTCGATACTGCAATTTTGAAGGTATGCACAAAAGCTCCAACTACTCGAACAATTGAGCATATCAATAGTTGTTTGTGAGAACTTGTCTTGTCTGTGTAACTGTTTCCACCCTGTTTCAGTATTGCATGTTGGAGGTTTTCTGGATGTTCTCAGTGCAACATGGGAGATAAAGGAGAGACTTGATCATGTAATCACCAATGTTCATAATTTACAGCCGAATGGCCCTGTGGTCGCGCATCATATTGAGGAGAAGTTAAATGTGCATGTCTTGTGTAAGCAAGTATTCGATGTTAGCATATTTTTCAGCACTCTTTGTATATGTCATGTGTTAGCCCTTTAAAATGCTGTGGAAAATTATCAGGGCTTTCGAAATTTTAAATTATTACCGGGATCCCTTGCTTTTACCTGCAGTGATGGATCATCATGGCGAAAAGATCAAGTCGAATGGGAAACCAGTTTCTTTTGCAGCATATTTTGTACACGGGTTGAGTATGAACGACTTGGATAGACTTTGGCAATATGCATTAGTGAAGGAGAAATCTGCAGCCAATCAAGAACAAAATGTTGGATGGCCATCTAAGCCTACCTCGATGACTGTGATAAAGAATACGATTTCTCTGTTGAAAAAGAGGCCGAGGGAGAAACTTGAGAAGGCCAAAGAGGGTAAAGGGGCATCCCCTTCTGTAGTGAAGAAACCGAGGGTTGTTTGGACTGCAGAAATGCATAAAAAATTCTTGGAAGCCATTGAAATCATAGGATATGAGAGTAGGCTCTTTTCATACTTTAATTTCATTCTGAAATTGCTGTTCTTCTTTCTTGGAGCTTATTTTTCTTTTAGCCCTTGATTTATCTATTTCAGATTAATGATTTGCTCCTGTTTTTCATCATCATTATTATTTTTTGGGTTTCAGAGGCAGTTCCCAAGAAAATAGTTGAAGCTATGGATGTTCCAGGGCTTACTAGGGAGAATGTTGCCAGTCATTTACAGGTTTGTTGTTGTTCAAAATCTGAGATTTAATATGCACTTTCCTGAGGAAATATTTATGTTTAATGCTGGAATATCACCAAATCCTTGTAATAAATGGGCAGCATTCTGAATAGGGCATGCTCTGCATTCATGTTCGAAATCTACAAGATTATTCCCACCATCATTATACACAGATGAACTTTAACCCTTCTTTAACACTTGGGCAGAAGTTTCGCGGTAGCTTGAAACGAACTCAGGAAGTCCCCGGGGGTTCACTTTCTGGCGGGAGTACAGCGAAGGAATTTAAGGGCTTGGCTGTCCTACCGGCGCTGTCATCTTTATATACCAACATTGAAATTAATATTGCAGGAGATTGGCTGCAACTCCTTAACTTAGATCTTGATTCCCGACCATATGATGATCATGTTTCTAACATGCTTCCAAGGTTGCCTGGAGATTGGAGTCAGCCTAATAGCAGTGCATTTGTTGGCTATCGATTGGCAAGTGATGGAAAGTCGATTGAGTTTGGCGAACACCAAGCTTCAGTCGATCTGACTGCGGCGCCTTCCAACTCAGCCATGCTATTACCTTCCGATGAAAAACTTTTCTTGGCTGCCCTGGAAGCACATGGGGATGAGTTGTGGGGACAAAGTGTGGCGACGGCGACATTCTTTCCCAGCATTTCCCAGCTACCTTATTCTCCATCTTCATGTCCGCAGAGTATCCAAGAGTTAGATGCCTTATTTGAATACAATGTGATCGATGATAATTAGGATTAGAACATCTTCTTCCTCTTCAGCAATGGTGTATAATTTACAGATTCAAATTGTTTTAGGGCTGACTAAGTTCTCGTGTACATGTATTTGCAATATGTTCTCTATTGAAGTTCAGAATGGTTTATATAATACTATCAAAAATCCAGATACTGAATACGTAAAAATGTCGAGAATTTCAAGCATGGAATTGATAAATTAGGTCAAGGGATCTTAATTTAGTTCCAATAGGATCGAACTCCTCAGCGCTGTCCCTGAAACCCTCATCGCCATATACACGGCGGGGCTCCGCCGCCGGAGAAAGCCGCCGCTTCGGCCTTTTGTTCTGAATAAAACAATCTCTCATCTTCTCCTCAACCTTCACAATTAAAGCTGTGGCCGCCGGAGCCGCCGCCTGCGAATTCTGCTCCTCCTCGTCATCGTCGCCCATCTGCATCGGCTCGCCCCCACCCGTCTCGCCATTCTCCTCGCCGCCGCCCACGGCGGAGGAGACCGAGTTCTCCGACTGCAGCGTTGGGAGAAACCCTCGCGGCGGATGGCTCGCCGGTGGGAATTGGGAGAGGATTTGGCTGAGATGGTGGTGCGCGAAATAAAGCGCTGTTTGAATTTGAGCGATCTGCGACGGTCGGCGGCAGTTCCCGAGTTGCTTCGCCATTAGAGCTGCTTGCTCTAGAGCTCCCACCAGATCTCCGGCCGCCGTCGACGCCTCCGCTTCCACTTCCATTTACGCCTTTGTGTTAGACCAATTTGACCGCGTTGGGGCTTTATGGGCAACCCTTCAATTTCCCCAACCACTGTTACTCGATTCACCAATTTTTTAGGGTTCACATTTATCCCTTTGAACGGTACAGTTTTGATCCAAGATTTCCCCCCAAAACACCATTACTGTAATCTTCAAAACAGCAACACAATCAACACAAATTTCCCAAAATTCGGAAGTGGGAAGAACAAAATTTGAATCTTTTCCAAGAAGCCATTGCAGCATTTACAAATGGATCGCTACACATTTTTACATTGCTGCAATAAGCGAAGGCTTGCGGGTCAATTCACCGCGGCCAAGGCGCCGTAAAATATTTTTTTTTAGTTTTAAAAAAATAAAATTTATATTAACTCCAATTCAACAAGACTATCTAGTAAATATATTTTCAATTTAAATTATATTAATAAAAATATTATTAGTTTTATATTATACAAATATTTTTATTTTTTTTACTGTAATTCATTATAATAGTAAAAGGCAATATTGCATTATTTTATCCCTTTAAATTTATATTAAATGCTTGTTTGTTCTATTTTTTTTTAATAAAATTTTTAAAATCGATAATATGTATATATATTTCATCGAAAAGTTATATTTATTTTAAAATATAATTTTATTTTATTTCAAATTAAAATACTAAATAAATAAATTTTTTTAATATTTTTTTATTTAAATTATATTAATATTATAATATTTTAAATTATATATTATATAAATAAAAATTATAATTTTTTACTTTAAATATTTTTATAAACATCTTGCATTATTTACTTTTTTTTATCTTTTTTTTTTCATTATTTATTGTACTAGAGAAATAAAATATATATATATTGAAGCAGAAAAAAAGAATTTAGTTGGTACGCTTTTACAAAATTTTAATTTTCACAAATTTTTTTAAAAATGAACAGTCTATTTGAATATAATATTCACCTTAAACGATCGAAACCGACTATACAATTTTTGCCCCCCTAAAGTTTGGAACATAATTCCGTCACTGCAGCTAAGCATTCAGCATCCGAAGATAGTCATCGATTATGGACATGGCGGACCAACGGTAGCTGGAGCCGAAAAGGTTGTAGTGATTCAGGTAGTGATACAGCATGTAAAGATCACGCCTTTCATCAAAACCAGGCTGTTTTGGCATCACCTGATACAGCAACAATTGCGAGCTCAGACATCATCCCGGGGTGTCTGAGAACTAAAATGGTTGTAATGAAAGCTAAACTCGAACATAGTAACCTCAAAGTAGGCGTCATAGAAGTATCCTCCAAATCCAGCGCACCAGGACATCCCAAACTCCGCCTCATTGTGTCCATCTACATCACAAGCAACAATTGTCGATACTAAGAATGCTAGATTCAGACATCAGTCAGAACAGATTTCGAATTTCTATTACACAGCAAAAACAGGAGAAGAGTTGCCGGCAAAGACTCTTACAGTAACAGGCAGGATCAAGTATGACAGGCTCGCCGTTTTTGTCATAGGTAATGTTTCCGCTCCACAAGTCTCCGTGCAACAAGCACGGTTCCATTACAGCACCGTCGAAAAGAGGCGCCATGTTCTTCACAAGCCTTTGCCCTTCAGGCAGCCACAGAATGTTAAGTAAAAGGTTGCAGTAAATACATCGATAGACTCAGACGAGTGTAAGAAAACAACCTTTTTCATAAATCAAAGAATCGCCATACTGTCTCCGCGCCAGCTTCAACTGATATCCCAACCTATGTGTCCCATAGAATTCAATCCAATCCGAAGTCCATGTATTTATCTGAGGAGTACTGTAAGGCGAAGGTCGAAATATTGAGCTATAAAGCCATGGGGTGATTCAACCCAATAGTGCATTCGAACAATACCTTCCGATTGTGTTATTAATATGAAATCCGAAGCCTTTCTCAGACTTCCCGGCTTTATGCATTTCAGCAAGCTTCCTTCCTAACAATGACTGGGAAAATGTCGGAATAGCCGGAAGCAAAACATGTTAGAATTAAAAATCTAATTGTGGGTTAAATGTAACCATTTGGGTTATCTGTGATCTATTAATTTATTGGGCGTAAATGTATTTAGTAAATGCAGACCTCTTATCTCATGGTGAAAGTAATGGTAAAAGTCTAACGGTTTTCTCAGAAGGGATCGCGTCATATGCTCAAAGAACCCAAAATCTCAGTTAGTTTGCATATTTGAATCCGACAATGCTAATAGAATCAACTTAAATTTATTAGCTTTATTTTCTTATCAGTTATTTCAATACGAACTCTTGAGCTTACAGTTTAATTCCTAATAAATTCCAACGGGACGAGATTATTAACATAAATAAGAAAACTAGACACTCACATTGTTGATCCTAGATGCGCCAAATTCGATAAATTCCATGATAATGTATGAGCCGCCGTTTGGCAAAGGTCCCGTCTAATTACACATCGAAGAAAGCTTTAAAACAGCAATATCCTTAACAAGTGGCTGCAAGAAAGAATAAGTGTAAACATGTTCATATCATCACCTTCAATGGCTTGGGAACGCGGATGGTTTGAGTTGCAAACATGGCGTTGAGGCCTAAGGCTTCGCCATGAAACATCTCCGGGCCGATACTTCTGTCGGGCATCAAGCAATCAGCAATCAAACATGTTAGGACAAAGAGAATAATACAGCTTGTGCAAGAATTGATGGCTTCTTGTACCTGTTTGTTTTAACAAAGAAGGAGCCAACGTCCGTGTCATATCGATTAGCAAGATTGATGCAGCCGCCGCCAATCGATCGAATGCTGGTTATTTGAGTTGCCTTTCCTTCAGATAAGATCCATTCACGAATTGGATCCTCACCCATGGATACCACTGTATATTGCAACTCAGTATTTGCAGAAGTAGACAGGATTCGACACTAGAACATCATCGGACCAAATCGAAACCAGGAAGTGATGGAAACTTCAAATTGTAAGAAATTTGATTACAAACCTCACAAACCCAGATTCAGCTGCGATAATTATTATTTTTTTCTAAAAAAAAAAAGAATCTTTATAGCCCTTTATGATGGAGAACATGGAGTACTTACATGCTACCGTCTTCAATTTGCGGGAGGATAATCGGAGACGCGGCGGCGACGGTGGTGGCGGAGAAAGAAAATGAATGGAGGCGGAGGAGGAGAGGAGCCCCACCATTGTTTTGGCCCTGGTACTCTCCAAACCAAAGAAATCTATCTTCCTATTCGATGGCCACTTTCTATTGGCCGAATCTTATTAATCAATTACGTGGATAATTCTTGAATTTTTGGTGGAACCAACTTAAAAAAGTTTATTTTGCCTTTTCGAAAATTAAATAGAGATGTCAGATCTCTATTCTCAAATTTGTTCATTGCTTTTCAGTTAGGCAGTGCATTGACTGACCCTGACGAAGTTGCGATGTCTGGAAAACAACAGTTTCATTACCATCAAGACGGTTGCACTTCATTGAAGCCTCCAACATAAATTAAAACAATATGGTGGAAATCATAACTGAAAGTTCATGTACAGAAAGTATAATATGCAATGACTTCTTTACTGAACTGCATCTGCTAAAAAGATTGGTTTCGTTTTTACTCTGAAGATTGGGGACAAAAGAACAAATGGGATCTTTCAAAACACCCCCTATGATGATGGCCTTGATGCTGTAGGTGCAGACGGGTTGGCCTCGACTTCAATGGAGATCGGAAATTCGCGTGCTTGGTTGCTCTCAGTAGCCGCGGCAGGGGGAAGCAGCCATTGCTGGGAGTGTTCGAGAGTGATCTCAGAGCTATTGAAAGAATGAGCTGCAGAAAGTGTTGCTGATCGAATATCCTTGGTGTCGATGGAGTCTTGTACTGAAAGGCGGCAAACTGGACATGTGGATTGCTTTCTCAGCCATGTATCGATGCAGACAAGATGGAAGCTGTGGCCACATTTTGGCATGATTCTCAGCATTTCCTTCTCTTGATACTCTGCCAAGCATATGGTGCATCTGCAAGTTTGAAGGAATTAAGATCTAAGATGAACAACTGATCCCACAAAAAATCGTACATTATTGTTATTTGTTTATTGTACAACATATGCACTTTGTAACACAAATCATGATGCTTAAGATCGACTTTTGGCTACCCTTTTTCTTTTTAAAGTAATGATGAATGTAAACAAAAGCAGATAATTTGCACATCAAGGTTGGACTCACTGTGCATCTTCCATTGAACTGAAGGCTTCATGGTCGAACTTCATCGTAGGAATTGCAGCAACTACAACTGGTTCGAGGCCATTAATTCGGTGTTCTGGCTGCCAAAGACACATACAAAACCCAATCAAGCTCAAGAACAGCCAAACTATTAGAAACTATGATGCCGGCAGAATTTTATCCTCAACAGAGGTATAAAGACTAGATCACAAATTGGAAGTGTTACATGTTATTCCCAAATTCAAGTTGGATGTTTCAAATCAGAATCTAAACCAAGAACAAACCGAGGTAGTGAAAAATGGCAGAAGCTTGAAATGCAGATGAAGCATACCAGTTCAAGATCGGTTCTTGAGTCAATCTCAAACATTTGCCTGGCCTCAATCCGGCGGAACCGACCGCAGATGAGTCTAGTGCAAACAAAGACAATGAAAGTGGCACTCATTCCAAACCCTATAATGGTTGTAATCAGATTCATTGAGCCCAACATATGAGCACTCCTCTTTCGGTTTCTCTTTCTGCAGAGTCAATCTCCAATGGTACAAATTTTGTTTTCTAAAAAAGGGCACACTGAAAAATACCTAGATCAAGATTCATCTGCAAATCACAAGGCCACTATAGATCATCATTCTGAAGTCAACCATTAACAAAGAGGGAGAAACGCCAACAAGCATCAGATGAGCACAAGCTTCATAGCAAGAAGCAAATCAGAGTAAAGTAGATAAGGGCAGTCCATATCAAGGATTTCCATGAAAAGAGGTGGAAACCAATAATTAGGCAATCCCACATCACTAAAACCAACAGCAATGAGCCAAATGAGAGAAGGACCAACAACAGAAACAATAATTCGAAAAAATAAAAATACAACGATTAAGATATTGTAACAAGTGGAAGATCTAGAATTCACACAACCATCAAAGAAAGATGGTTGACGACAAAAACAAGATTGCTGCCCTCAAATTGAATCCTAAACCCTTTGGGTGGACTCAAAGATTGGACCTTGAATGGATGAGAATACAGAGTCTCCCAAATTTCTTTGGCTTGTGCTTGTGGACTTTGCATTTTCACTCGGGCCCAGTTTCGATTGGGACTCCCCCTGTGATGTTAGTGCATGAATGAAGCAGTTGAGCAGAGGGGCCTCTGGAAATTGGCGGCTAAAGAACATCATAAAAAACCTCGCTGTAATAAATAAAAAAAAAAAAATAGGGAAAAGTGTTGGATTCCTTGCTGAAATGAAACGGTGTCGTATCCATGTATTCTTGGATTTGATATTGCCCTTCTTCATATTTCTTTTCCCTTTGTATTTAAGAATTGCCCTTTTGCGGAAACATTGGAACACAAATGCTCGAATCTTTCCTGTTTATGAAAAAACACCAATGTTACTTAAAAGTGTCTGTTTTGCATTCCCACTACTTTTTGTCAAAACAATCCATATGGGGTCCGACTCGTTTGTAGTTGTCGGCAGTGCCGCCCCAACATCATGGGATTTGGGTTGTCTTTTGGGCCAATTAAAAAAACAAAACTTGTAAATGGAATTCTTGGCTCTGGTCTTTCCAATTCGCAAATTTGCTATATATAATAAGATAGGTCTCCATTTGAATGTCACATCATTGCAATTCTTTATTGTTAAGTTTTCTTGATGATCTTTAGGGTTTGATAAGAAGATGGATTATTGTTGGCAGCTGTTGGATGCAGCATTACAACACTCTTCTACCAAACTGTGTTGGTAATGCTGCTGATGAATACATTTTTGTTAGCATAAGGTTGTCTTTCCTGTTTGCCTTCTTGATGAGGTGTGTCTTTGTCCTGTTTAAACAAACACAGACCTGGCAATCTTCATCCCAGATTATTACATGAGCTTCAACCTCAAGAATCAGACATCATACAGGCATGATTGCAAAAACCTTCATCAAAACATGAAATCTTGACCTGTATACAGAAGCCCACCAACAAACTAGCCATGTTCTTGAATGAAAAAAAAAATTTCTTCAGTCCTGTGTCCATCACATATCTGATTCTGTGCATTGTGGGAAGACACAGTAAATAAATTAATAGCAACAGGCAAGTGGAAACTTAATACAGCTGGATTAAAAAAATTACCCCATTTGGAAGCTACTGATTTCAACAAAAAACATCCCAAAGAGTAACTGCAGCTGTTCTATATTCTCTGCTTAATGCCAGCTGAGATATTACAGAGATCCCATCATACATACATACATTACTTAATCTTCTTGTCCTGTAATGGTTTATTATTCTGCATTTCCACGTAATGAATTCTTTCACTAGTCTTTAACCTTTTGTCTGATTGCATAAAGTTAAAAAGAGCTGTGGCTGCTGGATTGTTTTAGGTAAACTGTATATGGTAAAACATAGATTGATATCACATCAGCATACAAGATAAGGAATGTAACAGTGCCTTCATTTCCATCCAGGTTAATAATGATTTAACCTGTTTACGCCGTGCAAATTAGATCCCTTTCATGGTCTTTGGATCAGTATAAGGTCCAATTGGATATCAACAAATGCAGGCTGCACAGTAGTACACGAAGACCGTTCGATGTGTATTGAATCCGTGGTACAGCAGCATCTCGAATTAATTTGGATTTTGTGTTGCTAATAATTGAATTGTCCAGCACTTCCAAGAACTCATGTTGACTGCATTCAACTCTTGAGTACTTGTGACCTTTGACAGATGCCGAGCCGTCTGTTTGAACCTACGATACCATCAAAGCGCAGAAGCTTTCGCCTGTAAGAAAACATTGGTTTGCAGACAAACTCTCATTAACTTGGCTTTTCCAATCAAGAGGAGGCTAATCTAAACACTAAACATATATATGAATCTGCCAAATCCAGACATGTGTACTTCTTTTTCACAGATTATATAATAATGCATTGCTAAGAAACAAATGTAAGGAATCCAAGGTTGCATTTGAATGTTCTGCGTCGTAATCTGAGGCCATGCAGTTGGAGAAAACAGACAAAACTCTCCTTCTGATTGCACTTGCACAAGCTTCCATCGAACGAGCTTTTTTTAATCATTAACCAGAGAATTATTAATGAGAGAGATGTTTTAGATCAAACAGAAGAAGACATCAGAAACGACACGCTACGCATTGCTTCAAAGCCCCACAGATCATTCCATCTACAATAGCAAAAGTCCAGTTGGGGAACCTCTCTCCTCATAAATTTCTGCTGGACTAACGCTCCAAAACCGCCTCTTCATTCGCATAAATCACTAAAATAAGGCGCCTTGATGCTTGTCGCCATCTCACTGGTTCCATCCTTTGTTTGCGCCGTTTGGCTCAGTTTCACTTTAGCTTGTTGGCTTAAATAAGTTTCACTTTAGCTGCATGGCGCATAGAGTCTAAAACCATATTCGACTTGCGAAAATCTTGCAGTAAAAGATGTCATTTGCAGCAGTAGTTTAGCCATGTCAGTTGGCAGCCAACTTCCAACAAAAGGGTGCTGTTTTTTATTCAAAAATTCATCCTTGTTTTGTTGTGCAGATGATGATGAGATCAAGTTGCTGTTGCTGTTGCTGCTGCTCTATAAAAAAATCAGAGTTTCCAGTCGTTACGCATTTGCGGATCACTCCAAAACAACCTGATCTTGGGAATAAACTAATCACAGAAAGTATTATATTAAGATGCAAACAAAGCACAAATAATTGAGAGGAATTTTGCAGGAATTGTATACAGTCCTCACCCTTCCAATGTCCATATATAAATTGCAAATGGATTCATCGATGAATCTCACGTGCAATCCACATGCGAAACACGAGCCTTTTTAAGCGATGCACAAGCTGATCACCTGCATAATTATCTCATGGATGAATTCATGAGCTCAAAGACAAACATTTCCACTAAGAACACGAACAAACTACTCCAACCGCAGCTGAAATCAACATCATCATCAGCGCGCAGATTTGTTGGCGTAAGACAAAGGCCTTCCGGAAGATGGGTTGCTGAGATCAAAGACTCGTCTCAACGGGTTAGGCTATGGCTAGGAACTTACGACACGCCAGAAGAAGCTGCACGTGCATACGACGAGGCAGCCCGCGCACTGCGTGGAGAGAATGCGCGCACAAACTTCGCTGCTGAAAACACCATCCCCGACTCTTCAAGCTCAAATGGATTAAATGGATCCGAATCCGAGGCCAGGCATGGCCTCAGCTTTTCTTCCTTGAAAGCTAAGCTAAGCAAGAATCTGCAGAGCATCATGGCCAAGAACTCGGAGAATAAGCCTTCGAAGAGCAGAGTTAGCGATCACTTCACCTTCGCCAGCATCTTCAACTTTAGAGGCAATCATCACTACCGCGACAGCCCCTTCGACATGAAACGAATGGAAAAAGCCGTGCAGCCGAGTGTCATTGTGCCTCATATATTCGACGACTCGACTTCTTGGGAAAACTCAAGCCTTTCCGACTACAGCAGCGAATGGACTGCTAGTCTCCAGCACCATTGCAACCTCGACTCCGATGGATCGGGGATTAGCGATTATCACGGATGCGGCGATCAGACAACAGCCACAATAGGGTGGATTAGCAGCCCGGATGCAACGATCACAGCCGTCGACACTGGCGAAGGATCGAGGAGCAAGAGATTCAAAGTATCCTCCTCTGTTGTGGTTCCTCGAACGTTTAGTGAATCTCCACGCCACGCTCATCACTAGTTCTGTTACAGACAAACCTGTTGGATTATACTGTAAAGCAAACTTTTAGTACGCTTTTGTATCATTCAATTTCCTTATTAACTGGAATAAATAAATTGTTATTTCACATTGTGTTGCTTTTATTTATGTTTTATATATATTAGCATGTCCACTTATTTAATATTGTAGACAACATGGTGTGTGGAGATCACACAGAAGATCTTGTTGTCAGTTCTTTATTAAATATAAATGGGTTTCACAACTGAGATGGTTATGGACAAAACCATCGGTTTAAGTTGTAGTGTAAACTTGGAATTAGTTTGTCTTGACTATTAGTTTACACTAATGTGCTGCGTCACATTGAAAGGATCACAGTTGAGATATGTTCTTCTATTCTGACATTGAAGAACCAAGATCTCGGTAACTCTGTTAATTCTTAACCTTAGATGAAATAAATTAAATATATGGAATAAATGTTCGTTGCTTTAATTTACCATAAGTGAGAATCCTTAGTGATTCAATATGCTTCGTATTTTGGGCAACTACATTATTCGCATAGTAATTAATTTATTATCATTAAGGCACCATGTCCTGGACATCCAGGTTGATGACATCCCCTTAAGGAACTCAATAAGGATTATTGTATAAACCCTGCAGGTGGATTTAATCCGTACAATAATAAGTTTTGAGTGGTATTACTTAAGGAATTAAAAGATATTAATTAATTAAATTGTCAGAAGATTTAATTAATTAATGGATGTGGAACATCTTAAACATGGGGAATTAATTAAGTTTAATAGAAGCCCAGATTCAATTTGGGTTGGGCTGGGAGTGCAATATTAATTCTTTAATGGAATGAATTAATATTTTATGATTCGAATTATATTCAGGGCTGAATATAGAGATTTGGATCTATAAGGGAGCCCGAGCCCAACACCTTCTAAAGATCCCCGGTCTGGCCCAATTACCTGTTGGGAGACTTATTAATATGCGGTCTTTGTCAAACCCTAGGGACGGTTTTTCAAAAGGAGGCGAAAACCACAGGTGCAAGCCGTCAGCTCTAGGGTTTCACGAAGAGCAAAATTCGTCTCCCTCCGTTTGATAGATCGCCGCCCATCCGGTGTTCGAGCGGGGTTCGGGAACAGTCTGGAAGGTCTCTAGCGGAATCAACCTGTTCGTGATTGCTGTTGGTGGTTCCAAAAAGGGTACATCTCTAGTTCATTCTTATAGGAGCATGCTTAGGATCGTTTTATACCATGTATGTACGCGTTGGCATCCAACAACGATCCGTGGGAATGAACAGCCCTCACCGGCGTGTTCCTACAAAACCATGGTGCAAAAGCATCCATTTTCAATTTCCACTGCTCACTGTAATATCTCACCACATGTACAGTTTGAAAATAGAAAACGACAGCCAGAGTTTATCTCTGTAATAAAAATAAAAAGACAATCGTTACAAGGAACTCTCCTATTTCAGATAACTCAATCAATATTACCATCAGCAGCTGCTGCTTATAATAAGTTTGAAGGAGCTTTCAGACGACATATATTATTACAGCTAAATTTGTTTTCTTCGCATCATTTTTATTTATTAGTTCATAAATTTTGGTGTTTCTTGCCATGCCCGTATACGTATTTTAAGCACACGGTTGGTTTGATTGTGATTTGTGAAGTTCTTACAGAAATAAATACACATGGGATGGGATTGCTTGCATGATTTCTTTCCATCAAGAACTGTAACAGAAAGCTTTTAAAAATGGCTATCAGTCCCTTTCTTGCACCTACCGAACTGATCAAAGTTTCGTCTTTTCTTTCAACAACCTGTTTTGAAATTGAGATTATAATACCGTTCAACTCTTGCAATTCTTGGATTATTGAATTTGGGCCTATTTTTCAGGCCCAATTTGTTGGTTCTGTTGGCCCAATAAAGGCCCGTGACTCAGATGACGTCAAGAATCGACCGTCAAAATCCCTGAGTGACTTCACAGATTCAACTTTCAAGGGTTTTTCGCACATCGACGCGCTGCAGAAGAGGTTCGAAAGGTAGCGCCGTACTGTTCGTCTTCCTCTCTGTGATTATCTGTATGTTGTTTTATCTTATTTTTATGAGTGTATTTGTGTCTGTTGAAGTTGTGGTTTTGTAGATCTGAATCACTTCTCGTGCTCGTCGTTTTCTGTTTACGTTTCCGGAGTCGTTGGTTTTTAGGTTTGTTCTCGAGTCTCTGTTTGTTATATTGAGTAGATCTACGGATTCGCTGGACCTAGACTTGTCAATTCGGTTATTAGACACTGGATCATATGAAATTGAGGCATTAACCGTAAATGTTCTATTTTTTTTCACCCTGCGCTGTTTTTGGTGTGCATTCATTGATTGTTTTGTCTATAGTCGCTTGCGGTTGAGATGTTTTCACTACCGTGTTTCCCACTAGTGTTTGTTTAATTCGGTTGATTATTGGATAATTAAGATCTGATTTTTGCAGGAAGGTTAAGGATCATGAGGTCTATATTCTGTGGAAATCTGGAGTTTGATGCTCGCCAATCTGACGTTGAGCGCCTTTTCAGGAAATATGGGAGGGTTGACAGGGTGGATATGAAAGCTGGTAAAACTCAATTTGTATTCTTCATTTCTTCCATTACATTTTATTTTTGTATTTCTAGTATGAACCATGAGAAAGAATCTTTCATTAACGTTCAATGTCATGATTTGTACTTAATTTTTACGTGTCGGAAGTTAAGTAATGAGAAGTGACAGTTGGGATTGTTGGTTGCCGTGCTTGGTTAGCTTATTGTAGTGGGAGTGCTAAACCGGGGCCTGGTAGTGATTGTTCTGGCTGTCCTTTTGAGAAGATCTCATATACTGTTGCCGAACCTGGCTTATGGTGCCACTGCATAATTTGTGGAAAGAATGATGGATTGTTTAGAGAGTAAAGTATTTTGGACTCGAGGGTTCCTCTTGTTCGTCAGCATGGATTTGTGTCTGTTGTTTGTGGAATGCGGGAGAGTACATTCAAGAGGTCAAATGGCAAAGGGGATGTGGTGTTACGAACGGATGCTTCTTATGATTCGTATAACTGTTGGCCGTCAAGTGAACTTTCTGCTGGCTTTGCATAATATGAAGAAAAATGATATTTTCATATGATAAATAATTACAAGATGTTTATGCATGTTATTTTCCCAGAAAAAAAAAGCACGATTTTGCTATAGTGAAGCCCCCAAGCTCAATAGTTTTTTTGGCGCAGGATTACTTGGATATTCCATGATCTTCCTCGATGGATGGTTCTCTCCTTATTTTCTCGATTGTGCCCAAGATACATGTTATTGTGTTTCTTCGAAAGAACAATATGATCTGCCATGGTCACACAATCCCACACTTTCCTGAGACCATTGCCTTTTGCATTCCTCATGACTTTGCCCAGTCTTCAATTTCCGACATGTTTCAACATAGATATCATGTTCATTCCGGATCCACTGTCAGGTGTTGTGTTTCTTCGTACAGTTTTTTTCCCTTTCTCTGGTCTGATTTGCAGGGTTTTGGGTAGTTGCAATTGTTTAGTCGATGTGATGTGGTAATTAAGGTCTTCACTGGAGGCATCTTGACATATTGTTTACATCTGTCTGCCAAAGTTAGCCTGCCGGCTTGGTTTTCTTAACATTGTGTCTTTGTAGGCTTTGCTTTTGTATATATGGAAGATGAGCGTGATGCAGAGGATGCTATCCGCAAACTCGACAGGATAGAGTTTGGTCGAAAAGGACGCAGACTTCGAGTCGAGTGGACTAAGGTATTCTGAACGTTCTTGAAATTTTCATTACTATGTTTTACATGGTTTGGGCATTAGAATGGTACACCATCAGTTGGACACTGGTTTGATCTATTTAATTGTAAATTAACACAATTGAGCTTATTCTACAGCAAGAACGAGGTGGACGTAGGTCTGATAGTTCGAGGAGATCAACAACCAACTCAAGGCCTTCAAAGACCTTGTTTGTTATCAACTTCGACCCTATCAACACGAGGACTAGGGACATTGAAAAGCACTTTGAACAGTATGGAAGAATATCGAATGTCAGGATCAGAAGGAATTTTGCATTTGTGCAGTATGATTTGCAGGAGGATGCCACCAGAGCTCTAGAAGCAACACATATGAGGTTTGTCACCGCAAGTAATTCCTTTATTATCTCTTAGTATGGTTTTAGGCGCCCAATTAGTTGTGGGATACAAAAACACTGAACATATCTGTTAATATTATGAATTATTGCACTGTAGATAATTTGAAAAGAAAATTAGTTTAATTTTTGAGGTAGAAGTTGATTTTTGGAGTAATATCTCACTTGCATCATATTTCATTGTCACAGTAAGTTCATGGACCGAGTTATCTCAGTGGAGTACGCGATACGTGATGATGATGACAAGAGAAATGGGTACAGCCCTGATAGAAGGGGTCGGGACGCATCACCTGATGGAAGAAGCTATGGCCGTGATCGTTCTCCAAGCCCATATCACAGGGATAGGGGTAGTCCTGATTATGGACATGGCTCTATTCCAAACTCTAGGTCTGATCGAAGGGATAGTCCCGAATATGGGAGAGCTGGAAGCCCCGACCATGACAGATATCCTAGGTGCATATTCCTCCGTTCTTGTCAAATTTCCACAGCTCGTTCGTTTCAAGCTTTTTAACTTAATATATAATTGTATTGCAGCCGATCACCACCTATGCGTGAAAGATCCAGATCCTGAGAATGTCGAGGAAGAGAGAGTTGGGTGTGGTTAGAGCTGAGTGAAACCATAGTTTGTATGTGGATTTTAATGTCTTGGAAGATGATGCCATTTGTTACTGTAGTAGAAATTGCACTTTATCATCGTACCACCACCATCATCATCTTGTTCGTGTAGAATGCCATTTTCTCTTGTTAATGGAACTTCACATGTTTGGGTGTGCCTCGTAGATGTTTTGTTCTTGCAGTGTTTAATTTATAGCTATAATATATTTCTTGAAGTCAAATATTCCATGAGATTTGCTGCATAAGCGTGAGCAGGAAAAAGAAATTGGTTTGAGCTGTGCGATGCGTAAATACAAATGCATAGGACAAAGGAACCGAGGCACGCTTGAGGGGCAGTAAAGTCATTTCAACCTTTGTAGGTGGGCCCCACCTTAGGAGTCCCCGAAGCAGTTCAAATTTCAACGGTTAGATTCACTGTTCCAGGCTTCCATCTTCGCCGTCGGATTCCCATCCAGCTCAGGTACTTGTTGTTCCACCCCACCCCACCCCACCCACCACCTTGCTATATTTTACGCCATAGTATTTCTTACTGAATACAGTAGAGAGAGAATCAGGTAGACAGGTCTGACAGTTTGTTGTTCTTCTTCTTCTACTATCAGATGCGGGGAGAGAGAAACATGCTACGATGTCTTCTTGAAAATCGTTCTGAAATTTGAAATTTCAATTGTCTTCTCTCTCTCATTTCTTCTTTCAAATAAATGGTATGCTACTTTCAAATTGAATCTGTCGGGGGACTACTCTTTTCGTCGTCACTTCGGAAATAAAATAAAAAAGAAATGAACTGATTCAAGGTTCTTTATATTCAAATCTTTCTCTTTCCTTTCGGCATCAGGAAATTGCTGTTCTAGTCGTGGCTAAAAAACTCTTCTGCTCTCGTGCCCTGGAGGCAAAAAGGTAATGGGTTTTTCACCTCTTTCTTTATTTTTCTTTCTTCTTGACCTTTAATGGAGATTTTAAAGTTTCTTCCGAGGTCTTTAGGTATATTTTCTCTTACTTTTGGTTCAGTAACATTTTTCCAAAATTATTTTCTTCAAAGGATTTTGAGCAATGCCAAGATCAAGATAGCGAGTTAGCTATGTGTTTCTAGATGAGATTTTTTTATTTTCCTTCTGGAAACATTCTATGGATATGATACTCTGCAGAATTGTTGGTTTCTTAAATTGGGTTTCATACTTAACATCAAGTCATCTTTCAGAAAAGATTTTTTTTGGGGGTGTTTTTATTCTCTCATTATTTACAAACCGTAGAGTCTTGAATAATTTTACTGACTTGGAATAATCTAGATCTTACTGCAGAATCATCGATTGCTATATGAAATTATTTTCTGATAGTGATTTTTGCTTAGAGTAAAGGTGGAGAGGCAGGTTTGGTGGCTGGAAAAGGTGTCCGATGCCTTGAATGTTAGGGAAAAGACAAGATTAATTTGAGGTAGAGACATTTGGATATATTTATTGCACCATTTTCTTTTGAGTTTTATCTGTCGGTCCCTTTTCCTAATATTAAATATTCTTCATAAATATTTCCAGCCTAGTCCTCTCTTCAAAGCCAAGTCTTTTCTTGATCAAATGTCTACTACATACACATCATGGAAATTTATTAATTTACGAAACATTTCACTGTAAATTAAATCCTGTGAAGAAATGCAATAATTATCTTCAGGAAGGATGCAGCTCACTGTCACTGGTTGTAAAGTAAAGCTACCTTCTTTCCATTCTGAGAGACTGTCCCATTCTACCCTTATACAATTTGCCTATTTTCTTCCTTGTGCTGCTGCATTTGTCCAAATCAACTCATCTGCCGAAGGGTATAGTTGTAGTTATACAAGAATTGACTTCAGCTTTTATTAGACGGCTGCTGGAAAGTTTCACTATCATTTCTTGTCTTTCCTTTTATTTTATAGCAAATCCCATCAAATAAATGATGATTATTTGGTATATATACATATGGATCTGTACGTCTTTTGAGTAGACCTTGTGGGGTTTGATTAGGTATTTTATCAAATTACATGTGGGCTTTCATTTTCTTTGAGCGAGCATTTTGTGATCATGCAAGATTCTCGAAGTCTCTAATCTATAGATCCACTTTATTCATTCATTCGTTTATTAAATGTTGTTATCTTGATGCTTTGTGTACAGTTATAATAAATATTATATGCGATGATTGCAACCACTCTGTCTTTTTTATTTCCAACATTTTGCTTATCTCAGAAAGCCACCATGGCAGAGGAAGCTTCGTCTTCCTCTGAAGCTCGAATCTTTCCTGTCTTTTTACGGGATCTCTGCAGTTTTTTTTCCAAATTCCGCTGCTTGTGCCTGTGTATGGCCTAAGATTTTTTTCAATCTGGGTCGCTGGAATTTGATTTCTTTTCTATATTTCGATTCTGCTCAGGTCTGGTGATTGTTTGACTGACTTAAACCATGTCCGAAGGCTGCGGTAAGGAATCCGTGGTGGATGATAGCCTGTCTACGGAAGAATGGCTAACGTGCGCACAAGGTCTCGTCCCGACGGCGCTGGAGAAGGCCAGGGAGGTTAAAGGCTTCCCTGTCCGATGGAAGATGATCATTTCCAAGTTGGAGCAGATTCCGGCACGGCTGTCGGATTTATCCAGCCATCCTTGCTTCTCCAAGAATGCACTTTGCAAGGAGCAGCTGCAGGCTGTTTCAAGAACACTGAATGAGGCAATTGAATTGGCGGAAGCCTGCACGAAAGAGAAGTATGAGGGGAAGCTCAAGATGCAGAGTGATCTCGACGCACTCGCCGGAAAACTGGATTTGAATCTGCGTGATTGCGGGCTGTTGATCAAGACAGGTGTTCTTGGCGAGGTCTCTGTTCTGCCGGCTGTGGCGAGCACTTCAGCTGAGCCGGAGGCTGCCGGATATGGAAACTTGAGGGAATTACTCGCCCGGCTGCAGATTGGCCATTTGGAGGCTAAACATAAAGCTCTCAACAGTCTTGTGGAAGTTATGAAAGAGGACGAAAAGAATGTTCTGGCGGTGATCGGGCGAAGTAACATTGCGGCATTAGTCCAGCTGCTCACTGCTACTTCGCCTCGTATCAGAGAAAAGACAGTTACGATCATCTGCTCGCTTGCCGAGTCGCGCAGCTGTGAGAATTGGCTCGTTTCAGAAGGCGTGCTCCCTCCGCTCATCAGGCTTGCAGAATCGGGCAGCGCTGTGGGGAAAGAGAAGGCGATAATTGCTCTTCAAAGGCTTTCGATGTCATCCGAAACGGCGCGTTCTATCGTCGGTCACGGCGGGGTGCGGCCGTTGGTCGAGATTTGTCAATCCGGCGATTCAGTGTCGCAGGCCGCTGCAGCGTGTACGCTAAAGAATATATCTGCTGTGCCGGAGGCTCGCCAAGCCCTTGCCAAGGAAGGGATAGTGAAGGTGATGATAAGTCTTCTCGATTCCGGAATTCTCTTGGGATCGAAGGAGTACGCGGCCGAATGCTTGCAGAACTTAACGTCGAGCAATAACGATCTCAAGAAAGACGTCGTAGCTGAAGGTGGGCTAACGAGCCTTCTTGCTTATCTAGACGGTCCGTTGCCTCAAGAATCCACAGTCGGCGCATTGCGTAATCTGGTCGGATCAGTGTCTGCCGAAGCTCTGATGTGCGCCGGCGTCATCCCGAGGTTGGCTCATGTGCTGAAATCGGGATCTCCGAGCGCGCAGCAATCTGCGGCATCGGCCATCTGCCGGATTTCCACTTCGTCAGAGATGAAAAGATCGGTAGGTGAAGCTGGATGCATTCCGTTATTGGTGAAAATGCTCGAGGCGAAGGCAAATGCCGCGAAGGAAGTTGCGGCACAGGCGATAGCTGCGCTGATTACCGTATCCAGCAACTGCCGAGAAGTGAAGAAGGATAACAAAAGCGTGCCAAACTTGGTGGCATTGCTCGACCCGAACCCTCAGAACACTGCCAAGAAATACGCGGTTTCGTGCCTGATGTTGCTTTCCTCGAGCAAGAAGTGCAAGAAGCTGATGGTTTCTTACGGGGCGATCGGGTATCTGAAGAAGCTGGCTGAAATGGACGTTCCGGGCGCGAAAAAGCTGCTCGAAAGGATGGAACGTAGCAAGATCAAGAGTCTGTTTGCGAGGAAGTCGTAGGATGTGAGGATCTTTGTTTTGTGGGTGCTATAATGTAAGAAAGTAGTAGCTTCTTAACATCATGGAAAACAGGTTCAAACAATACTCAGCTATGTCTGTATAAAAATGAATAATGAATGTTCTTCGAATTCTGCCTCAATCAATACAACAACATTAATGCAGTGCTAAGAGTTACATTCAATCATTGTGATGTTTATTATTTTGATTTTTTTTGGGTTTTTATGTAATGTGGGGTTGCTATTGTGTATATATTATTTTCTAATTTTTTGTTTTTATTTTGAAGAAGAAAATATTGAGGAAAATGTCAGAAAACACAAAAAAATGGAGGACCAAACACGCCTTTTATCTGTCTTTGTATGTATCTGTATATCAGTATCTGATCATCTTGAAAATAAATTATGGCGTGCTGGTTCTACTAATATTCCGAAATTCGAGACGAAAAAGGTATCGAGCACAAGCTAGAGTATAACTAATAATCAATCCCACACCCATAATATATATTATTTTTATATTTCATGAATCCATCGATTTCTTTTTCGTAAGCTTCTGGTTTGCGATTATTTAAGTATTCTTAATCGTTTTTCAATTTCGAATTTCTGGTCGATTAAGCTTAGGTTTGTTGTTTGATATTTGTGAAGCAGCTATAGTTATCTTTATTGTGTTTCTTCTTCATTAGGGCAAATAGATCTTTCCTTCATTTGTCAGGAATGCCATTCCTATGGATAGATAATAAATGGATTAGTCACGAAGATAATGTATGGCTGAAAATTATCCTTCTTACTACATCCTTAATACCCTGATACTCAATAATCTTGATGGCCTTGGAGCTTTCTGTTCATCCGACCATCTCACCTAACAGATTGATCTGAACTGATTATTGTGGATTGAGTTTGTCGATCCTTGGCTTTCAGGTAAATTTAGACAATCATGAGTTCGCTAGACGTCGCAAGAGTTGAGCTTGGACTCGCTGTTCTTTATCTGAACAAGGCCGAGGCGAGGGACAAGATATGCAGGGCGATACAATATGGATCAAGATTTTTGAGCAATGGCGAGCCTGGTACTGCTCAAAATGTCGAAAAATCAACTAGCTTGGCGCGAAAAGTTTTTCGCTTGTTCAAGGTCAGGTTATCACCATCTCCCTTGTTGATTCTAGTCGCCATTCGACTAATTTATTTTCTGCTTGTGTCTCTCAGTTTATCAATGATCTTCATGCTCTCATTAGCCCAAGTGCTCCGGGAACTCCTCTTCCTCTGATTTTGTTGGGAAAGGTCTTTGGCTTTAGCTTTAGCTTCTTTCAATATGCTTTTCGACCAAATCTTTGTCGCTGTATAAACCGTTAAGCTGTTGCTCATATTGCAGTCGAGAAATGCTCTCCTCTCGACTTTCTTGTTTATGGATCAAATTGTGTGGCTGGGAAGGGCCGGGATATACAAGGTCTGTATGAAGCTAGGACTCTGTTCTTTGCGAGTCTAGTTTTAATATTTTTCTTACTATAAAAGGCGTTCCGATGCAGAACAAGGCGCGAACAGAGATGATCGCAAGGATCTCCTTTTTCGCCTGGATGGGTTCGTCGATCTGCGGCACCCTGGTTGAGGTATTTTCGTTATCTCTCTCCCATGGATTCACCGGGCTTTTCTTGTTTCGAGTTGTTTAAGCTCTGATTGTTTATTGGGCTTCGATGTCGCTCAAGATTGGGGAGATAGGAAGGCTTTCGGCATCGATGAACAAGTTGGAGAAGGAGCTGAAGAACACCAACAAACATGAGGTTTGAGAAAATCATATCGAATAATTTCTGTACAATGCCATTGATCTTACAGTTCATATTGCTTGCTTTGCGGATTTATCGTACTAGAATGAACAATACCGAACCAAGGTTAAGATGTCGAAGGAGAGGTCTCTAGCCCTCGTCAAAGCAGCCATGGATATTGTTGTCGCAGTCGGGTTGCTTCAGCTGGCGCCCAAGAAAGTCAGTCCTCGAGTCACCGGCGCCTTCGGATTTGCCACCTCCCTCATCTCCTGCTACCAGGTAATAATCCTATCCCATGTTTTCCATTTCTAGTTCATCCATGTTCGTCGATAAAATCCAATCTGTTTCTGCAGTTGCTGCCATCTCCAGCAAAGGCCAAGACTCCATGAAATCGGCCAAGCCTCGATGCAATGAGACAACATTTATACTTAGTAAAGCTTGCTGTATGAAACCTATAATCATCCTCTGCTTATGCTTGTCCTGTTTAAGGTTACGAGCACAACAGTATGCAATTTGTGATTGTGTATTATGCACAGGATATATATAGTGCCGTCGCCTTTAAAAATCATCTAATTCATCCCATTCGAGCACCTCCTCAATCATCTGCGCTGGTAAAAAATCCCTGATCATCATCTCCATTTCATCATGTGGATTGTCCGTGGTCTCTGAGCCTTCGCCAGAAAAGCCGCGCAGAACATGGTCCATAGCGTGGGGATAATGTCGCAGCTGGAGCTCGCCTGATGGAAGCATCTCCAGGTTGTACGCCGGCTCCAGAGGATGCCCCAAAACTCTTATGTACGCCAAACTGCAATTTAAGCGCACGCAGAGCAGATTAAATAAAAATAAAGATGCGAAGATGGAGTATTGAGAGTTTCACCATATATAGAACAATCCGTCTATTTCATTCCTCAGCGCCCTCCCGAACAGCTCAACCTGCACAACACCACCGACGCAGACAACAGGCTCTGGTAGCTTAAATGGTTGCAAGCAATATTCCTGTGGCAGGAAGGATAAATGAGACTGAGCTATAATACATAACCTATTTCCGAAGCAACTGAAACAAATAACGCTAGCAGTTAAAAGCAGCTGCAGTAAGCTCAAGTGCAAACCTCACGACTGAAAAATGAAAAATTTAACACAAGCCAACACCAGAAGGCTACGGCATCAAATAGGAAGTACCTGTGACATAGGAAACTCCGGAGAGGTATATGTCCATACATACTCGTCAGCTGAAGGCTGTGGCACTGGACCAACCTTGATCTCCCAATCTTTTAAGCATTTCGGATGACCCATCCGAAATCTCACTGACTTTGCAGAGTAGACGGGCTTACCAGGCTCCCAAAACACTGAAACAATAGTCAGGTCAATTGCAACACTGAATGCCGCAAAGAATGGGATGTGATTACTGTTTATTACGGTACCTTTGTAGGGCCGAATATCAATTTCAGACACAATGCATATGTTAGAATTTAGTCTGTACAATATACTCTCAGGAGCATTAGGGTCACTGTGTCCTTTACTAGACCAATACGAAGCACCCCATGGATATCTGTCAACTGGTATCAGAGTATTTGTGACATTTTCGACCTCACGATCTGTGCTAGAAGCTCCAATTGGAAATGAAATGCAGTCCTTGGGATAAATTATTGGCTTCGTAAGAGCCTGAAGTAGAGAAGTGTAGATCTTGTGTTCCTTCTCGAGAGTCTCCCAAGCCGGAGGATGAACAGATAGAACATCCGAGGGCTTAAGCCTCATTACTCCATTACTCTCTTCAACCGCATAGGCAATATTTGCAACCTGTGGAACCTTTCTCACCCATAGATTTTTGCAAAATCCATTTGCAACAACTGCAAAAGATGAAGGAACAAAGATATTTACTATCTGCTCAGTCATTGTATTTTATTTCTCTCACGGCAAATATCTGAAATACAAACATGAATGGGCTTTGATAGAAATAAGTTTACAGATGAAACCATGTCCTGAAAACTTCAGTAATAATATCTCTATGTTTAAGTGACATGATTGTAATCGATAGGGATGAAGGACAGGACACACTTGCAGAGTAAGTCATTAAAGCCTAAACAACATGACAATGCAGATCAAGTTACGTGCTATTAATAACACTAAGACATACATTTTCTCCATTTCAAAGGAATATACTATACATAAATCATCAAAAAAATGGATCACAGCTAACAAATCCAGAAAATTTAAGAGTTTAATTTATAAACCAATTTGTGGGTTTGACACAGATTCTATTGTCTGATATTCACAAGTTGTCAATAATTTAAGAGGTTAAACCCACAAATTCAATAATCTTTAGATATAGGGGTGAAAGTGAGTTGATCTTACATGGAAATTCTCCCCATGACAACAGTCTGATAAGTCCCTTGACTAAACGAAAATTTTAATCATCCATGGAAAACTGGACCAGTATGATGTGAAGTAGACGACACAGCCCCAATAGTGATCTCAAAGTTACCAAAGGATGTTCTACCCAATAAATGATTAAATATACCAAAACTGTAACAAGTAATCAAGACATCCTAGCATCTATGATATATTCAGCTAACTTAAGCTCACCAGACCGGCGCCAATTGCGGGAGACAGAACTTGCACGCAGAAGATCAAGAGGGTCATTCAAGAATGCCAGGACATTTGATGTCACATCGGCCTCCAAGTAATCCACAAAATCAATACCAGTCTCCATTTAGAATAAGCTCTGATTCATTAACAAAAGCAGAACAAAAGTATTACAATACATCCCTCTCAAAACAGAAAATAGAACACAATTAAGATTTCTTCAGATAATCTAAATAAAGTGACAGAGCTGAAACAATTTTCAGAAATAGGTGTTGATCTCACAACTCTTCATCCGTACAACACAATTGCAGTCCATCAAAAAACTTCAACTTCACCAAATTAAATCAGGAAATCACGGTGTAAAGAGACGCGATAAAGATAGGATTTTGATCATTTATCGTTATTATAACTATTATTATCTTATAAAGCATCAATTCTCACGCCATTTATTCTCGAATATTTTCCATTGCACGCAAGGAAAGAGCATAAGCAGCACCATCAAATTCATTCTAGAAGAATTAATCTTACAACTTTCGGATTCTCAAAAACGCCGCAAAATTCAAATAATTGAAAAGATCAGAATTTCTATAAAAAACGCACCAGGGAAAATATCTGCAAAACAAAATCTCCACTTTCAGTCATCAATCCACCGAATCAACACAAAAACGAATTAAAATACAGAATATTTTGGAGTAGCAGGGCGTACCCGTTCTTAGAAGATAGACCAATGCGCACAAAATGTGAAGACTGAGCGAGAAAGGAAAAAGGAAAATAAAAAAGGAGAAGGAAAGGACAAAAGCGAAGGCACCGAGGTAAGGTAAGGGTCGGATCCGAATATGAATATGGATTTGGATTATGGGCCTTTTTTTCCATATATAAATTTATAGATAAGAAACAAGTTCCGAAGGCCCACATAAAAAGCCCAAGGAAATCCGGCCCAAATTCAGCCCTAATCTGAAATGCAAGCAAAGAGCCAGCAAGTTAAGACCCAAAGAATCAAGACAAAACCAAAAAGCAGCCCAATAGATCACTGAGGCCCAAATTGCAGTAAAAAAAAATTCTCAAAGCCCAACCCTCATCAGCTAATACTGCAGCAGATAGCAGTTAACATTTGAAATGAAGATTGATGATATCCACTAAATGGTTTTCATGAAATTTATTAATTAATGCTTCAATATATCTCTATGGAACCAGAATTGGTTGACAAGAAAGACATATATGAGGTAGGAATAGGATGCCTATCACTAATCACTTGTGTATCTGTGATCATGCCAGAAAGAGACAAGAATGTCATGGAGAAGTGACCTTTATAAAATGTAATCTGCATTATTAGAGAGAACATATTGTTGTTTCCGAACTTTCCACCACAATTTGTGTTTGAAGACATCCTCAAGCTTTTGGATTCTAAGGCCAGCCACCTTCCTTCCTCTTCAGGTTTGCTGATTTTATCCGGAAAATCTACTCATATCTTTTTTAATTGTTGAAAGAATCCCACAAATGCTTACTCTTAATTTGCTCGATCCCATTTAAGATGAAAACTATTTATCATTTTTTTTTAAAAGATCAAATTAAATATATATATATATATATTTTTATTATTATTTTTTAAAAATTATATTAAGAATCAATTTTAATCCACACTCTCAAACAAATTATATAAATTTATGTTTGTTTGTGAATTTTAGGTTTTGGGTTTGGATTTTTGAATCGTAAAAGGTTGAATTTGAATAGTTGTTTGATGTGATATAAATTAAGGTTGATGTGATATTTTGAATGCAAAATAAATTTGTAGTATAATATAGAAAAAAAAAAAACAATAATTCTTTGATGTGATATTTTTGAAAAAAAAAAAAAATCTAAATAGTAAAAATCTACGTAAAATTCAAAAAATAAAAAACAACCTAAGATTTTTATAGATAATATAAAAAAAATGCTAGCTCATGAATATTTTCTTTCTAGACTCTTGCTAAATGTTTATACATGCAAGTTTATGTGATTCATTTTCCAATTTTCCTTACTCCTTAAAAAATATTGATATTGTATTTTATGGTTGTGATTGGTTAGTATTTTAATTTAAAATAATTTTTTATATAATATTGCAAATATTGATTTTTTATTTATTTATATTGTAATAATATAAAAGTTAGGATATTTTTATTGGATTTGGAAGCATCGACAGTTTGAATCCAAAGTCCCATAATTTCAAGATTATTAGTCGACTACTCGTACCAACAAACATTTTTTACAATAAAACTAAAGAAATATATAGTAATATTTTAAATAAAAAAATATACTCCTAGAATCTATGTTTAATGTTTTAATTTGAATTTTTTTAAAAAATATAATATAAAAAATAATATTTTATATTAAATATTAAATTTTATAAAATAATAAAATATATATTAAAAATTGTATAACTATGTGCAAACAAAGCCATAATATATTTAATAAAAGAATAAAATTTAAATATATCTATAATATTAAAGAAATGTTAATATTAGCTCAATGATTAGTAGGGATAAAAACACGACCATTAAAATATTTGAATCCAATTCAAATTTTCTTACAGGAAAGTTGTATTAAAAAATGGGAAATAAAAAACACATAAAAATTGAAATGGAAAAACCTGAGACACTTGTCCACGCAGAGAAGCATGAGAGTTTACACCTGACGATGTTACCGCCTGCCGCCATTTGCCGCTGCTTCCGAGCGTTTGATAAACTTCACTCGTATCTGTTCTCATTTTTTGTCTTCCTGGAGGTGAGAATGCTGGTAATTTGTGATTTTTCTCTTCAGTAACTTCTGTTCTTGTTTTTTCTTTTACGAATCAACGCTGGTGTCGGGCGATGGCACATGTTTGATTGAATTATTTCTGCCTCTATACATTTAGATTAAAGGATGAAGATCGAATTTGGGGTTTTTGAAATGGTAGAGTTTCGAGGCGACAAGGCTTAGACTTCCATGGGTTAATAGATTATCGATGCATTTTAACAACTTTATTTGCGTAAAAATTTTACTTTCAACCTCGGATGTGTTTCACAATTCTAGAGAGCGAGAGGGAGTTGAGATAAGAGTTGGGGTTTATTTGTTGTTAGGGTTATTCGTTTTTTTTTTTTTTAAATTTTTGGTGTATATGATTTTTGTGAAGATCAAGCCACAATTTATCATACAGTTTTGTTCTGCTTTCATCATTAGTTCATACTCATGTTTTGGGTTGTTGATGAACCTCTCCAGTTTGTCTTACATTGCTTAGAATTTCGATCTTTATCTTTATATAACTGTAAGTAGAAGTGTGAACTTTCTGATGCACAGCCTATTTTTTTTTTATCCAATGCAGGGCGGCTTAGATTTGTATGTGTGTCTTGAGATAGATGCTCGGAATTAGATTCAATTGATCTGTCTTGTAACCATTATACCGCACACTCGGAAGAATGTTGGTAAGATTCGTTATTTGTCTTAAAAGTTGTTTCCCTATCAGGGATTGCAGACAACACATTCTTCAGAGATTGTGTTGATTGTTGTATATTATCTTTTGTCTGGTTATATTACTCCCGGGCAATAAACGCTCTAGATTTCCAATTGCTTTAGCAAAGTATGCCTGTATTCTTGTTTCTTTCCTCTTCTTTTCATGAATATGGGCGTGACTACTGTTCACATATTATGTTAAAGCAATGCCAGGTCATTGATCAATGTATTTACGATTCTATGTGTCAGTTGTAGTATTAGTTTTAATGTATATGTGGTATATCATATTTTTTTTTTACTTCTTCCCTTGTTGGTTCCGAGCGCAGTTCATCATCGGACATGTTGCCCTTAAGTTTCTTTTGGATTTAATAGGTGACGTAGTGATTATTATATTTGTTTTGGAAATTTATCTGAATGTACAAACTTAGATTAAATGTATCCTTAGCTGACACTTGTCTTTTTCTCGTTCATTCCTCCTTACCAACTGTATTAAAAATTAGTCAGCCCATGAAAAGCTTCCATACTATCATTTAAATGATTCATCAGACCATCCCATGTTCTTCGCGGCTGGGTCATCCTGTCCTAAAAGCTTCATTTGGATGCAACCATTGTCCGTTGTGGGTGTAGTGTAGTTTTCAATGGTGCTTTGTCTTGGTCCCCTGTATTAATAAAACATTTTGGGTTTTCTTCAAATTCCAGTAAAAAAACTTTCAGTTTCAGAAACCTGGATACCAGGGCCATTTTAGTGATGTCATTATCGGAACTTTCCACTTAGTACTAACTATATATAACACCCACAGTTGGTCAATGTTATAAACTTCAAAGTATTTGTTTTTGTTTCGATCAATTGAAAATTTCATTTTAGTTGATTTAGATAACTATGACATAAAGTTGTTGTCAGTACAAAGAATTGAAATCAAAAGTAGAGAAATAAAAATAAGTTTCTCTAGCTTGTTTAGACCTGAGAATTCAAGAAATTATTTTTCATTCTCTATTGTATATTGGAGAATTAGAGAGAATTGAAGTTGTGAGAGTTAGAAGATATTTATCTTTCTATTTTGTTTTCATTCTGCAAAAAATAAATAAATAAAAGATCTCTTCGAAAATTTCTTCACCCGAATTTTCTCACCTATCTTCATTTTTGTCATCACGACGCCGTCTGCCTTGATTGGAGGATTTGATGGTAGAGTTTCATTAGTAGACTTTTATCTTTTATTGATCATCATATTTTAAAATTATTAGTATTTTTTGTATATATATTTTAAATAAATGACAATTGATTGTATATTATATTACTCTTATTGAATTTTTTGTTATATCAAACAAAAGAATCAATTTCTATTTATCACACTAATTCTCTTTGTCTTTATCAAATTCATTCTCGGTACTAAATACACTCTATCCCATCAATATTTTTTATGGGTCCTCAAGAATTTTTTTTTTCTTCTCTCAGTTGATATTTATGTTATATTATTTCTTTGAAAATATGTATGTTTGTTTGGGGATTGAATTTTAAATATACTATTCATCCCATTTTTTTTTTTAAAAACATCAAATCAAACACTTATTTTTTATTTTATATATTATAGTAAAAATCAATTATACATTCAAAACATCATATCAATACCTATTTATATCGCATCATACAACTATTCAAATTCAAAATTTTTACTATTCAAATCCTAACTCAAAATCCAAACCCCCAAACAAACACACCCTATATGTACTTAGAATGAGTTGTGTAGGTGATTGAACATGCCACTTGATTAATTGACAAGGGTTATGGTTCAATTTTTCGGGAAAAGATCGAAATAGAAGTACACTACTGCTTATGAGCCTAAGGCAATATTAGTGCTACGACTACTTTTGCTAATTTTTGCGGAGGGAAGCACAGTATCTCTAATGCATCTGAGTGTGTTCTATTTTCGTTTGTGTTGTGATCTGAAAATTATTACAAACCCCGCTCAATGTAATTATATTTCAATTTGGTTTTCTTTCCCTATTTTCTCCTTGAATCATTTTCATTTTTCCTAATCAGATTGTTTTGCTTAATTATGTTTTTGTTGGTTAATCAATCGTGATTCAAATCATTCTAAATTTTTCTTTTAACTATGTCTGGAAATATGAATTGATCATTCAACTTGTTAACTTTGTAGAAGCTGCTATACTGCATTTGCTAGACAGAAAGTGCTGCTGCCTATATAAGTACACATTCCCTAGATTTTTTTTTTTGCCGCAGGTAATCCTCTGACTACGTCGTAATATAAAAAAGACGTCTATGTATTTTATGTTCCCACCTTGTCATTCACATGATATGCTTTATGTACAAGATTGTATTTATGTTCTTCTATGCTTTTAGGAGGGGCGGATCTATAAATATTTTCATTGATATCACAATATATAAACATCAAATTAAAACTAACTAAATAGTTTAATTTTAATAATAAACATACGAACAATTTATCTTTTATAATTAAATGGATAATAGTGGCACTTCAAATTTTAATTACGACAATATTTCAATGGTAGCATAGTTATTATATTATATAAATTTCCTTAGTAAAATCATTGGTGACTTAAGAGTACATCCGCGGCCCCGACTTTTAGGTTTTCCAAATATCTGCAAGGACATGAATGATTGCGAAAATTTGTCATTTCTTACACGTTGCACTTCATTGTTTGACATACAACAATGAGCATGCTATTTATTGCAATTGCAAATATAACCAACTTGTTTTGCGTTTTACCAATAAAATGAGACTTATTTAATTGAAAAAAATAGCTTAATTGTAGAAAAGTACCAACTGAAATAACGACCGTGTCCATACTTAATTAATTACTCTAAATTTCAATAAAGTCAAAATAAACTTTAAAATATCTATTATTAAACATTGATAAATTATTTTTGGTATAATTTAGGTGTATATATGTATATGCAATGTGTCAATGTAATGTGTTCTTATAAAGTTCCCCTTTATGTACCAACACTTCGATTTAGCATATATATATATATATATTCTCTTATCTTTACTTTCTAGAGCTTAGAATTATTCTAGGATGGTTAAAGTGCTGATTAACATAGTACAAATATACATAACACATGCTAGAATTAATACCATTATCATGTGTTGTCGGTCAATGCCATGTATCGAGCTATGTTAGTATGTGATATATGGTAAGTCAACAATGGCATGTGTTGTCAATTTATATTGTGTTAACATATATTTTTGTGTTGCGAGCAATTAGATCACGTGCTTTGTGTGTTTTTACTATATACTAATTATGATTAATCAATATGGCGCTGGTTAATTCTAATTAGCACCGTAGCGCTGCTGTTTTAAATGTATCAAGAAGAACTAATGAATATTTGAGGTGATTCTAAGAAGTACCATATTCTCTCACTTTTCCCCTTGTGTTTGTAGGAATGTCTTGTGCCGGTGGATTTTTGCAAGTCGACTGCTGGATTAACTGAGGCTGAAAATGTTTTCTATCAGATGCTATATGTATAAAATAGGTGAGTTCCATAATTGTTGTGAGAGACCGATGAATGATTCTTCCCAATGGTTGGAAGAGAGTTGCAGGCTCCAATATTCAACAAGTCTTGTACACGTATACTTACTTTATGATACAAACATATTCTGTCGTCACTCTTAATGAACACTCCAGCCTGAATTAAACTGCTGAAGTATGCTGCCTTAAGCCCTCCACGAAGATCTTAAATGAGGTAAATGCTGTTTAGTTACCAATGCCAAAATGTATTCCAGTTCCTACCAGGTGGTTATGGAAATATATCTAATTGAATAATATACTACTATGCACCTTTTCAATTGTATCTTTCAGATTTCGGTGACCAGGTTGTGATGCCTTGCTCGTTGTCATGGAATACCGTGGCCTCTAATACTATAATGCAATGTCGCATTAGAAGTAATTCAATTCAGATTAATTACTGCGTCCTATATATGTATGCTTGCATTCTTGATTCAGAGTGAGATGTCAAATGTTATCTAGCTAGGTCAGTGTTGTTGAGTTGGACCTTTTCATCAAGTTTCGCTCAGCATTACACTAACGGATGCCTGAATTCGCACAAAGATCAAACTGGTTGTTTGTATTCCGCCAAATGCAAGATGGATGAAGATTTCTTCTGAAGAATGCACATCAACAGGCAGTATTAATTATATATAATACCCCATGAATTGAAGCTGGTTTATGAAAACCCTAACTTTCACAGGCCGTTCATCGGAAGGTTAATTTGTAGGTTTCATTAAATCCTTCGTTAATCTTCTCAGCACTGTAGAATGATATCTGAATCTTTCTAGCTCGCTCCACGATTTTGCTGTCATCACGTACAAAGGCATTAATAATATATATATATATATATATGGAACCATACAACTATGATTTGAACCTGTATTCTCGTTCCAATCTCTATAAAAATAGAGAGAAAAAAATTAAAAATTGAAACGGTGTTTCTTTTTTCTTGCAAGAACTGTCCAAAAAAAAAAAAAAAAAAGAAATTAGGAGAACTAAAAGCCCAATTGGAACCCTAATTTGTGTACGAAATGCAGTTGAGGAGAGGCAGAAAGGGAAACAGGCGGCGGCATAATTATTACAAATATCCACCATATGACGAACGCATACACGTCACTTTGACGTTGGCCCTCTCTATAAAACTCCTGCCTCCATTACCACTCTTCTCACACTCTAAACATATTTGCTTTGTTTGTATCGCCATTGCAACCGTTGCTGCAGGTAATAAATCTTCCACAACTTATATCTATATCTATCTATCTTTATATACGAAAGCTTCTCCTTGACGATATATACGTGAAGAAGTGATTTGGAGTTTTTTTCTTTCTGTAAAGCTGTTTGTGTCACCACACTATTGTTGTTTTTCTAGATCCTTGAGTTGCGACTTTAATTGTCCAGCTCTTTAATCTGTCAATCGGAAAGTAATATATGGTTCCATCTCCTCCTGTTGGATGTGATCTCGATCCACCTCCTTCTCTATTCTATCATTTCTATTTTCAACATCCGGACATTTTTTTATGAAAATCAAAACTAGGGTTTTGATATCTAAGTTTGTGGATTTTTAAATGATGTATTATTATTATCTTTTCATCAATTTGGGGTCTTTTTCAACCAAAGTAAACATTAAGGGTTTTGATTTCTTGATTGATGGACTTTTTAAAAGATTTTTTAATTAAAAGATTTAGACTCAATGAGATTAACGATCAGATCTAGTTTTTAAAAAATCAAATCTGATTATTTTTTTTTGTTGTCTTCTATTTTTTGTTCATTGATTTTGTTTTTTCAAGTCTATCATGTTTTAATAATGTTAAAATTCAATGAATTTGGTACAATATTTATTAAAATTTATTTAATTATATGAATAAAAGCTAATTAATTATTTATAATCTAACATTTAACTAATCCTTTAATAAATAGTTAAAAACACTTAATTATAAAAGTCATACAAGAAAAATATTCCATCATATTTATATATTTCAATTTCAAGATATATAAACCTTTAAATTGTGTGAAAATAAATAATTGTTTTTATGTAAATATACTTTAGTTACAAAAAAAAAAAATTCAATATCTTAAATAATTTGTTTTTTCGTAGAAGATTTTTTCGTAACATTATAAGTCGTCGTCCGTTGCTTCTTTTTTATTTTTTTTTTTTTTTTTTTTAATACCCCTAATATTTACTTTATATTTTATGGGTATTTATTTTTACCAACTTCTTTTCTTTCTCACTTTTAAGAATTACTTGTGCGCTAAATGTTTTATTCTATTTCTATCACTTGTTAAATGTTAATTTCCAAAAAATCCTGTATATTTTCTAATTCTTCAACCATAGTTAGTATTTATTTATTTTTTAAAAAGAAAATCTTGTAATAAATACGTGATAACCTAATATATTGATGCAAAATTATTGACTTAATTTGATAGACATGTTTTGTGTTTGATTGCAGCGTAAGAAGACTGAAATGGCAGACATATTCGATCATTTCCCATTTGAGATTGTTCTACTCATCTTTTCAATGATGGATAATCCACTGGACATTATCAACCTATCTCAAGTGTCAGATAGGTTGTATAATTTCTGTAAGTATATATCTACACTTTTATTATTATTTTTAAAATTCTATGAAAAAATCATTTTGATAGAAATTAGGCTAGGTAAATATAAATCATGATAGCTCCATTTATCCACTATTCTATTAACTAACATTATATTTTATTTTGAAGTGATTCAAACCAACTTTGCCAGAAATCGATGCTTGGAGAGTGCTCCCATGTTGAACCACAGGAACCAACAATACATCCCCACCATCTTCAATGTTGAAAATGAACACGAAGTATTCACTAAAATACTTCAAGTCTTGGCCAATGCAAGGATGAATCCCAAATCAGTGGTCGAGTATGTCATTGGAGCATCGTCCACGCGGCTTTATATGATGGAGAGTATTGTTAATGTGTTGCTCCCATTGGACTCCTACAACTCTGAGCCATCATATTGGTCAAGTTCCGGCTGCACTCATGCCGATATGTGCGAGAGTATAATATTTAAATTAAATGGCGGCATGTGCATCCTTACGGATATTGATATCCGACCGTATTTAGGTACAATTAACATTTTGTTTCCATTAGATCTTTATTTATTTTGGTATAATTCTTTCATGCATTAATAAGTGTCTTAACTTGGCTACCCTTTTGTTTATATTGCAGCATGCTTGCCTCAAGGCGATTTTCTATTTTCAGCTAGATCAGTTAGATTTAGTATGGGATACGCCAGACATCCCGCCTATTACAAAATGGATGCAAACAGGTTGCCGTTGCTCTATTTAGCGGACGAACACTTCACCTGGGGTTATACATCTGATGAATATTCCATGGAGCAGGTAATTATAATTATTCTATAAATAAAATTTCATTTAAATTCTTGTTACTTCAATTATTCTTGCAAATAAGAAAACATCTAATATTGAGTTTGGCTTTTTTATTGTAGATTATATTTATGTGAATTACTAATAGTTAAGATGTATACATAGCTATGCTTATTCATTGGTAAAAATATTTGCACAATTAATTTGGTATGTGATTAATATATTTTATTTGTTGTATCTTTGCTTCCATCAAAACATATACTAATATAATTTTATGTATAGATCTATGCTTTGCAGAAATTCACACTGCCGGAGCCAATCCTATGCATTGGATGTTTCTTCAAG